AATGGAAACGTGATTTTTTTAACCATGGAGCAACAGCATAAAATCCATAAAAGTTTCAATGTGTTACATTGAGTGCTAGCAATGATATTTTGTTACAGTTACAGTTTATATTCATTGGTCCTTGGAAAGACTGCGATCGTTATTTTATTTATTTAGCTTCACCATTTTTGTGGATCTTTTTGCATGGTTTTTAGCAGCTGCTTCCACCCTACACTGTACTTTGTTTTTCTTATACTGTTTTCAATTGTGTAGCTACTCAACCTGTCATGGAATTTGGCCCAAAAAACACAACTGTACTCGACGGCAAAGACGTGACCTTGAGCTGTAGGGCAGCTGGGGCTCCTCAGCCGAACACAACATGGATCCATAATGGTATGTGAAAATAGTACTCCTAGATGTTTTCATTTGATGCTTTAGCTGCTAAGAAAAATAATGTTCCTAATCTAACGTTACACACAAAAAACACATAATACGTTACCTAAAATTATTCATTCTATATTAACCTGTATTTACCAAATTACTTAATTGAATAAATTGAACAAATATCACAATAATAAAATTCTCTCCGATACCGCCTCTGCAATGCCTATTAATTCACAAAAAAAAAATAATTTATGCAGTAATGCATATGTGTATGAAGCATGTGTCTTGTAAACATAATACTGCTCACGTACATTTTGAACACAGTCATGATTTTTTCCTGAAGCTTTTATAACTATCCATTTTTTACTAATGTTGCATGTGTGTGCATTTTCTACTAATTCTTCCAGGCGAGAAAGAAGTGGAAACTTCAAGCAGAGTGCAGATACTGGACACAGGCGACTTGCTGATAGCGGCTGTTAGAGAAAGCGATGCTGGACTTTACACGTGTGCTAGAGCTAACGAAGCAGGAGAAGTTAGGGGATCTGCGCATTTACAAGTCCTCGGTCAGTGCTCACTAATCATCTGGTTGTTATGTAGATAGTTTTAAAAAATATTCCGCAAAAAATGCCATAACCTCAAGGATATACGCATAATCAATATCAAGATTTCATCAAATATCACGAAATTTATATCAATTGCTCTAGTGACATAACCACTTAGCGTAGTGGCAACGCTGGCAACCCTGCATGCCGCCGCCGTCGCGCTATCTGTCATTCTTGTCATTGCGATTGATGTGACCACCTGCGTATGACCACAGCCGACGTCAACTACGAGCCGTGAACAAAGAAATCTGGCAACGTAGGTGGTAGTGTTACTCCCGCCGCTCAAAACGCTGAGAAAACATAACCTTTTCAATTTGTGATTTTGGAATCGCAGAGGCTGTAATTAAGAGATAAGCTTGTTTTCTAAACTTCAAAGTGTGTGTATGTGTTCAAAGTGATCGGTGACTATAATATATGAGAAATAGACTCCAGTTGTAGTGTTTCTGTGCTTTAAAAATAAACTAAGAAATGTGACTGTGGCTGTTCGCGCCTCAGGACGCTAAGGATTTCAACTATTGAAAAAGTGCAAATTCTGGTTGTATTTTTCCAATTTCAAATAAAATGACATGGCTAAAACTGTTTTAGCCTTCAGCATTTGGAAACATAACAGAAATTATCAAATTACTAACAGTTTCAAATCTAACAGGTGATGAAATGACACCTTTGGTTGAACATGTGATAAATTTAGTTCAAAAATGTGGATTTGAAGTTATTTGTGTTGTTACTGATAATCACCGAATTAATAGAGCAATGTTCAGGAAATTACCAAAGGATTCATCAGAAAATTATTCTATTCCAAATCCACATAATCCTGATAAGAACATATATTTAACTTATGATGTTGTGCATATATTCGGAATCAGAAATAATTGGATTAATTTAAAAAACCTAGACAAAACTTTTGTATATCCTAATTTTGACAATACTGATATTATCCAGTATGCTAAAATTGAAAACATTCGTGCTGTATATCAATTGGAAGAAGAAGAAGCTGTAGTTAAGAAAGCATATAAATTAAATTATAAAACATTGCATCCAAATTCATTTGAAAGGCAAAATGTAAATTTTGTAGATAATTTATTCCATCACTCAACAATAGCTGCTATGAAGGAATTAAAGATTAATGATGCTGCACACTTTTTGGAAATAATCAGGAATTGGTGGGATATTGTCAGTAATACAAGTGTAATAAAAGGAGAATTGAAGCGAAACGAATTTTGTAAGCCTATTACCAATAAATATGATTATAGAGTACAATTTTTGAAAAAATTCCTGATATGGTTAGAAAAATGGCATAATCTAGAGAATAATAATGGACACCTGACACCAGAAACGTATACAGCTCTATATCAAAGCACGCTGACTCTACTTAATATAATTGAATATTCATTTAATCAATTTGACATTGAGTATGTATTGCCTGGAAAATTCACCACTGATAATTTGAAAAACGATTTGGCAATTATAGACTTTTATGTGGCTGCAATTACAATGTGTCATATGATGAAATTTTAAATGCTGAAAAGATAATACGGCTGAAGCATATTTTCAATGAAAAGAAATCGTCATTTTCTTTAGCAGAAATTAAAACAAGGTTCCAAAACTGCTTAGAAACTCAAGAAAATTTTGATTTCTTGGATACCAAACAAAATCCTGAAGTTTTGGATATATTCAATGAATTATTTGAGACAAATTACTTAGCCAATTGTGACATAGAGGATAGTACTAAGACTTATATATCTGGATATGCTTCACACGCTATCTCTAAAAACCTAAACTGCGAGATAAGCAAATCGCTAATAGTTAAAGAAAAAGGTTCATTAACAACAAATGTTTATTTTGATTATTTGCAAAGAGGAGGACTGTTAATTCCAACCAGTTATGTACCAATCATATTCTACCATATGTATGCCATTTTTGAATCTATTATTAATGTAGATAGATTGGAAATTTTCTTCTTGAAAAGCAATAATCAAAAATTTATTTTGTCAGTTAACCTTGCTCAGCATTCAGTCTTTATTTACAGTGAATTTTCTTTAACTTGCATCTGTGGCCGCAATTATGCAGATATTTTATCTAAGCTTTTGTCTATTTTTTTAAACATAATTTTGAATGATTATGTAAAATTGAAAAATAACAGTAAAACTGAAAGTAAAGGTATTAAAAACAAACAGGTAACTCCACATTTCCAAGCTGGCCCTGTTGGAACACAGTGTGCTGACAAAAAAAAACGTAAACTAAATACTTTTAATTAGGTTAACTGCATTAGCGACTCATATATATCACGATTATTTCGTATTTTTAAATTTTTTAGAGCTATTTCATATTCAGATGATTTGTATTGAATCGAACTGTCCTCTTTTCCAAAATTAAATTTAGTTCTTGAACGTTACACGGAGACGGAGCACACAGCCGCAGCCGGCCGACGTTCACAGGTAGCACTACCATGCCGTCCAAGCGCGGTGTTGCCTTTCTTTCATCACGGCTCGTAGTTGACGTCGGCTGTGGTATGACGTTAATGACTGTTATTGTCGGTTGCATGCATTTGCATCAAACAGAAACAGCGGTTTGTTATGCGCTTTTTTGAAATCGCTTTTGAATAAGTTTTATATACAATAATGCTTCCGTTATAAATAAAAGATTACTTTTCAACCGATTAATATTGATTTTCCTGTATGAAAAAAATTGCTTTTTGTACGGGAAAGTATTTGTAGGACGTTATAAATAGGAGCCGAAATAATAAATCGATGCATCCCAACTATCGGTGTGACAAAATTTATGTCAAATAATTTTCTCAGCTCTAGTGACATAATCACTTAGCATGGTGGCAACGCTGGCAACCCTGCGTGCCGGTGCCGTCGCCATCCGTCATTCTTGTCATTGCGATCGATGTGACCACCTGCGTCTGACGTTAATGACCGTTATTGTCGGTTGCATGCATTTGCATCAAACAGAAACAGCGATTTGCTATGCGCTATTTTGAAATCGCTTTCAAAAAAATTTTATATACAATAATGCTTCCGTTATAAATAAAAGATTACTTTTCAACAGATTAATATTGATTTGCCTGTATGTTATAATTGCTTTTTGTACGAGAAAGTATTTGTAAGACATTATAAATACAAGCCGAAATAATACATCGATGCATCCCAACTATCGGTGTGACAAAATGTATTTCAAATAATTTTCTTAGCTCTGGTGAAATGATTACTCAGTGTGGTGGCAACGCTGGCAACCCTGCGTGCCGGTGCCGTCGCGTCATCTGTCATTCTTGTCATTGCGATCGATGTGACCACCTGCGACTGACGTTAATGACCGTTATTGTCGGTTGCATGCATTGGCATCAAATAGAAACAGCGATTTGTTATGCGCTTTTGAAAAATTTTTATAAATACAATAATGCTTCCGTTATAAATAAAATATTACTTTTCAATCGATTGATATTGATTTTCCTGTATCGAATAAACTGCTTTTTGTACGGGAAAGTATTTTTAAGACGTTATAAATAGAAGTCGGAATAATACATCGATGCATCCCCACTATCAGTGTGACAAAATTTATGTCAAATAATTTTCTTAGCTCTGGTGACATAATCATTTAGCGTGGTGGCAACGCTGGCAACCCTGCGTGCCGGTGCCGTCGCGCCATCTGTCATTCTTGTCATTGCGATCGATGCGACCACCTTTTGTGTGACCACCTGCGTCTGACGTTAATGACCGTTATTGCCGGTTGCCTGCAAGTGCATCAAATACAAACAGTGATTTGTTATGTGCTTTTTTATTTGTGCTTATGAACAATATTTATATACAATAATGCTTCCGTTATGGATAAAAGATTATTTTTCAATCGATTTATATTGATTTTCCTGTTGATTCAGCCTGTATCGTTATATGTAGTTCAGTTCAGGAGAGGTAATGTAACGGTTTGTGTGTTTGTTCATCAAATAAATTGATTTTTGTGAGAGAAAGTAATCTTTTTTTTATCCTATAATAAATTATTTTTTTTAATAAATCAAATAAAAAAAATTATAAACATAATCGAAATACATATATAGATTAATTGGTTGAATATTTAGTTACATAGCATTATTTAAAATTTTCAGTTAGAACACAAATTATTCAACCACCTGTGGATACAAGGGTGCTGTTGGGGCAAACCGCTACACTGCAGTGCAAAGTTTCTTCGGATCGAGCTGTTCCATATCATCTAGAATGGTTCCGTGATAAACAGTAAGTAATAAGAAGTGGAAATACTCTAAAAAAGTTAAAAATAGCTTATAAAAAATATCTGTATTTTCGCGTTTTAAAAGATACTGTTTAAATTTATTATTGAAAAAAAAATCCAGCGTGTTTGAAAAACAGACGGAGATATTTTAGAGGGTGATTCCTTGTTAAAAAATATGAAAAAAATTTATATAAACATGGGTCCGGAAATGCAAAATTTTAAAGATACAGGGTGATAAATTAAAAAAAATCTTTTTTATCAAGATATCTGTTGAAATTCGGCAATATTATTTTCTTTATTAAGAGACTAATTTAGCTCTAAATGGATTATAATTATCCATCCAGTGGCGCTCCGGAGGCACCTTAGCGAATATTATTGGCTAAAAAATGTACGCCACTGCTTTTTTTGTAATTTCAATATTTGTTTATTAATTGAGCATCTAAAAGTACAACTTCTTTGCCTCTTGTATTTTTTTTATATCTCACTTTGTTTTTGAGGAAAAAAATAAAAACCGTTTCATTGCATGTCACTGGACAAAATTGGCTTATTAATTTTTGCACAAAAAACCATTTCTGCATGGAGGTTTCACATTTGCGCGTCAGTTCTTCAAGAAAAGAATTACCATATTCACGGAAATTTATTTGCGAAATTTAAAAAAATGTTTTTTATATTTATCTTGAAAACTCTGCATTACCGGACCCATGTTTATAGAAACTTTTTTTCATATTTTTTAACTAGGAATCACACTCTTAAATATATCGGTCAATTTTTCGAAAACCCTGTATATGAGCATATCCAGAGGCATACAATTTTAGTAAGTGCAGATTTGGAAATCTGTCTAGAGATGGCACAGCTGTGATTGCAGCATTAATGTTTGGAAAGATGTTCACTTGGCAACATGATTTTTACAGAAATATTTTTTGTTGAAAAAATATTCCACCCCCTCTAATTACACCCTTGTAATTTTAGGAACCTTGGGTGTTTCCTTCATAAAAACTCACTCAGAATACACTTTCTGGAGACAAATCATTACATTGGAATAAAAAATTTGGAAAATATATAATGCCAGTAGATAGCATATTTATGGTTTATTAAGATTGTCAAAGACCACCAGACATCAAAATATTCATGAAACTACAGTAGCGAACAAAAGTTTGGAAACATTCTTTGTAATTTTTAAAAAGTGTGCTAGTTTTTGTTCTTTATTACTAAGGACTTTTTTCCTCGTATAGTTTGCTTACAGTCTTGTGGATACAAATGACAATTTGTGTTTGCTATGGTACTACAGGCTAGCATTAAAATACTTCCATATTATTTTATGACCGAAAATGAGACGACAAAAGTATGGAAACATATTTTTTATTACAAAATTAAATACAATAACTCTACAAAAAGATTAGACAGATACTGTTTAGCGAATATTTGGTAGCATAGCCACACTGCCTGACATCTGCTGCTCGTAGATGCCACCAATTTTTTACAGACGTCTGTTGGGATAGTTTTCCAAATATTTTTTACATAATCAAATAAATCGTTCCTATTTTTAAAGTTTTTCTTGTCAGTTGTCTTTTAACATGATCCCATAGATGTTCTATAGGGTTTAGATTCGGGGATTGCGAAGGCCATGTCAGAACGTTAACATTTTTAGTGTTAATAACCAGTTCTTTATGAATTTTGAGGTATGCTTGAGGTCATTATCTTGCTGGAATGTGCATCGTAAAGGCATTTCTTCTTCAGCAAAAGGGAGCATGTGTTCACTAACAATATCTTTATGAAGTTTTTGATCCATTTTCCCAACAATTTTAACAATTGGACCCGTTCCAGAACTAGAAAAACAGCCTCAAACCATGATGTTGCCTCCACCGTGCTTAACTGTTGGCAACTGAAGCTTTTTGTCGAATCTTTTTCGTATTGGACGTTAAATTTGCTTCCATCGCTCCATAAAACTGTATTCTATTGTTGTTATGTCCAAGTTTTAGCAAATTTAAGCAGAGCATTACGATTTTTTTTAAATCAGAGGTTTTTGCACTGGACGCCTACCAAAAAACCCAAAATCCACCAAGCGTCTCTGCACTGTTCTGACAGAAAGATTCTCGGCACCCTCTTCTACGATTCTTTTGAAAATATGTATGGCTGACATTCGAAGATCTTCATGGGACAAACGTTTAATGTAACGACCCAAAACATAATCTGTTTTTTCGGTGTTGCTGTTGATCCGGATACTTGATATTTACTAATAATTTTCGAATTCGTCCCTTTGTTCATTTTTGATCTTTGACAAATGTCAACATTTCTGACACAACTTCTAAATAATTCATCTACTTTGTCTCTTAAATTCTTTTACTTTTGCCATTCTTACTGGTGTAATATTTACCGCACGCAATATCAGAATATCGTAGAACGAATAAATACGGCAAAACTCAAATCTTTCCATACTTTTGTCATTACAAAAACTGTGGTATTTAGAAAAACTCGTGTTTTTATTTTTAGAGAATTTAAATATTGATAAGATAAATCTTGTATTAGTACGGTAGGCAAAGGTAGACTTTAATATTTATATTATCTGTTCCTTTACAATTTTAATTTAGGTATATGAAATAGTCCATAGTAATGTTAATATTTGTTTCCAAACTTTTGTCCGCTAGTGTAGATATAAAGATATTTGCAACCATGTTGAAGTAATCGTTTGATTCTGGCAGAATGTTGCATACATCTCAAATGATGCAAACCTAGCTGGTCGACTGAATATACGTATTAGTAACTGCCATTACACTCCTTTCAAAATTTCAGTCATTCATACGTTTGAGACGATGGAAGAATTGCATGCCCAAAGCTGACATCTTAGGTAGTGATGTAACATATCTCTCGCCTCTTAATGAGGAATTTTTACTTGCTATATGTCATGTTTAATACTCATCATAGGTCACCATGGTTACATCGTCAGGATCCTCATACTTTATGGAATGCAAAGAGTCGTTTTTTACGTGCCTTGAGAATTGACATTCTTTTTTCCACCTAGATCCATCAACCCTCGTGGCTCTCAACGCATCCGCATCCTCCCTGACGGCACTCTAGAAATCGAAGCAGTCCGCGCCAGCGACGTCGGCCACTACACATGCTCAGTCCGTTCACCAGGCGGCAACGAAACACGCTCTGCCCGATTGGCTGTGATCGAATTGCCGTTTTCCCCCACCAACGTGAAGGCGGAACGAGTGGAGGCGGGCTCGCAACGCGCTGTCAACGTCAGCTGGACGCCCGGCTTTGACGGGAACAGTCCGATCAAGAAGTACATCGTGCAGAAGAGGGAGGTGCCGGAGCTGGGTGAGTGAGGGTGGCGGAAGGTTGTGACGTCTTTGGGATCTGAGTACAGGATGGTAGATGGTTATAAAGGGGGTAGTTGTGGAAGGATAGATAGTTACATACCCATTCAGTGGATAATAATTCTGAAGGTCGTCGATAACAATGGCCGCATGCTGGATACGTCCTTGTAATATATTGTTACAAAAACTGCATTCAGATTTCAAAGACATGTGGGTTGAACGGTGTTTTCGTGTTGTAGTTTCCCTACTAACCTCTAGTTTGTATGTATTTATTGTATGTAATCATGTTCCCTCAAACCCTAAGTATAAAATCCTTGTATGAATCGTAGTTGTTTAGTGTCAAATAATGCATGTGTCAGATACATCAGATATAGAATATAACTGATTTTTTGTAGTACCTGTATAATAGTTATTTTATTGTATAGTTTTGTGTTGACTGTTGCTCTAGATTTATCATTTCAGGTTGTTCAAAATGTAACGACATAGGAACGATTGTGGATATCGTTGGAAAATGTACCAAATTAATAGCGATTTTACAAAATTGCCCATTTTTTTCCTACAATATAAATCGTGCTAATATGATTGATAAGGTTCTCGGTGCCTCAATTGTCTTAAGCAAATCTTTACTCTTTTACTCAAGTCTCGATAGCTAGAATATAGAGTTTCGATGTCCGTTTGTCATATACTATATTTGCATGTTTTCTCTGAATCTACTTTTTTTTATACTTGATCCACGACGCAGGCCTAAGCCTTAAATTCCCGTGTGGCTATAGGGGGATATAGGGGAACTCTAGCTGGAGAACATGCACACATTATAATTCCACCTTAGAGATCCGCCGAGTGGTACCACCACGCTGAGACCGTGTACCAGCTACAACATGCATAGCCAAGAGAAAAGTGCTCTTGGGACGGGATTCGAACCCGTGAAAGTCACGGTGACTGATTAGTAGATTCATAGCGTCTGCCACCGCGCTTCCTGTCTTGCACACTGTAGAAAATCCCTTGCACCCGTTTACACTTTCCAATATTTGCAACGAACGCACTTATAAGAGCTCTTCTTCACCGGCTATAGCATCCGTGCCCAAACTAACCTATTGAAATTTCGATTTTGGCGTCTGTCGCCATGCCAGGAACTACCATATATTTCTAGATTAACTTGGCCACAGATGCTTTTGACGTCGCCATGGCATCCCGGTGAGGCTGGGCTCTTAGTTGTATAGAGACAATATTCGATTGAACCAAATGTTTTAGTCTATGTAGGTCAATAAATTCTGTAAAAAATAGTACAAATCAGTGTTGTTTAGTCTTAGCTCCTGGATTAACATATATGACAACACAAAAACATCGTTTAACTGCATGAGCATGTGGATAAACTTGTAATTCTTTATACAAATTTGCTTTAATCATATTATTTTGATTGCCTGTGTCATTTTTAGCGAGAGAACTATGTATTCCATCTCCGATATCAAGAAACGTTTTTACCTAAATTTTCCGTTATAGTCTAATCATATTAGATGAAAATATTTGTAAGGACTGGTTTTATTGCTGCAAGTTGTTCAAGGGGGTATTCAAAACATGGACGCATAAAATGGGTACACCAATTTTCGTGGGAAAACTTTTTATTCGACAACAAAGAATGGGAAGACGTGTCTCTTATTCGAGGTCTTTTAGCCATTTTATACTACAATGTGTAGGTTGGCTCTTGTTGTGGACTTCGTTCGACTCTCTACATCTTCGTTTCCTCAGGTTACACCCGTATCCGGATGTGTGGACATGTGTATCTACTTCTGTAGTTGCATATGTACATTCATTTCGGGCCTGATGAAGCCAACCAGCAGAAATACGTATCGCTCGGGTTACCTATCCTATTTTCTGCTCGAATCCACTTTCATCCTTTTTGCGGATTTTTTCCATTATTTTCCTACTTTTTGTTATATATACATGTATATATATAGACATTAATCGAGCCACATTTATATCACAACACGTTAAATTCAAAACACATTAAAATCATAATGGCCCTGACAAATATTCATCAATTGTGTAAAATTGATGCTCAACCAGTAATTTACATAAGTGGTTGAACAATCTTATCTAGAAGGAATCAAATGACTGTTTGTTAAATTTCATATTCAAATATAGTTACAATTTTATATCGCCACCCTCAAAATAACTTCCTTCTGAAGTCACAATGCGGTGGAAACGGTTTTTTCACTCCTCATGGCAGTGCTGGAAGTCCGATACTGGAATAGCCTTCAGCTGGTCGGTTACAGCCGTTTGGACAACCGAATGACTCGAGCGAGTTCAAACTTGTACTGAAGACGGATCACATGTTCCTCTATCTCCCCTCCAAGCCCGGTGCCTTCAGTGCTGCCAGATCAAAGGCTACGTTGCCACTCTAATCACTTAACTTACAGACCTTGTAATTTCAACGTTTATATTGGAAAGACAATATATATATCTCTCTCCCTACAAATGACTGTGTTAAGTTTTATTTAAACCATATTCTGGCATGCTCATACCAAGTGACATTATACCGCCGACCACTATCGTCCCGCAAACAGTGTTACCATACCATATCAGTACCGCCGATTCCAGGTCCCATTCCTGATCCATTGCTCAACTGGGTCACTGAGCTGAGCAACGTGTCCGTGGAGCAACGATGGGTGCTATTGACCAACCTGAAAGCTGCTGCGACGTACCAGTTCAGGGTCAGTGCTGTCAATTCGGTGGGGGAGGGACCACCGTCGGAGCCGAGTAATGTGGTCATGTTGCCGCAAGAAGGTGAGTGCGGGTCTTTTGGTGTTTTTAGTGGGTGTTGGTGAAGGCCTAGGGTTAGGGTCTAAGCAGAATTGTTGTTTGTCAAGTTGACACATTTTAATTATTTTTGGAGTTTCAGGTATTATCCAAAAGGGGCTTCGCTTAAGAAAGTGACCCTTAAGGGAGCCCTCAGGGTAATTTTTGAGTTAAATGAATTTTTACAACGTAACCATAACATCTTCTTCGACAAACTGCACAACATCTTCGAATATACCGCAAATCCAGGTGCGAGTTTGTTTTTAACGTCAGCGAGAAATATACTGTCAGATATGACAATTATCAACTCACAGACATTTCCAAAGTTCCCTCAAAGACTATTAAAAAGTTTTTCTACAAGGGCCTTTAGGGGTTGTTTTCGGATACGGCTCTTTCATATGAGGAATACTTCGTAAAAGTATTGAAATCTAGACGTAGAAACTCGCCGTATGCAGAAATTGTGATCTTTTGCTGAAAAATGGCATTTGTTTTCAGTGGAATACACTTCTGATTAGAACCTAATTTTGGGTACATTTGTTGTAAATAATGATCAGGTTAATACATTTTGTCATGCTTTATAAGGAATTTTGCCATTTTCTTTTTCGTAAAACGCAAATTCTCGTGATTGTGTTACAAAGCGTATTCAGGCAAATTGAAGGGTAGATTCAGAAGGTTGAGATATGAAAAGAACGTACATATAAACATTGATCTGCAGTTGCTTTATTTCCATATCAAATTATCTGCCTTTGATAGTTCCATTTCTCTAAATCTGATTGGGATACTAAGACAAATTGGAATACCCAAACATGCTTTCAGATTGTTATCTAAAGCACTTACATCAGTGGCGTTTGTGCTCTTTAAGAAAAAAGTAGCTTGAAAACAAATTGATTGAAAGCTACCTTTTGGAATTTGTTGCTCAGACTTCATATTAAAAATAGCCATACATCAATCTGTTTATTGAAAAAAAAATAGTGATGCAGCTGGCACTTATTTGACAAGCATAACGAAAGCCTCCAGGAGACACTGTTGACATGGTTTTTAACGTAAAACAGTCAAAAAACATGTCATTTCCGATTTTTTTTACGAGTGGCGCGGGAAGTAAAATTGACAACTATAAACACCACCTGTAAACGAGGAATTCCCGGGCTCATTTTTTATATTTTTGCGTAACTGAATATGCCCTTATATCTATCTGCCAACGTTCTGTATTTTCAAATGAATCTGTTTTGTTTCGGAAAATTGGTTTTGGAATAGCGCTTTACGCGATATAATGGCCATATTCCTTCAGTTGTCTGATTTTATTAGTATATTTTAGCAACAGCAGTTACTCAAATGATTTTGTGTCGTGTTTTATTTTTACATGTTCCAATACAGCAGTTCGACATGTAACTCAATATCAATTACATATGTTATTTTCATTTAATTTGGTCCGTTGTATCTCATAACATCATCAAAACTAAAATTGAATTATAAACGCAACTGATATGTGTTGAAATCTATAATATCGTGTTAAATAATTCATATGATCGGTGATTGAAAGCGTCATGTGTTTAATTATGTTACATTTGAAATGAGCTTAGCTAATGAAATTACTAATTATTTACGACGTTGGATCGTATTATTCTAGGTCGAGGTCGAAACACTTTCATAGTTCAATTGCTAATGTAATATATGTAAAGCCATATCACCCCTAATAAGTCATACCTTTCAATTTTTTTTTGTTTTGAGCTAACCTGTATCATTTAATCTCACTTGTTTTCATATAACTCGCTGTTTCATATGATCCGAATGTTTTCACTTTACACTATCACGCTTTAATTCCATAAAAATCATACTTTCAAGCTGAACTGTTTTTTTTTTCAGAATTGCTGCTTACTATATTTCATGTAACATCAGACAACGTACTTCTTATTATATTTGTATAAACAGTATATTGTTTTGATTTTTTCTTCTAATCATACAGGCAGCTCATACACATTTTACTTTAAAGGTGGGATTTCATCTGTTTAATTAAATGCATGCGATATATACGCCTATCTCTCCATATGAATTGGTTTTGTGGTCGTTGATTCCTTCTTTTTCGTTTCACTTAACACCACAAGCATGCATCTATCAACAAGTCACAATCTATGTTTCTTGAGTACTGTTAACTAAATGAATTGGATGACGAAAAACTGCACATTGTCTAATGATAAACTACACTTTACTACTACAGTTCACCATTTGAAATAAAATAATTAACAGCCTATGATTTATAGGCATTTAATATGCTTATAATAAGCTTTTGTGTGAGTTGTTTTGCATAAAGTAACTAGGAATGTTTCTGCATACCATCAGAACAAACCAACTGATATAGCTGCTAATAATAAGAATTACATTTTTGGTCAATATTTGAATATCAACAAAATGACTGCTGTACCCAATTTCAATTGTGTTATCACTGCATTTGTTTTATTTTCTTCCGGTTGTGCTAAAAACAGGGTTATCAAGATTGTTGAAATACATAGTACAATAACTAATTTTATTGAAAAAGTCAGTTGTGTATCGATAACTTTTCTATAATTCAATCCTTGATCTAAAATTGTTTCACTCGTGGAACTATCATGTTACAAAATGGACTAATAATATAAATGAATTTCAGATTTTTTTATTTTCAGCTGCATTAGGACCCATCTGTATAATAAATACGCTCATCTCTTATAAAAAGTATCAGTTTTCATTAAACTTCAGTGCACTAGCAGAGGTTCGCATTGACACAACCATCCATGCTTTTGCAGACTCGCTTTTTCTACGATTTTTTTTTCTCCAGAAAGCATGCTATGACAATATATATCTTAGTTCAGGAATGATCACAGTATTTATGAAAAATCATAGAATTGATACAACCACCCAACACATTAAACCCTCTTCATAGAAATATTACCTCATAGCATGAAAAATCAACTTTCTATTCATACTCCATAATTCACTCTTTTTGACATCATGGAATCTGTTCATTTTCTCGTGATAATTCGATTTGGAGCACGTGCAGATCGCCTGAACTAAGACTGCTGTAATATCTTCTCTGCATAAGTAAGACTCGTCTAACGATGCGTCAATTGGATTTTTGTAGCGCCTTCTGGACCACCTGTGGGATTCGTTGGATCTGCCCGAAGTTCTTCGGAAATAATCACCCAATGGCAACCGCCGTTAGAAGAACACAGAAACGGGCAGATATTAGGCTATATTATTAGATATAGGCTGTATGGGTACAACGACGTTCCGTGGACCGTTAGAAATATCACAAACGAGGTAAGAGATAGGTAATACAAGATAATTTTGCAAAATTTCCATTATCCTTCGTGCTCTTAAATATTGTTAAAATTACTAAAATTTTGAAATCAGCACGTTAGATTAAACCAAATCTTACATTGTAAAAACACCTGCCCCTAGTCGCTAGTTAGAAACGGTAAACATATTCTGACAGCTCGTAAGCCTCTTTTCGCCCATATTTCAACACCTATTTTCAGCTTAAGTCTACTCTATCTTTAGAGTATTGCCAATTTTAGGTATCTAGTAGGATTTTCAAAAGAACCCTCATAATACGACCCTGACACAAAATTCGTTAATTGACATCTACTGCCTATAAACTAGCTCCCTGCCAAATTATCTCCAGTAGAATAGCAAAGGACTTTCGTACAAACTTTTTAAACGGCTCGATTCTCCTTTAATCTGGCCCTGTCGCAAAATCCATTCTTAGCTGGCATGCCCTGTCCATGGGTTACCTTTCTGCCAAATTCCATGTTTATAGGTAAAATAGTTTAGAAATTAAGACTTTCGTATATATCTGCCCTTAGCCCCCCTTAATCCAGCCCTGTTGCGAAATCTGATCTGAGCTAACATGTCCTGTCCATAAAGTATCTCCTTGCTAAATGTCGTGCTCGTAGGTTAAATAGTTTTCGAGATAAATTTATATAAACCTAACTCGAAAAGTGGTAAGGTTGATATATTCAACCACCTCTCTAATTTTAAATATTCTAGGTTCTTCAACCTGAAGACTATTAACCCCCAATTCACCTCTTAGTGGTGGAATTTTCAAAAAATATTTGTTTCCATTTGCAGTATATCAAAAAAGCAAATAGACAAAACTTATATTTGTATTTATTTTCAGCTTGAGGAACAATAGTTAATCCATAGCAACTTTCAACCCCCACCAAGCTTTATTTTGGCAACAAAAGGTAGCATATGCCCGCCTCCAAGGTCTAATCTATATCTATGCCAGAATTCATCAAAATTCGTCCAGCCATTTGAAGTGAAAATGGGATTTACCTACGAGCATGATTTCGCATTTATAATAAAATTTTGGTCGAATCATCGACTGAGCGCCTCCGCGCCATACACCTTTCTTCAAATTCCATTAAGCCGTTTTGCTGTAGCCCGTGAAATGGATATTCCAAAGTTATTTCCTGAACGAAAGAGTAGCCAAACTATAATCTATCTCGGTACCAAATTTCATCCAGATCCGTTCAGCCATTTTGGCGTGATTGAATAACAAACACCCACACTTTCTCTTTTATAATATTAGTAGGTATTGATGTATCTTTTTGTTTTTAGGCTCAAAGGAACTACCTCATAACAGATCTGATCACGTGGAAAGACTATATCGTTCAGATAGCTGCTTACAACAACAAAGGCGTGGGCGTTTTTACGGAAGGCGCGAAGATAAAAACCAAAGAAGGAGTACCTGAAGCACCACCTACAATCCAGGTAAGTTTTATTGTTACATTTTATACTAATATAGTATGACGATGACGAAATTACTACTTTATATTTTGACTTTGAACACAAAGCATCGCGACTGCTATCAATATAAATTGATAGCTTTTTCCAAAACAACTTCTAATCAACCTTTTTTTCAGCGAGTGGAAGCACAGAACTCGACCACCATCCAGATCTGGTGGATCCCTCCCGATCCTCAAAAAATCAACGGCATCAACCAAGGCTACAAAATACAAGCGTGGCAATGGCATCCTAACAAGAACAAGCACGTTGAAACCAGCATGATGACAGTTCATCCCAATCTGCTGGATCCGTATGCAGAACAGACAGCTGTCATGACCCATTTGGAGAAATTTACTGAGTACAATGTGACGGTGTTGTGTTTTACGGATCCTGGCGATGGGGAAATGAGCGATTTCGTGTATGTGAAAACCAAAGAAGATGGTGAGTTGTTTTGCGTTTTATACATAGTCATTACAATCTTCTAAGATATATTGAAATATTTGGAAACTGTTTACGTATAATCAGATTCAGCTTAAGTTCTTTGAACATTCTGAAAATGTAGTTAGTCAGGTGTATGGTGTTTGAGAATCACACTACGAAAGATGTAAAAATATTATTAAATCAGGAAAAAAAGTGCGATTGCAATATTTATTTTATCCAACAATTACTTTAATCAGTGAACAAGTGCTAAATGTTACTGAAACGGAAGGTACTTAAGTTCATGAATTAGCATCATAGACGTCACTCGTGTTCTGAGAAGATATTTGACATTTTGATCAATTATTGTGACAGCTGTGATAGATGTCAAACGATCATCTGGCTGTTCTAATATTCTTTTCAACGCGATTTTATTAGCTTGACCTGTATGTATTTACAGTAGCAAACAAAAGTTTGAAAACATTCTTAGTAATTTCTAAAAAGTGTACCAAATTTTTATTATTTAGTAATAAGGACTGTTTTTTCTCATATAGTTTGTTTACAGTCTTCAGGATACAAATGACAATTTGTGTATGCTGTGGTACTACAGGCTAGCATTAAAATACCTTCATATTATTTTGACCGAAAATGAGACGAGCAAAGTATGGAAACATATTTTTCATTACAAAATTAAATACAATAACTACAAAGAGATTTAAAAAATACTGTTTAGCTAATATTTGGTAGCATAGCCTTTAGCATTCAATACTGTGTGACATCTGCTGCTCATACAAGACACCTGTTGGGATATTTTTTCAAATATTTTTTTGATAATCAAATAAATCGTTCCTATTTTTAAAAGTTTTCTTGTCAGATGTCTTTTAACATGCTCCCAGATATGTTCTATAGGGTTTAGGTCTGGGGATTGCGAAGGCCATGTAAGAACATTAACATTTTTTTAGTCTTAACCGGTCCTTTACTAATTTTGAGGTATGCTTGGAGTCATTTCTTGCTAGAATGTCTATCGTAAAGGCATTTCTTCTGCAGCAAAAGGGAGCATGTGTTCACTAAGAATATTTTTGTAAAATTTTTGATCCATTAAATACGGCAAAACTGAAATGTTTTCATACTTTTGTCGTTTCAAAAACTGTGGCATTTAAAAAATCGCGTGTTTTTATTTTTAGAGAATTTAAATGTTGATAAGATAGACCTTGTATTAGTACAGGAGCCAAAGGTAGAATTTAATATACTAAGTGACATATAAATCCGAACACCCAGTTTAAATGGTTTTATTTTAATAAAATTTTGTATAAAGTACTTAATGAAGCATAATAAGTAGATGATAGAAATTTCAAAATGATTGCACTGCTTTAAAGCCATTTGACCTTTAATAATGTGTGGATGCACCCTGATGTGCTACGCATTCTCCAACGCGCCTAGGCATGCTTCTGATCAGGTGGTCAATGTCCTCCTGTGGTATCTCATTCCAGGCAACCACCAACTCCTCTCGAAGTGCTTCTAGAGTCTGAGAAGGACGTTGCAAATTGAGCAATCTCCTACCCATCATATCCCACACGTGCTCAATTGGGGATAAGTCGGGAGATCTTGGTGGTCATGGTAACAATGTGACATCATTATGTTGAAAGAAATCTATTGTGACTCTTGCAACATGTGGTCGGGCATTATCTTGTTGGAAAGTTGGATCTGCCAGGGTGTCAAGATAGGGTAAAAGATGGGGTTCTAGAACTTCGTGGATATAACGCTGCGCGTTCATGTTACCTCTGATGAAGATTAAAGGTGACCTGGAACCATAAGCTATAGCACCCCAAACCATAACTCCAACAGTGTGATGAACATGTCTTTCAACAAAAAACTGTGGATTCCTCCTTTCACCACGTCGCCTTCTAACCATGGCACGACCATCGTGCATGCCTAAACAAAATCGAGACTCGTCACTAAAGACAATACTGTTCCATTCCTGATCCCAGAGTGACCGTTGTCTGCACCATTCAAGGCGATTACGTCGGTGTTCTCGAGTTAAAGGGAGGACCTAGTGTGGCCGGTATGAAAACAAGCCAAAACTTCTCATTCGTCGGTAAACACTTCGCATGCCAATAGGTCTTCCGTGTTCTGCAAGCCATACATTTGCAATGGACCTGGTAGTGGAGAAACGGTCCCTTAAGGCCAATAATCTTAGGCGGCGATCTTCGTACAGGTCTCCGTACTCTAGGCATCGTAACCGATCGTAAAGGATGTCAAGAACCAAAATCCGCCAACGTTGATTCTTTACTGCGGCTGAAATATTCATTTTTAGAGCGTTAGTGAATTAAAAAAAAGCAGTATATAAATTTTTTCACTTGTTATTTACAGTAAGATAAATATACGTACATTCACCAACTTTTATTAAAATAAAACCATTTAAACTGGCTGTTCGGATTTATATGTCACTTAGTATATTTATATTATCTGGTCCTTCACAATTTTAATTATATAGTTCATAATAATTTTAGTATTTGTTTCCAAACTTTTGTCCGCTACTGTATGTAGCAGATTCTTTCCATCTAATTTTCAAGAAGTCTGACTAACTTCCCCGGGGTCAAAGTTCGATGACAATTTAATAATCTCGTACAAAAAACGAAATTGAAATTTAAAAAAAAAATGAATTTTTAAATATGAAAAAAGTTGGATCTGAAAGATTGGAAAATAGTAATGTAAAATTTGGAAAATAGTTTAAAGATTTGGAAAATTTGGACAAATTTAGGAAATTTCTAAATTTGAATAAATTTGGAAGCAAATTTAGATTTGACAAATTTGAAATATACCAAAAAATCAAAGCTCTTGCTTATAAGTACTTTGTTGCGGTGCGTCATCTATTACTTTTTTTCTATTTGAAAAATCAACACGCCTTTTACGAGGTGAAATCGATTTTTTTTATTGATGAATGAAGGTTGGTTTATGCCATTTATGCATGAGAAATAACAGCAGTCATGTGACCACCGCGGCTTCGTTTACAGACCGACATCCGAACATCAAAATTTTCAATGACTTTTCTCAGAATAATCGTCTATGGCCGCAATTTCAGTCCGAATATTGCGCTTTAGGTCTTGAACTGTCCGGGGACCATTCGCATACTTTTTTCCGTTCAAAAATCCCCAAACAAAATAGTCAAGAGGTGTTAAATCGCACGATCTCGGGGGCCAACTGACATCTGAATTTCGTGAAATTATGCGGTCTTGAAATTTCGTGTGCAATAAGTCGATTGTTTGGCGAGATGTATGAGCCGTTGCTCTGTCTTGATGAAACCAAAGATCGTCGGTACCTATACGATCCAATTGTGGCCACAAAAAGTCTGTTAACATGCCGCGATAACATTCCCCGTTGACGGTAATAGCCTTTTCTTAGGCATCTTCAAAGAAGAATGGTTCATCGATGCCACCAGCCCATAATCCGCACCAAACAGTCACTTTTTCAGGATGGAGAGGTTAGTCATGATATTGGTGTGGATTTTCAGCCACCCAGCATCTGCAATTTTGCTTATTTACGTACCCATTGAGGTGAAAATCAGCCTCATCAGAAAAGAGCACTTTGGCCGAAAATCCGTCTTCTCTTTCCAGCATCCAATTAACAAAAACACGCCGCTGTTGATGGTCTGCCGGCTTCAATTCTTGTGTTAGTTAGATTTTGTATGGATGGAGATGTAAATAAATGTGTAAAATCCGGCGTAAAATGGTCTCACTAATCCCCAATTTGGATAACCAAAATGCGTTGTTGTGTTGTAAACGAATCCATGACTATAAATGGCATACCTTTGACAGTTCATTTATGCATATCTCATGACTTTTGACAAACATGGTAACAGATAAACTTATAGGTAAAGAAAAAGTAATAGATGGCGCACCCAGTAGTTTTGAGACTAAACATTCAGAAAATAAATTATAATTAAAGAAAAAGTAATTGATTTGGAAACAATAAGAACAATATATCCTACTAAAAATGCAGAGGTTTCAACATACAGACAAATTAATTACATTTATTTGATGCCTGCAGTACCTGATGAAGTATCCAGCCTCCAGTTCGACGAAATCAGCGACAGGGCGGTAAAAATAATCTGGCAACCACCAAAAAAATCCAACGGCGTTCTAACCGGTTACCAACTGACCTACATGATCAAAGATGATCCAGACACGCTGAGGGTGAAAAATCTCTCTGCCGACGTACTGAGTACAAAAGTGAACGACCTGCAAGCGACCACTCACTACCGGTTCGAAGTTACGGCATTCACGGCTGTAGGTCCTGGACCTTCCAAGGTGGCGATTATACAGTCAGGGGTTGAACCGGTGTTGCCACATCCCCCTTCGAAGTTAGCTTTGTCGAACATCGAAGCGTTCTCAGTGGTAAGAACCATATTAAAATCTATTCAAACCTCATTAGCGCCGCGGGAAAATAATCACCAGCGCGCCATCTTCAGATTAGATAGATGATTAGGCACACAGCTACTGGGCCTGTGCCCATTATGACGTTTGTATTATTAATTTGGTGGTCCTTTGAGAAAAATGTAGATACCACTTTATATTTCAATAACATAGAACATTAGGCATATATTTACATGTTTATGGTTTTGCTTGAATTTTACAGGTACTGCAGTTCACTCCGGGGTTTGACGGAAATTCATCCATATCGAAATGGACAGTTGAGGCTCAAACGGCGCGCAACGCCACTTGGTTTGTTGTATATGAAATTTCCGATCCAGACGCCATAACAATCACCGTCACTGGTTTGGTGCCCTTCACGATATATCGACTGAGGTAAGTCACTAGGAGTCAAATTCGTAGACCTTCTTTGAGGCTTGAGGCGTCCTTGGAAACAATGAGACTTTCCTTCAAATCAGACTCTAAAAATCCTAAGAAGGACAAACTTTGAGATGATATAAGTATTCCACTCAATGTCGTGAGATACTTTTCTTTCTTCCCTTCTGTTCAAATATAAAAATATTGAATAAAATAGAATCATTCGAACGTATATATTTAAGCAACTGCGTAGACAGAAACCTAAATACCGCGGCACTGAGACTGGAAGGAACTTATGTCTTACCTATCTCATTATTTTTAGCATGTGTGGTTAAAAGAGACTTCTGTTTTTTTCAGGTTAATAGCAAATAACGTTGTAGGGGCGTCTCACCCTTCAGAACCAACCAAAGAATTTCAGACCATCCAAGCTCCACCAGCTCATCCACCAAAGAATGTTACAGTTAGAGCTATGAGTGCTACGGAGCTACGAGTTAGATGGATAGTAAGTAAAAATCTTCAGTATCGTTGTTTTCACCATTCATAACTTTAAGGCTTTGCTCAGATGAGGCGCGTCATTTTTTTTAATTTTACTATGTTAATATACTCTCAACCTCGGTAGTTCTGCGAACTTTATATATATATATATATATATAAATTTTAAATTTTGTCGAAGTACCCAACAAAAGGCGGAAGCTTTAATTTTTCACCTATATATATATATATATACAAAATTTAAGCATAGAGGACTCTTTATACTTTTTTTAATTTTCTCTAGCTTTCAATGGAGTTTGCCATCATCATCAGGAGCTGCAATTACATTGATAACAGTAGCAACAATAGTGTAAAATGAATTTAAATTGACTTAACTTACAGTAGTATGTGAGGATGTTGCTAATTGTTGTTTACGTCAAAATTATATAAAATACACACAAATGTGTGACAAGAACAAGTTAAAAACAGATTAAAAATTTGTAGAACATGAAAAATTTTTAGAACATGAAAGCATTACATCGTGAAGCCACACACACGCGAGGTATGTCGACTGAAGGCAATGAAAGTCGAACGCCAACTGAACAGGCTATGGTAATGTCTAGTCTCTTAATACGCGCGTCAACGCTGACCGACGCGCGTATTGAGATACTCTGCGTCTAACGCAGAGCGCAGTCCTAGCCGTGTAAATTTTCTGACACGCGCTTCCAGCAGCTAGTATCGATTCTGTGCATAAAAAGCCTTACTGCAATACGTTTACAAATGTAAGGAACTAGAATAAGTTTGCCTATTATTTTTCAGCCATTACAACAAATCGAATGGTTTGGCAATCCGAGGGGTTACAACATCACTTACACCGAGGTACGGACTGGATTCGCTAATAGTGCAACAATTGAAGATCACACTGCAAACTCGCATGTAATCATTGGTCTCGAGGAGTACGCCCTCTATGAAATAAAAATGCAAGCTTGTAATGATGTTGGCTGTTCACCAACTGGACCGAAGGCTCTCGAAAGAACCAGAGAATCAGGTACAAAAAATAATACTTTTACTAATATTGTCAGTGTTTCTTTTGTTATCTATTTATTTATACACCTACAGCAGTTATACCAATTACTGGTGGGAATACAGCAAGATTACAAACAAAATAAAATGTAACTAAACCACATTTTTAACATCCTTGTATTAGCTTGACCTGTATGTAATGGAATTTTTCAACCTAATTTTCACCAATTTCAAGAAATCTGATTAAAAATTTGCGCAAGGATCATGGGCCGTTGGAATCTTGGATAACATTCGAATTTGAAAATTTTAAAAGAATTTGTATTTTGAGATGTGGAAAAATTGAATTTGATAATTTTAAAAATTTGGAAAATAATTTGATTTCAAAATTTGGAAAAAAATTTAAGATTTTGAAAAAATTTGGAAATAACGGAAGTTGAAAAAAATTGGGAATTTTGACAAAAATGTTACGTAAACAGGAATGAATTAAGTTTGAAAATTTTAATAGAATTCGAATTTTGAAATGTGGAAAAAATTGGATTTGATTAATTGGAAAATTTGGAAAATAAATTGATTTCAAAATTTGGAAAAAAATTTAAAATTTTGAAAAAATTTGGAAATAACGGCAGTTGAAAAAAATTGGAAATTTTGACAAAAATGTTACGTAAACAGGAATGAAGTAAGTTTGAAAATTTTAAAAGAATTCGAATTTTGAAATGTGGAAAAAGTTGGATTTGATTATTTGGAAAATTTGGAAAATAATTTAATCAAAATTTTGACTTAAAAATTGAAAATTGTGAAAAAATTTGGAAGAAAATTTTGGAAAAATTTGCAAATAACGAAATTTGAAAAAATGGAAGTTTTGACAAAAATGTTACGTAAAAAGGCATGGAATAAATTTTGGAAATTTTGGCAAAAAAGTTACATAAACAGGAATGAAGTAAGTTTGAAAATTTTAAAAGAATTTGAATTTTGATATTTGGAAAAAATTGGATTTGATAATTTGGAAAATAATTTGATGATTTCAAAATTTTATATAACTGAATTTGGCAAAAATTGCTAATTTTGACAAAAATGTTACGTAAACAGGAATGAAGTACGTAAGAATGAAGTTTGAAAATTTTAAAAGAATTCGAATTTTGAAATGTGGAAAAAATTATATTTGATAATTTGGAATATTTGGAAAATAATTTAATCAAAATTGAGAAATAAAAATTGAAAATTATGAAAAAATTTGGAAATATCGAAATTTGAAAAATGGAAGTTTTGACAAAAATGTTACGTAAAAAGGCATGAAATAAATTTGGACTTATTGTCAAATCGAAGCTCCTAGTTATAAGTACTTTTGTTGTCATTTTGAGACTAAAAATTCAGAAAATAAATTATAATTTAAAAACTAAAACAGCACGTTTTAATAGTAATTCGATATTATTAACAAGGCTATTAATTAAATTAGTGAAACGCAGAGGACCTAGGCATCAGCCCTGAGGCACTCCTGAAGTTTTAAATATTTAAATCCCTGGATTTGCATCCTCCGTACTGAATATATTTACTTTTTACTGTCTTTACTAAATCTTAAACTTATTTTGATTTTTGCAGTGCCATCTTTTGGACCGTTGAACGTTGAAGCGAACGCCACTTCTTCAACGACAATCGTTGTGAAATGGGGTGATGTACCTAAGGAGCACCAAAATGGACTGATAGAAGGCTTCAAAGTATTTTATGCTGCCGAAAGCAAATCGCCTGCTCAGTACAAACAGATTCCTAACAATTCCACATTCACAACTACCCTGACCGAGTTGAGAAAGTTTGTGACGTACCACATACAAGTACTGGCGTACACCAGGCTAGGAGATGGAAAACCAAGTATACCGGCAGTTAGTGTCAGAACTTTCGAAGATGGTAAGTGTAGAAAGTTAAAGAAATCAATTTTGCCGTCTCATCGTAGATAGTTAAAGCTTTATATTCAGTAAGTTCCGTAAAGTGACTATGTCGTGAATATCTATTACATGTAACATTCAAATGCAGTAGTTATTTTGAAAATTTGAACATTATTTATCTAACATTGTAATGCAATAAATTAATTTCAATCTTGCCCTTTTTTATATCCTTGACAATTTATCTGATCTTGCAGATCCTGGTCAGATTCATTGGCAAGGATATACTTGAACTTAAAATAAAATATAGATAAACATTGTTGCAATGATTTTATGTGATGCTTGGATTTATAAACTTTTTTTTTAGTCCCTGGAGCTCCGTCCAACGTTTCGTTTCCGGATGTATCGCTAACTTCCGCGAGGATTATCTGGGATGTACCTGAAGAACCTAATGGCGAAATACTTCACTACAAAGTTACATATCACATAGATGGCGTGAAGACTAACATGTCTTCCAAGGAATTCCCTGCTACAGACAGAACATTCACTGGTAATTTAAAATAAACATGAACTTCATATCTACTACTCCTGAATTTGCCATTTATATTTAAACTTATTAAATCGCTCATATACTCTTAGAATAGAATCGGGCCCAGTACTGACCCTTGAGGTACACCTGCGTTTATATTTAATTCGTTTGCAATGTAATCTCTTGAAACTTTTACAATTTGGGATTGATTATTATTTAAATATGTTTGAAAAAACCAATTAAGCAAAGTTCCAGTACGTCCGTACTTGTTTAATTTTTTTCATAATTCTTTCAGTCAAAGCTCTGAAAAAATCACAAAAAAGGACGACGCAAATTTGGTTATTGTCTAATTTGAGTATATCTGGTGAAGTAATATGAAAACAGCATCCCTGGTTTTTATTTTTGAAATCCGAATTGATTTTCACGTATAATTCTTTTGATTATTAAAAAGTCTTTTAAATTAGAAAGGGCGCTCAGAATACCCATTTTATTTTTTTTATTGTTTTTTGCAGCTATTCATTTGGAGCCAGAGCGATACTACATGTTTTACATCACTGCTCAAACGAGGTTAGGATGGGGAAAGACGGCGCAAGCATTAGTTTTCACTACGAATAACAGGGAAACACCTCAACCACCTTCAGCACCTCAAATCAGTCCCAGTCAGATCCAGAGTACGCAGATCACTTTTAACTGGACACCTGGAAGAGACGGATTCGCTCCTCTGAGGTATATAGATATGTGACATTTTTTTCTCATAGTAACAATATACTTTTATGACACAAATGATAGAATTTTACCTTTTGTTTTTTAGGTATTACACTGTACAAAAAACAGAAAACGGTGGTCCATGGCAAACATTACCAGAAAGAGTCGATCCATCTTTGACTTCATATACGGTGTCAAACCTGAAACCGTACACATTGTATCGATTCAGAATACAAGCTACTAATGACATCGGACCCAGTAGATTCAGTCCTGAATCCATTGAGGTCAGGACGTATCCTGCAGCTCCTAGCAAAGGTAAGAATAAAATTTTTGTCAATATACTTAGCGGAATCCCCCTATTTGATTATATTATAAGACAGACACGCCACCCTCGTCTATTGTCCCGAAAACGCCAAAAGTACTCCGAAGGTGCGTTCATAGCACGACCCGTTTTAACTTTTCCAACTCTGACGCTCATCTCTATTTCACTAGTATCCATCATGTTTTGACGTCTACTGAGGTGACCAGCTGATCAGCAAGTGACATGTAGCGTTGGCAATAAATATAGTAAAAATTTCTTGTAGTGTTTTTTATTTTGTATGCAAATGCTAGACGTTTCATGATTTAAGATATAACTTTTATGTAAAACGTCAGCGTCAGATTCGTAAAATCAATTAAAATTGTGTTTGTTGTCTTTATGATTGGGAGATAACTCCACATTAACAAATATCCTGTTTGCAAACGAAGAAATGGTACATCCTCAAGCTTGCCTTATTTTTCGACTATCCATAAACCAAAACTTCCAATAAACAATATTAAATACGCAAGTTATCAATGCACTGCACTGCTTCTCATCAAAAACTTGTCATTACTCAAGATTATATAATAACCCAACCCAACCAAAAATAGCTTTAAAGCAATTCATTTTGAACCACGGCAAACAGTAGAGAATTTAATTAATTAGTGATCACACATAGTGTAATTATTTACTTTTACTTTAGAATGTCTAGTATTATATTCAGAGTGCCTTTATACAGTAGCAGAGAAAACTTAGGAAGCATTCAGACTAATTTCGAAAAAGTGCGCGAATTTTTTATTCTTTATTATTAAGGACTATTTTTTTCTCATATAGTTTGGTTACAGTTTTGAGGATACAATTTGTGTTTGCTGTGATACTACCGACTATCATTAAAATACCTTAGTATATAATACCATATTATTTTATGAGTCGACAAAAGTAGGGAAACATATTTCTTATTACAAAATTAAATACAATAACTCTAAAAAAAGATTAAAAAAATACTAATATTTGGTAGCATAGCCTTTAGCCTTCAACACTGCCTGACATCTGCTGCTCATAAAAGACACCAATTTTTACAGACGTCTGTTGGGATATTTTGTCAAATAATCCTTATATAATCAGATAAATCGTTCCTATTTTTTAAAGTTTTTCTTGTCAGTTGTCTTTTAACATGCTCCCAGAGATATTCTATACGGTTTAGGTCCGGGTATTGTGAAGGCCATGTAAGGATATTAACATTTTTTTAGTCTTAACCAGTCCAATTTTGAGGTATGCTTGGGGTCATTATCTTGCTGGAATGTCCATTGTAAAGGCATTTCTTCTTCAGCAAAAGGGAGCATGTGTTCACTAAGAATATCTTTTCAAAGTTTTTGATCCATTTCCCCAACAATTTTAACAATTGGATCCGTGCCAGAACTAGAAAAACAGCCCCATACCATGATATCGCTTCCACCGTGCTTAACTGTTGACAACTGATACTTTTTGTCGATTTTTTTTCGTGTTGGACGTTTCACATAAAATATGCCGTACCATCAGATCCAAACAAGTTAAATTTGCTTTCATCGCTCCACAAAACTGTATTCCATTGTTGTTATGTCCAAGTTAGATGAGTTTTAGCTAATTCAAGCCGAGCAATACCATTATTTTTTTTTAAATGAGAGGCTTTTGCAGTGGACTTCTGCCAAAAAGCCCAAAATCCACCAAGCGTCTCTGCACTATTCAGGCAGAGAGATTCTCGGCACCCTCTTCTACGATTCTTTTGAAAATCTGTGTAGCTGGCATTCGAGGATCTTCATGGGACAAACGTTCAATGTAACGATCCAAAACATAATCGTTTTTCCGGTCTTCCGCACCTGGGCCGCGTTGCTGTTGATCCATATTCTTGATATTTACCAATAATTTTGGAAATCGTCCCTTCGTTTTAATCTTTGAAAAATTTCAACATTGATGACACCACTTCTAAATAATTAAATTACTTTGTCCCTTAAATGTTTTGAAAATTCTTTCACTTTTGCCATTCTCACTGATGTTAATATCTACCGCACGCAATATCAGAGCATCGCAGAACGAATAAATTCGGCAAAACTGAAATGTTTCCAAACTTTTGTCGATGCAAAAACTGTGGCATTTGAAAAAACGCATTTTTATTTTAAGAGAATTTTAATATTGATCAGATAAACCATGTATTAGTACCGGGAGCCAAAGGTAGACTTTAATATTTATATTATATGTTCCTTCAAAATTTTAATTTAGGTATATGAAATAGTTCATAATAATGTTAATATTTGTTTCCAAACTTTTGTCCGCTACTGTATATGTGATGCCTTTCATAATTATAAGTGTTTTTATTAGGAAAATCTTAGTTTTTAACTGCGCTTCTTGTCTATGCCAAAACAAGTATTATTTTATCCTTATCGCTTTATTCGTTCATTTATTTTCTCTTTGTAATCAACTTGTTTTGAACAAAACCCTATTGATTGATTCATTGAAGCCCAACATTACTCAAATTCTTTTCTTACTTGACCCACCTCTGCTCCGAGTCAAACACTATGAACGCAGCCTGATTAAGCGAAAACACACCCAGAACTGTTGTCAATACAAATACCGGTTAACTGTTATGCAATATTCGGCTCAATGTCCTTTGTTTAACCTTTCGTAGGTGTAGCAAAGCTGAAAGCAGTCCCAATAACTACAACAAGCGTTGAGGTATTCTGGGAGCCAGTCGAAGAACAGTGTTGGAGTGGAGACAGTAAAAGTGGTGGATACAGGGTGATTTTTCAACCGGTATCAGATTTTCCGACAGCCTTGCAGTCTACTCCTAAAGAAGAAATTATGGGCATAAATGTAAGTTTTATCTCTATGACGTATGAGGGATATAAAAGTCAAACATATGGTTTCAGTAACGGCTTTGTAGCTATATTTCCCCTTTTTTTTATTTAGGCGAGCAAAATGGTTCTAAGCGAACTCCTGCAAGACAGGAACTATGAAATCATAGTAGTACCGTTCAACAATCAAGGAGAAGGTCCGGCAAGTCCTCCTATTACGGTGTATGTAGGAGAAGCTGTGCCTACTGGAGAACCAAGAGGTTTGCAAGGGGAACCAGTATCTTCTACTGAAGTTAGATTGAGGTGGAAACCTCCACAACACCATATGCAAAATGGCGAACTTCTGGGCTACAAAGTAAGTTTTATCATTCTGTATGTACGTATTATATACAGCAATGTCCTAAGAATGACCCTGTAGTCGTTTATTAAATTTTTTGTAACGGGATATAAGTAGAAGTATTTCGGAACCTTTTTTGAGATAATTTTCTTTTTTTAGATATTTTACCTAGTGTTGAATTCGCCCCAAGAACTGGAAGAAGGCAAAAAGTGGGAAGAAGAAATTGAAGTGGTACCAGCTTCCACTACGTCTCACAGCTTGGTGTTTCTGGATAAATACACCGAATACAGGATACAAATATTAGCGTTCAATCCAGCCGGTGATGGTCCCAGGTCTCAACCGATCAGAGTGAAGACTTTACAAGGTTTGCCCAGTGCACCAGTGAATCTAAGGTTTACTGAAATTACGATGAACAGCCTGGTGGTGTCATGGGATCCACCTAAGAAGAGGAATGGTGATATCATTGGGTACATTGTCACATACGAAACCACAGAAGAAAATGAACGTAAGGCATATTGCATAATTGTTATATTTAACCTTCTCTAGTCTTTACATTTTACATTTTTGTGCAACCATTTTGATGACGCGTGGCATTTTAGTTATTCTATCATATTATGAATAACCATTATTTGTTTCAGGTTTCAGCAAACAGGTCAAGCAAAAAGTAACGACCACGTCTCTGCAAGTAACGAGTTTAGAAGAAGAGGTGACATACACTTTCACAGTTAAAGCACAAACGATTGATTATGGGCCACCGATTTCAAGCAACGTAACCACAGGGCCTCAAGAAGGATCGCCAGGTACCCCCAAAGAACTGATGTTACTGAAAACTTTATCGAGCGTAGAGCTAAGGTGGTTGAATGGTCCTACAGGCAAAGGGCCTATACTTGGTTACTACATTGAGTCACGGAGAAAAGGTAAATTTTAAAAAATTTAAACATGCTTTATTGTCTGAAGAATACAATCATTCTTGATGACAAAGCACACTTGGTATAATATGGTTTGCAAATTAGAAAGTGTTTAAGTTCATAGCGGAATATTTTTGATTGTGGATTCTCTTGATATAATCAGGGAGGCACATGCACATTTTCAGACTTAATTTTGATATTATTAAGTCTTTCACAATTGTTGATTTAGGTACTACTAATTTAAGATCTTGTTTGAGTCTAATATCGTAACTAAAAAGCATGCATATTGCTCGTGGATTACTTTTAGTTATATATTTAATATGATACTTCATTTTTTTTTTTTGTAGAATAAGCACAATTTTGGGAAGAGACACAGTTTTGTGGTATGATCTGCAAAAGCTTTAATTAATATAAACTAAAAATGGATCGGACCTAGTACTGATGCTTGAGGTGCTCCTACTTTTATACTGAATTTATTTGAAATATATCATACGATTTTTTTTTATTTTTGATAGACCTTAATACTAATCGCAATTCATTAACCGTAGGATAAATTGAGAATTTCTGATCTATATTTCTTATTATATCTGATTTAGTTTTGTTTACGGGTCATCAGTATTTTGAATATCATTATTCAGTTTTTCTGCACCGGGATTTATAGGTGGTATTTTAGGAGAAGCAGCAGGTTTGCCTTGTAATTCCTTTATGTCTTCATGCCTCCTTGGTTTTATTTCCTGCGCTTATTTTCCTTTCATAATAATTCATTTTTGCTAAAACTAAACTGGGTGTCCGCAAAGTTGGGGTTTTCCTTTTCAGACACAACTATGCTTGATATAACAAGGCTAATGTGTGGTGAAACGTGACTTAACAAGTAAACAAAAAATACATGAAAAAGTACTCACTGTTCAGTTGAATTGAAATTCCAAGTACGGCTCTGTCGTAAAATCCGAGGAGCACATGTAACAATATTATGTTATTTAAAAAGAAAGTTGTCAAGTCCTTAATGGAAAACCCTTTATATACAGTAATGGACAAAAGTATACACACAAATTAATATTGTGCTGTATTTCTTTTTTAACTTGTTTTATTAATACACCAACCTGTATACATAGTTCGTTATAGCATAATACTCACTTATACATAAATAAATTCATTAGACTCCATTCAATAAAAAATCACTTGAAAAAAACTGGAACTATGAAGGACAAAAATATATAGACAAAGCAAAACAATTATTTTAGAAAACCAACCATGTTTGTGTTAATATTTTGTAGCATACCAATTATTATCAATCACCGCCTGGCATCGTCTCGGCATAGATTGTAGAAGTTTCTTGATATAAGATTCATCAATCTGTCTCCACTTTTGCTCTAAAATGGCAAAACTTTCATCCTTGTTTGAATAATTTTTATCTCGTATTTGCTTATCTAAGTATTCCCATAGATTTTCAATGGGGTTTGTATCGAGAGACTGTGAAGGCCATTTGAGAACTGGTATTTTTTCATCAAGAAAGAATTTCTTTGCGAGATTTGAAGTGTGCTTCGGGTCATTATCTTGCTGGAAGATTGATCTTAAGGGCATATTGTCTTCCATATAGGGTAACATGACATGCTTTAGTATGTCTGTGTATACAAACTTATCCACAATGCCATCTATTCTATGTAAAGGCCCCATCCCAAACCCCGAAAAGCACCCCCAAACCATAACAGACCCGCCTCCATGTTTGACAGTGGCAAACTGTACTTGGGTTTCAATCTTTGTCCACGTCTAACGTAATTAACACCATCTGATCCAAACATATTGAAATTACGAAATTACTTTTATTAATCTAACTAATCCAGCATTTCTAGGCCGACCACTTCTCTGAGAAGCTTTCCAAGATATATTTGTTGAATATTGCCCAAACTGCTTTACGCGTCAGCTTCAAATTTTTGGCAATGTCGACTTGACGTTGACCATCTTTGTATAACTCAATGATCTTAGTTTTCACATCGAAAGAAATTTCTGGACCACGCGGCATGCTCTTAAAAATCACTCAACTAATGTTGAAAAGAATTTGTCTACATACTTTTGTCCCTCATAAAAAAGTGCTTATATTCAGACTTTTATTGTGTTCATTGCAGTGAATGTAAAAACAAGGAATTTAGTTTTTCTACTAATAACGCATTTGTTTAAGGAGCAATGAAGTACGAGTTCGTTTTAGGTATTTAGGTAAATATTCATATTTTTCTATATACTTTTGTCCATTACTGTACATATTTTCCTACGGATATTCAGTTATTTTTTATGCTTCTACCTAACTTCATCTCATTTATGATTGGTGGTTCTCGATTTCAGACGATACTAGGTGGCAGACTGTAGCAAAAACGACCAACGGACCCCTGCAAGAATTCACCGTCTCTTACCAGAGCTTACTACCGTCCACGTCCTACAAATTCCGTGTGATACCTTACAACAAATTCGGTATCAGCTACCCAGCTTACGCCGACGAATCGGTTTTGACGCCGTCGAAATTGTATTTGGAATACGGATTCCTGCAAAAGAACCCGTTCTATAGGCAGACGTGGTTCATGGTGGCTCTAGCTGCGACCTCGATTATAATCATCATTATGATCATTGCGATACTCTGCGTGAAGAGCAAAAGTTACAAATACAAACGTGAGTACAATGTATAAACGGTCTTATTTATAACGATACATAAATGTGCCTCGGCTATTTTTTTAACCCTTGTATGACATTAAGTATTTTAACTTTATATACATATACCGGATATTTCAAATTCGGGCCTCAACATTGGCATCTCGGAAACGGTAAGAGAGACCAGACGCTTAAAGTTTCGAAATTCAAAGTATTTCCGGAGAGAGACAGAAAAAAAAAACAAATTTTCCCCAAATTGTTTTAATTTTTCCTGACTTTATTTGAAGTGGGATGTTAAACTGCACATTAGCATTGCCATTTTTTTTTCTCTACAAGACGGCATTATTAGAGTTTCAACATGACGTTTCTTATAGACGCCAAATTGTACTTTTGCATAGACAAATATAGTATTTAATTTTCCTCAGTTATTCCACAAAAACAGGAGTTCCTAGGTAGGTCTTAAAATTATCAGATAGTCATTTGTTTCGTATACCAGACCAGACCTTAAATTAACACACATTTAAAACATCTGATATTATATACCTCTGCTTACGAATAATTATAATTATTATTGTCATTATAGTCTAATCATATTAGATGAAAATACCCCTGGTTTGCGAACCAATTGTAAAGTCTGGTTTTATTGCTGCAAGTTGTTCAAGGGGGTATTCAAAACATGGACGCATACAATAGGTACACCAACTTTTTATTCGACACCAAAGAATGAGAAAACGTGGTTTTTGGGATTCAATCGAAAGTGTTGGCAGGAACGAACAAACTCTTCATATAAGATTTTTAGGGATTTATGAGACCTACAAAATGGGACCACAGGTTAAAAGATCCGACTAATAGCAAAACAAGTTATTGCCGAAAACCGAGGCAAACTGCAGGTTTTGGCACTTATTGGTAATACGACGATGGTTTCTCGCAGATATTTGAATTTCTTCAAATTCCTAGGATTCATACTTCTAAATAACGATAACAAAATTGGAGTAGATTGCTCAAGTTGTTTTTGAGAATTTCTAATTGTTTATCCCAAAACATCTGTTTTTCGGCCATCACTACTAGCTTATTGAGCAATATACAGGGTTAATTCAAAGGGCATTATATAGCAAAATACAGTAGTTTGCCTTGCCGATAAGAATCGCAAACTATTCCGGAAGATAAATCTTATTTTTATGCAAAAAAGGATGGGTTACGTTTTTCATTCTAAACAAATTCAAACATTTCGTATTTGTGAGTAATTCACAACAAAAGATGATAGACACATCGGCTTTGTCTCAAAATGTGTATAGCAGCGTATGTTTTTCGAATATCGTAGCGTATTTGTTCAATTACTGACAAATACGAAATGTTTGAATTTGTTTAGAAGAAAAAGACGTAACCCATCCTTTTTTGCATAAAAATAACATTTATCTATCGGAATGGTTTGTGATTATATAATCCACTTTTGTTGTAGTTATTCAAGAAGTATGAATCCTACATCATTCATTCATTCAATCGAAACTGTTGGGATAAGCAATTCGTTATCCTCAAAAAACTACTTGACCAATATGCGCCAATTTTGTTGTTGCTATTTAGAATCCTACGGATTTGAAGTATTTGCGTGAAATTATCTTCGCATTACCAATTGCCAAAACCTGCATTTTGCCTAGTTTTTCGGCCGTATCATTTTTGATATTATGATATATTGATTTTTACGTGTGGTCTCATTGTGGTCTCTAGTCTAACTCTAGTCTAAAAAGATTATATAAAAAGTTTCTGTCAACACTTTGGATTGAATCCCATAAAAGACGTTTTCTGATTCTTTGTTGTCAAATAAAAAGTTTTCCTACAAAAGATTGGTGTACCCATTTTATGCGTCCCTGTTTTAAATACCCCTTGAACAACTTGCACCAATAAAACCAGGCCTTAAAATTACTTCTGAGAAAATTGCTAATATGATTAGACTATTACCATCAATAAATTTTTCATTTTGCGATCAGGTTTTACCATACCTTTTTATTCCCATTTAAATGTACAAAATTCCAATATAATGCCCATATGAAAAAACAAATTTTGTGAAAGAAGTCGAAAGAAGAGACCTCAAATTGAAAACTTGACTATGCCATCTTGTAGATAAAAATAAGTAACAATTATAACACGCAATTCATTTTGAAATCCCATCTTAGGCAGCAAAAAATAAAAATTATTTTGGGATAAATTTGGTATGCAAGACAAATTACCTTCTGATAATTTCAATACCTACCTAGGAAATTCTGCTTCTTTTGAAATAACTAAGATTTGGCAATGTCAATGTATGACGTATTATATTATACATTTTTGGGATCAGAACTAAAATCTCTATTCATGTGTGCAAAAATCAAATATGACGTCCGTAGCAACAAAAAAGTTGATGCTGCTGGTCAAAAGATGAAACGTTATATTAAAATTCTAATTATGCTATCTTCAGAGGAAAAAAGTGTTAAGGTCAATGTGCAATTTATTTTGAAATCCCACTACAAAGTCAAGAAAAAATTAAAACGATTTTGGGATAATTCGCTTTTTCCGTCTCTCTCTAGTACTTTGAATTTCGAGACTCTCCAAGCGGCATTTTTTAATTACCAGGTCTATGGGGATTGCAAAGTACTGTTTCAAGATCATTATGAATACATTATTTCAAAAACATCAAAAAAGATAAATTACTTCTATAGAGTTTCCCATAATCTCAGTATGTATTCAAAAAAAAAAGTATAACTATAATTCTTTCCCGTTGTATATATTATTCAAGCATTTTGTTTATAGCAAAAATTTACATATTTTCAAAATTACAAATTCTACAAAATAAAGCTATGAGAGTAATTACAAATAAAAACAAATATACTTAGATTAAATTTATGAATGTATCATAAAAAATCTCATATGGTATTTAGTTCTTTCTCATTTTCATATTCAAATTAAGAACTCATTTATTTCCACCACATTTAGAAAACATCGTAAAATTGAAGTCATTATCATAACTACGAAACTAGAGGCAGTATAGATTTTCATTTTCAAAATTGTAATAGTAGCATAACTAGCAAATCTGTATTTCAAAAGGGAGTATTTGAATAATAATATTAAGCAGTGTTCGAATTTAAAAATGTTCAAGGTGAAATCACTATACGAATATCCAAAATGTATAGTAATGTAATTTTAATAATAAAATTACAGAAAATTGATTCAAAAAATGTGTAAACGAATAATTATAAAAAATGACATTGTAGCATTAATGCTAAATAAACCTTCAATAAAGAAAATGAAACCTAATTAAACTGGTCTTCAAAAACAAGTCATGTTTGAAAAACCAATCACAGATTTTTGCAATTACCTCATTGCTTCTATCATTTCCAATTTACTCGAAACCAGTATTGATGCATCATATGCATATAGTGTGAACACGCATCCTCACACACTGTCTCAATCTCATGGATATAGAAGAAGGACCTTGGGCACCCCAGTATCAACTTCACTACACTACATTGCTGATTCCTTCACTCATGTTTCTTTCACTTCAAATTTCAGAAGAGGCCCAGAAAACCTTGGAAGAATCGATGGCGATGTCGATGGCCGACCACAACGACATCCCGGGCGAGTACTATCGGGCGACGCGCAACGGCACCGCCTCCGGCGCATCAGCTGCCGCAGCGGCGATGACCGCGTGCGCCGGCGGCGGCACGATGAGCAGCGGCAAACGGTCGACGCTGTCCAGGAGCAAGGGCGGGCACGGCGTGCCGCCCCAAGTGCTGGGCAGGTCGCCGCCGAGGCCGTCGCCCGCCTCCGTGCCCTACAACTCGGACGAGGAGAGTTTGAAGGGGTACGACGAAAGGGCGGACGATGATAGCAGCGTTACCGAGAAGCCGTCCGAAGTTAGCAGTTCGGATTCACAGGTGAGTTGCGAATGCTGCGTTTTTAAGTAGGACTATGGCAACAGTCACTAGTGAATGACACACTTAGTAGGATGGTTTTGCAAAAGGGATTGCCGCTAGGTCATATTTGACTTAATTGTCAACTTAAAATTATTCATGAAGTTTAAAACAATATTATGACAAACATTAGAAATCATAGCAACGCTACTTAGATATTATCCAAAGCAACTTGGTTATAATGTTATAAAAATGGTACAAATAATGCATTGGAATTTTTAAAAACAAATATCTCGAAAACTATTAGCTTTAGACATTTCTAACAAGTATATATATAATATATAAGATTTTTCGGTCAGTTGTTGTATACCGGGTAGCACAAAAAAGTTATGACTAGTTATTTACCGAGATAGTGCTGTAAGTAGCGCCCTCTAGAAGTTTGGCCATAAAAAATAACGGATTCATGTTTCTCGTACTACAAAACCTCCCTATACCGAGTTTTATGCCAAAATCTGAAATTCTTCTCAAGCAATAAGGAAAAATAGAAAATAAAATTGTAACTTTGACACCCTGTAAATCTCGCAAACTATCAGTTTTTGGACTAAGGTATGTTTAGGTCAATTCACATATTTTGGTCTGCAGTATCTCCAGTTTCGAGATTTCCCAACCTTTCGCAGACACAGTTGGTCGTCAAACTTTTAATGTTTCTCAAGCAAAACTTCCATTAAATAAAATGAAACTCTCAGCACTACGTGGTAATTGCGGATATGGCACTAAAAAATTCTTCAAGTGTCGTAAGGTCCAATTCTGAGTAAGAAAACGAGTCTTTTGAGGCCTCCCGTCGATCCCAACGAAAAACTAACTACAGATTCGGGATCTACGCTCTCGACTCACCCAAGTAATTGGAAATTGTAGATAGACATTTTTTTAAATTGTTCCACTATTCCTTTAAAATTCGGCGAACATTGGATCTCGAACATAGCTCTAAACCTTGTATATTTAACTCTTGTTACCTCCAAATAGAAAACATACAAAGTGTAAACAAATAAGTTCCATATCAGTTTTTGGTTATTCCAGTTAGTATTCCAGAAATAACTCAAAAGAATTTGGGAGGAGATGAAGATGTATTGCGATGTCTCACGCAGGTTGCGCACATATAGCATCAAATTTCGTATTTTGAATTTATAAAGAATAAGAAAAGAAGTAACATGTGTCTGGATCCTCAGACGTTGTGCTTAGCACCCGCTAACCTGTGAAACTCCTTTTTTCAGGGTTCTGAAAGCGAAAACGAGAGCGTCCGCAGCGACCCTCACTCGTTTGTAAATCACTACGCGAACGTGAACGACACGTTACGTCAGTCGTGGAAAAAACAGAAACCAGTAAGAAACTACAGCAGCTACACGGATTCCGAACCGGAAGGTAGCGCCGTAGTGAGCCTGAACGGTGGCCAGATCATCATGAACAACATGGCGAGGTCCAGAGCACCGTTGCCAGGATTCTCATCTTTCGTGTAATATTTCTTTTTAAATTTAATAATAAGTGTGTCATAAATGTTTAGTGGAGGTTCGATGATGCCGATGAATTTAGTGGAGTAGTTCGTTGCGAGAGAATTTGGGTGAATGGGTGGTGCGTGATTTCTGGTGGTTTGACGGTATTTGGGATATCTTAGGTGGCCTTCCTCAGAACATTAAGCGACTTTTATGGCTTTGACATAACTACATTTACAAATACACGTTAATTTGAGTAACACTCTCTGATGAACGCGATTGACCTTAGCCAAGGAAATTAAGACTAGTTGGAATTGATCTCGTTTATCAGAACACAGCGCTACTGAAGTGATCACTTACTGTATCGAACAAATAGTCATCCCTACACTAGCGCTACAAAGCTCTATGTTCTGGTCAAGGCAACTCATTGCTAGAAATTTTTATTGCATTTATTGGGTTGTAATGCAACAGCTCCTCGAACATTAGTCAAGAGATATTTGCTTCATATTTATATCGACAACTTGTGCATCAAACAATGCTTTTAGGAAATAATATAATAATAAATAATCTGTACCTGGAAGCCATTAATTCAAAAAGTACATTTTTATCCCAAATATTTTTAAAAACAAATTTATTTTTGTATAAACAAGATCCAAACCATGTCCACGTCTAGCACTTTCTAAGTGCGGGTATTGTTTTTGTCACAATCCCAAGTCATCTATACCAATTCTTATAGCTCGTGCGTATATTTAAATTTTTGATAAAAAATGTTGAAAGTATACTTTAGATGCTCAGTTAGGTACATTCTAATAATATCCACCTAAAAAATATACAAATGATCGTTTCATCCAGTATTGGGTCCTCCGTTTTTCTACACAAGAATAAACATTTTTGAATATATTTCGGGCTTTAAGAATGTCTAAAATTACTTAATCATAACGCTGTTAGGCGAGGTATTGTAGGTATGGACATATTACAAAAGTTAGTGCGTGCTAGCGGATCGTCTAAAACGTGTAATTTTCGGCTTCATGACGATCGTTTCATCCAATATTGGATCATTCCAAATAACGCTATTCTCCTTTTTTAGACACAAACATTTTTGAATATATTCCGAGCTTTAAGAAATTCTAAAATTACTGAACTATAACACTATTAGGCGGGGTATTGTAGGTATGAACATATTACAAAAGTAAGTGCGAGGTAGCGGATCGTCATTTTCGGCTTCATGACGATCGTTTCATCATCTATTGGATCATACTAACGCTGGCCTCCTTTTTTGGACAGAAGAATAAACATTTTTGAATATATTCCGAGCTTTAAGAATGTTTAAAATTACTGAACTACAACGCTTTAGGCGTGGTTATAGTTTCTTGATATTATGTTGGGTTTATAATCACTTTTAACATAACTTAATCTAATTATGATCTATTTGGTTGTGTGGTTTCATTATATTTACTACTCACTTTAAGGTCGATTTATAAACTTCTGACGTTGCTGTATCGTTACCGTAACGCTGCCGCTGGCAGTTAAAATCAGTTTATAAACTAGCTAACGCATAACCGAACCCAAAATTGCATTATTTTCCACATATTAGAAGACCAAACTTACCTGTATACCATATGCAGTATCTTCGTCACTTGCAATACACATCTCCTGATAATTCATATTATTATTTAAATAAACTATAGCAAACAATATCAAGGAAAGTCGCGTCGATTCCAAAAGCAAAACAAAGCATAATATGTCATGTCAAACAGAGCAAAAGCACGCGGAAAAACCAGCTGTTCTGTCACAACAAACACGAGATTTTCAGGTTGCCTTTCATTGGTTGAACGGGAACGGCATAACGTTAAAACTTTGTCAAGTGTAGCGGACTTCCCTTTCATAAACAGTTTAACGTCGAGCTGGTGATTCAAGTTCTTTGTTACGGAACGTCTAGCACCCCAAATGCAACCAAAGGTTTTCATCACAAAAAATGTCAATGCAAATTGTCACTTCACATCTGCTCATGCATGTGTACTTTGTTATTGTTATTTTTCCGGGAGAAATACTACCTGCTCTCTGGGTGCGATTCAAAGATCGACTGAACACCGACTGACTGCAAAGGCTTTTTCTCTGCCGTGGCATTTTAGTGGGGTAGCGGGGTGGAAAATGGCGACTAAAGGTAGTTCCACGAGAACACTGGGTCGCGTCCGGCGAGGTTGCATTTTTCCCTGAAAATGATCGCAAAAGGATAATATCAGCATGTAAAATGTGGCGTGAGAGTTTTTTTGAGCGATTTCAATTCGCGGATTTTTCTTGAATATTAAGTGCCTTTTAAGGAATGGCCTCTTCTTGGATTTCAAACAAACAGTATTGCTTCCGTGAGGATGTAACATTTGCTTTTCACAGTAAACTGTAACATTCCTCAGCACGGATTTTCAAAATTTGGAAAATTTTCGAAATTTGCACGATATGCATTTTCATAATTTTGTAGATTTGAGAATCCTGAAAATATTGAAGATTTACAAATCCTAACAATTTTGGAACATTAGAAATCCTGAAAATTTTTGAAAAATTGAAATATGTTGAAAATGTTGCAAATCTCCTAAATCGTTATTGTTTGTCTAAAATTCAAGGATCATTCTTCAAACTTCAATTCTCAACGAATGGCTATAAATATGACCCTAAGTGATGTTGAGAATCTTGGTAGGTTTCGGGACGGGTAAAGACCTGCTCAATAGCTTGGTAAGTTTGTTACCTCGGTTTTCAACCTGATGTTCTGTGAGTCATATAAGATTCTTACAATATCTGACAAAACGAGGCCTTTTGATGCGACTTTAGAGCTGACTGCGAAAAATACTTTTGCTCAGTTTGTAACTATACATAATATTCGTCTGAGGTTTTGCTATTACTATTATTTGACATCCGTCATCAAATAATCCCGAACAATAGTTATACTTACCTTAAATAAACTTGTCCATAGCATCCATCCATTGGTATTCGCCTTTCTAATTTGTCAGTCTTATTCTTTCGTTTGCTCATTTTTTTGGTAAAAATAGCATTGATTCTGACAGTTCCAACAAATTTCCAACTATCAAATACATCCAAACCAATTAATATGATCCACTGTACTAATGGATGTTTGGTTCGGTATCAGTTACGGGTTAGTTAGGGAAGTAAAGTCGCAATTCAAATACCATCAAACCACCGATTCTTCTTAATTTTAAGATTATCTACTGTAATATTTGGACCAAATGTAGGCAGTTAATTTCACTGTGATCTCGTGTGTCCTGGGATTTTAAACTATCGGCATTATCGAATCTCTGAATTATTTTTAATTCCACAAGACTTGAATTTAGAATTTTAAACTTGTACATAAATGTTTCTTTATAGGAAAATTGTTACTCTTTATACAACTTTCAAAAAAAAAAATGGAAATAGCTAAATATATTGTACATAAAGGTATATATCATCTTAAAACATAGGCTTTTTAATCATTTCATCTATCACTGTCATTTTTATACGAGCATGTTGCATCTCAAAATTTCATCAATATAAATGCTCAATTTGATTGCTTTCGAGAAGTGCAATGATATTCAACATACTTAATTTTCGAGTATTTGAATTTTGCCATTGTATTATTCATTTTATATGGCTTTTCTACTTATTTTAGCTTGTGATTATTTTTGGTACTAAAAATTTTTCCGAGTGAAAAAATCCAAAGAAATCACGAGTTATTTTTAAATGTAATTATGTAATTTTAATTTTTGGGTTTTTGCATACGTTAGTGAACAATGTGATAAAGTAATTAATTACTAAAGAATTTTTAAATGAAACTGATTGGTAAAATCTAAAATATAATAATTGACCTGAAGTAATTTACACACATGGTTGAAACTATCTTCAGCTCGTTATTATTTTTCAATTTTGGGGCGTTTGTAATTTCAACCTTATCTCTCTTATTTTGACTACTTGATAAATTGTATTTTAAATCGGAAAATGTCAATTAGATTTTACTCTTTTTAGCGATTTTTTTATACAACTGCACAAACTACATTTTCAATCTGAATGTAATTATGTCTACAAAATTTGTTTCCCGTGAGACTCCCGACAATTTTTAGATTTTGATTCCAAAAAAAGTATACCGAACGATTTTTTCCTTTGCTTTTATGATTGACAAGATATCATCTGTTTTGAGTTCAAGTCGGCCAATTATAAAAGGCAAAACGTATTCAGGGAATGTGCTGTAGCGTTTAATTTCAGTGTCAAATGGCAGCTGTCAGCATTTTTTGATACAAGAATCAAGAATCTATTTTACTTTTTTTTGGAATGAAAATTGAATTGTTGCCCTACCTTGGGCCATTAAAAGGGCTGAATGATATGAAATTTCATTCATTTTGGTTGAACATTCTTATTTAAATGGAATTTCAAGTATGTACTTTGGAACCTACATTTTTCTGTCATAGATTCAGCCCTTTCTGTGTTCAAGCGAGCATTATATTTTTAGGACCTTCTAGCTGCTGTACTGATAGATATATACACAGTGTACACTGCCTTTTTGTTCTATGTATTTATTATAAACATAAAATAAAACTGTGATTCTATTAAGAAATTCGTTGTCGTTTTATTAAGATTTGGCTTTGTTGAAAAACAAAGCGTCCTCCTCCTTGTCGGCATTGGAACTTACTGACCGAATTTCAGCACCCCAAGGTAGTCATTCAAAACGGTGGACCTTGTGGCGGCTACTTATATGCAGCGCCATCTATTGGAGAGTAGCCGAATAAAAAATATATTCATCCGTATACGTTTCTTAAATGATTTCAAGCTAATGCTGTGCATTGTCAACTAGAAAATGTTAAAAACTGTAACATAAAACTTTTAAAATGACAAAACCTCAGTTGGGCTACCGTCCCACAGATGGCGCTCTTTGTAAAGTGTTATCACAGGTCACACAAAATTTAACTAGTCAAGAACATTCTTTAGGGGAGGTTGGTCGGGGTTTGGGCGGTTTCTATTACAACGCGTCTTCAAAGTTCAAGAAACTTAAATTTCCGTGAGAGGGGTTGAAAAACCCCCCATTTTTTTATAAGATTATTTTATTATATTCTAATATTACGTATTAGATTTGGCTTTGTTGAAAAACAAAGCGTCCTCCTCCTGACATGCATTGGGGCTTACTGAACGGATTTCGGCAGCCCAAGGTATCCACCTGCTTCTGTATTCAGGATGGGGATTAAAAGGTCACAGGCTGTATATTTTTCCGATTTTTTTAAAGCCTATAATTAGAAAATTTCGTTTTGTGTACCCCGTATACAAACCCATTTTGCATAAGCCCACTCAAAGGCGTCAAAACTGCTCCATTTTGGATGATGGTGTGGATGACCGATAAGCAATAAACAATGTTTTTCCTCGAAAAATGTATTTCTCATCCATTTTTTCAGCAATCCTAGCTTGTCAACAAATAATAGTGCAGCTCTGAAATCATTATAGTAGGTGAAGGGCACGGGAGTAATGGAAGCAAAAAACCTGCTACACTGTAAACGTTTTATATTTTGATGAAACACAGTCGATATTCCTACCGACTAAATATAAAAATTTAATGTATGTGCAAACTTAGGAAACCTTTTCTGTTAAATAATCTTTTGCATAATTGTATCTACAAATGGCACTACACCCTAAGACTTCTTTCATATATATTTTCATATAGTAAAAATATGTATTACAGTTTTGATGAATTTTAACATTTTGAAATCATCCGATTTGAAACTTAAAAGCAATTTATTGGCAATAAGTTACAGAATCTAGAAAGCGTTTTAAAAATCTGATAATACAATAAATAAACCAATTTCATATCAAAATAAAAAACTGATTGATACACATATTCACAAACTTGATAACTATTTACATTCAAAGACTTCGAGTAGATCTTCCAAATATTACATGACCAGTAAGGGGTGAGATCACTACGGATCCGCTCAAAGTCCCTTCAAAAGCCTTAAAATCTAACAAAAGTTCACCTTAAAAAGAAGCTCACTTATTGTTCTCGAACAGCTTATCCCTTAAGCATTTGATTTTATTCACAAAGTATGCCTCTAGTGACTCTGCACACTTATAGAAGGGAGATTCTTTTGGGTTATAATATCTACAGTTATCGAAGATCTTCGTCATGTCCCCGATGAACTCGCTGAGTTTCGTGTACGTCTGGTCGTTCACTTTAGTTTCGATCATTTGCAGATCTGGAATGTAAAAAAATTGGAGTCAAGTTGGTTCACTCTGCACTTCCCACGCAACGCTGTCATCAAAAAATGGTTGAAGTCGCCAAACAGTCCCATACACAATTAGTAAACACCCCATAGTCCCCATCCATTTGATAACGCTACAGCTAGTTTCTTCCCTGCCCGAGTATCGACCATATTGCAACGCTGTTGGACCGCCCTTGCATCGGATCGTCCCGACCGACCGCCTGTTGGTCTAAAAATATTTCTCCAAGTTATAAGTGAAAAAATGTATCGGGAATTCTTCAATGTGTGAAACGTACTGATAGATGTGGAAAATTACTGCCATCAATAAAAGGTAGCAAAGTCTCCTCATCAGTCGCCGTGCGCAGTGCGGGTTCGAATTCCATCCCAAGAGAAACTTTGCTCTTGACTATGGATGTTGTGATTGCCCGTAGGTGGTAGACGGTCTCTGACTGTCGAACGAGGAGGTGCCACCCGGCGGATCTCGTAGGCGGGGCCAGAATGTGTACATGTTGCATGCATACGTGTTCCCTCGCCAGAGTCCGTGTGGCGTTCCCCCTTTCCCCTGTATACCCCTATAGCCCCACGGTAACAGATGGGTCTGTAGGCCTTCGTGGTAGTTGGAGCATAAAAAAATAAGGTATACCTTCCCACAACCCCCAACCCCCGATTTTCAACCCCTACAAAAAATTGAACAGGAGCCTCTGTAACATCAAAATACGAAGTTTGAGCGATTTTAATTCTATTGTTTTTGCCTCTAGCTCCGCTGCCACGTACCCGATTTTCAAAAATTACAAAGCTTTTTCGTCCTTGGCACGTATTATTACGAGCACTCTTTGTCCCCATGACCAAAGAAATTTCGTGTGCAAAAGGCTGCTGGAAAAGTGCTTGCTTCAGTGATTTGGAATAGTCATGTCATTTTCACTAATTACCTAGACAATCGAAAAACCATAACGGGAGAATATTATGCAGCATTACAGGGTTTGTCCGGAAAGTAATAGGACTCATTTTCTTCCGCCATGACTGTACTGGATTTGGTAGAGGGCGTTCCTAGCTAACGAATGAGCGGCTGGTCAGTTGTCTCCGAGCACTTGGAGAGTCAGGACAGGCATTTTCGCGCGACGTGTTTCTGTGAGTGGTGCAAGCCGAAAATGCAGCGTTCGTTAGAGCAGAGGTACGCGATTAAATTCTGTGTGAAACTCGGTAAATCTGCGACAGAGACGTTTGATATGATCAAGCAGGCTTACCCAGGTGTTGCTTTAGCAAGAAGTGGTGTATTTCGGTGGCACCAGGCCTTTTTGGAGGGCCGGGAAGAGGTCGCTGATGAAGACCGCACTGGAAGACCTTCGACTTCGACAAACACCGATAATGTCACTCGTGTGCGTAAAGTTTTGAACTCAGACCGTCGACTAAGTATTCGTTTAATTGCCCAGATGTTAAATTTACCAAAATCTGTGGTTCATGACAATGTGACACAGCATTTGAACATGCGCAAGGTGTGCGCGAAGGATGGCCCCCATTTTTGAATAACGTAATCACAGGTGACGAGTCGTGGACAAACCCTGTATTGTTGGTAATGCGCGAAAAAATTGTGGAAATAATATGCGGAAAGATTTTTAAGTAGCAGTTTCGATGACATGGCTTCGCGATTGGGTTTCGAACTGATTCACTTGACTTCGCACCTGTTTCCGAAGCAGGAAAAAAGTTTACGGGTCGCAAATTTTCTTCGAACGACAAACTGTTAGAAGCTGTTGAAAGCTGGTTTGTTGACAAGAAACATTTTCTACAACAGGATCGATGTAAAAAATGTGTTGAGTTGAAAAAAATATCAGTTCGAAGTTTCCAGTCTTCCTGTAGCAGACTAGGAATATATCAATATCCTCCGAGTAGACTACCATCTACATCTATTCGACGGCATCTAGCGGTCACAGTGATGCTGACTCTGCTTCCGACGCCAACTGAAACCTCTGATGCTTTATAGTTTCAACAAATAGCTACTATTTGCTCTTATAGTGGTCGATTCTGATAATAAATGGAACTAGTTTTATCAGATTATATCCTCAGGGGCGAACGAGAGCGATCCGTGAGGCTCGCGGTATGTGGGCCATAGCTTCTATAAAAAGTACATGTATCAAGAAAAGTATCAATATTTATCTAACTTATCAAAAATTAAAAATAACAGTTCACTCACCCATTGGTTCTTTGATGACTTTGTAGTAATCAGGTGCTTCAGTTGGATCAACTGGTTCCATAAATGGCCAAGCGCTCTTATGGGCCTAGAAAGTAAGTCAATAAAACATGTCAAAAATAAATTAGAAATAAATTTAAAACAAAATTGTTGTGAAAAGCCTACAATAAACGAAGGTGCAAATGCTGATTGGGAATGCACATACCTGCAGTTGTTTTATGAGTTTTCTCAAACCGTCGAAGTCTTTCTGAGTGAGGTTCTTCATATTGGCGTAATTCACAGAATTATTCCGTTGACACCTCGGACAGACATATTCGTCTATATTATCAGCTTCAGACTGCAATATACCCACACACCTGCCGTGAAACCAGTCTTGACATCGATCGCAGCAAATATAAAATCTGAAAGAAGGAACTATATTATACACCAAATAAAGATATGGTGCGAGGAAGAAGCACTCAGCGCTGTAAGAAACGAATATAATCTAGTGAAGCCTGTGAACTTGTCTGGAGCATCCCATATGTACTGGACTTGAAGTCTTGGAAAACGTAGAAAATATGACATATTCTGTTTAAATTAGTAAATAGGACTAATTATGTGTCTCACCAATTACTAAAAATTGTGACAACCATGTTGAAGTTGACTTCTTTCGTCATAGCTTTGAAGTCTTCATAAATACTCTTAAACACCTCACACTGTCTGATGAAGTCGAGAATAAAAATGATGCTGGATGATTAGTCAGTCAGGCTCCTCAATAAGTATTTAAATAAACACTTACTGTGATTCATCATATGGTTGTTGGCAGAGACAGTAAAGTTTCTGGGTATCTCTGGCCTGCTTGCATTCTTGACATATGAATTCGGTCAGAGTTTTGCTGCTTTCTTCTGTTATACCCACGCAGTCACCATGGAACCAGTTATTGCACAGGTCACAACCAACGTAAAACTTTGTCTCGTCGTACGGAGTTCGACATATGCAATAAAGCTGAAAAAAAAATAAGAATATATTTAGCGTATTTTAGAATCATCGCAGCAGTATTTTCTTGAATATCAGTAGACATTGGATAGCTTCCGTCAGTTTGACAGCAGCAGGAGAAAATACGATGAAGCTGTTCGAGCTGTAAAAACGATTCCGAAATTTGACGCCGGGAGTACCAGTGCTGCTTTGACAGGGTTGCCATGTTGGTGATTTTTTACCGAATTTGGGGAATGTTTACTTGGGGATGTTTTTGGGGATATAATATTAAGGGGGAAATCACAAGTTTCGCGGATAGAAATTATTCTCCCGCTCTTTGTACCAAACATATCCCTTTATATTAATGAACTGAGATTTGGGGGACTTTTTAGAAAAAATAATAATTCTCAGGATTTTTAGTACTTGATCTGGGAACATTCTGTCCCACTCATATAGCAATGTTGTACTTTGACAGATCCGCCTTATGAACCCGTTCCTGAAAGTCTGTTTTTTTTATAAAACTTAAGAAACGATAATACTTGTTTATTAATGTGAGAAAAACATTCCGACGCATTATCAATGTTTTGCCTTTAAAAAGTACCGTCTAAAGAATTTTATATGAAGAGAAAAAGCATTACTTGCTCCCCGAAATTCAAACGTAAATTTCGCGCCAAAGCTGTGACATAATAAGTTTTCCGGAAACAAATCCCGTTGGCTGATTCCTTTGGAGGGAATTAGGATTTCAATCTCTCATTTTAATGAGTTTCTTTTCGACATTCGAGCAAAAAAGCGAGGATAAACTGGGTGATTCTTGAAAAATTAATACAATCGTATTTGAGCTCTTAAAAATGCAATTTAGTCTAGAAGAATACCCCATCTCTAAAGATGGAATTAATGCAAATGTTACATCAATATGACTCTGCGAAGGTGTCCAATATATGCAATTTGGATTTAGAACCTTGTTAGTCGGATTACAGCTCGATGCTTTGGAGTCGCAACCTTCGAGTAGTAAGACTGTAATCCACTTGCAGAAATCTGTAAACATATGCATTTCTCCGCATAACCTTTTCATTCTGTATAAGGCCTAGATAAGTTCGAGCCTCACATGTTTTGGGTTCACACAAAGGATATCTCTTGCCAATAGATGGCCCTCCTCCTCTCCTGACAAAAATTCCTATGGGCGTGGATGACGATCAGTCCATGCATCAGCAGGACTGCGAAGTGTATGGCCGACTTGCAAGGCTTGGAAATATTTTCCCATCATTCTAGGATAAATGTAAGTGGAAATCTATGATGAGTGAAATATGCCTCACCACGGCTGGAGGCGTATAATACCACTGTCAAAAAATTGAGTGGCGCCAATGGCATAGAAAGTAAATATCGCAACTGTTGGCAACACCGCCGTCGGTACTCACTTTCTCCTTCTTGAGTCCGCCCCGTTGCACTGTCGCAACACTGGGGGCATTACCCTGTTGCGTGGACGGCGACTGGTTCCTCCCTTGGTGCGCGGGCAAGAAATGCCCCGAAGCCCCCCTTTGTTGGCCGCCCTTTCGACTTCTTCCGCCCGAACCGGACCGATGGTGAACGGGCGCGGGCGGGGTAATGGCTGCCGTCGTTGGCGTCGCAGCTGACTTCCGTTTGCTGCTGCCCGTTCGCACCTCGTCCTGCTTTGATCGCTCGATTTTCGTGCGGGCCGCCAATTCCTCAGCGACCTCTTTCTGCAATAAACATACCTAATATAAGATTTTGAGTTCATTAACCCATTCAGTGCGCATGGCACACATGTACGCCGACGACCATGAGATTACGTAAAATCAGTTTGTGTCAGTATCAATTTTTTTTAAGTTCGCGAACCATGGATGATATAGCAGTGTTCAAGAAAAATAGATATTCTAACTTCGTAAGCTTATAAAGACGTGAAATAAACCATTGGGAAATGCGAATCGCGGCTACAGCAACACTGAATTCACTCACAATGATTGTGTTTTCGATAACGCTGCTGATATAGCAAATGCATTCGCTAATTTTTTCCAGTCTGTGTATTCTACCCCCAATGTAGCAGCTAGGCCAGATGATGATATTATTGCTACAAACAATATTGTGTTGAATAGCTTCACAGAAAAGGAGGTTCTTATGGCATTAAAGAAAATGAAAAAAGTTCACTAGTGGACCTGATGGTATACCTGCATTCTTAATCCGTGATTGTGATCCTATTCTTGCTGCACCTTTAACTAAAATCTATAACCTAAGTATCAGATCACATACATTTCCTGAGATTTGGCGTGAAGTCAAGGTTCGACCTATCCATAAAAATGGAAGCCGTAAATTAATTGAAAACCATAGGCCTATCACTATTGTGAGTAATTTTTCGAAAACGTTTGAAATGTTATTACATAATTTCATACAATACAACGTAAGTTCTTCAATTTCTACAGCACAACATGGATTTGTAAAAGGAAGGTGGACAACAACAAACTTAGTCTGTTTAACTCAATTCCTAGCAGGTGTTTTAGATTCTAATGGTCAGGTTGATGTGCTATATACTGATTTCAGTAAAGCGTTTGATAGAGTCGATCATGGTTTACTACTGGGAAAACTAAATAGCATTGGCTTATCCAAAAATTTGGTATTATTATGTCAGTCGTATTTGTCTGATCGCAAACTATATGTGGATTTTAACGGTGGTAGATCAATTTAATTTTTTCCATCTACTGGCAAATTGCTTTTATTTACAAAGGAATCTTGACAGACTGTCTGAGTGATATTTGGCAGGACATTGTGCTTCAGTGCACACCTAACTAATTTAGTGAATTCTGCCAACAAAGCACTGGGATTCGTTATACGCAATTCAAGAGAGTTTATCGGTACCACAGCACCTACAGTGCTGTACAATTTGTTTGTTCTTTCTAAGCTGGAATACGGAAGAATAATCTGGAACCCATGCTATGTTACCTCATGTGACTCATTGGAAAAAAATCAGAAGAAGTTCTTGAAGTATTTATCTCTCAAAACTGATGGTGTTTATCCTCCCATAGGGATTTCACAAAATAACTTACTTCAAAAGCATAGGTTTCTCAGCCTTGATGATAGAAGGAAGATACAATCTTTAGTCTTTTTGTTCAAAGTTATAAATTACCAACATGACTGTCCATCATTTTTGTCTATGCTAAATTTCAATACACCTAGAGTACGAACAAGGGCCAACCTTGCCTTTTACCTACCTACCCCACGAACGAATCTACTGCTGCACTCACCGCTATATTCGATATGCTCATGTTATAATGACTATATGAATTATTTTGATATCCTCAACACATCCATTTCTATTATTAAGAGAGTATGTAAAGCGGTAGTTTTTTTAGAGCTACCACAGTTTGATTGAGCTATGGTCAGTGGTAGCTTTTCATGCGCTCTTATTGGTAATTACTAAGCAATCAATGCAATTAATTATTTTGTGATTTTTATATATATGTACTGTATTTCCCATCAGTAATTGGTTTATAAACTGTTGGTGGTGTAATTAAATAAATAAATAAATAAACGTGTGCCGCAAGTTCCGAAGCAAACGGTAACAGTGTTGTCAGTATATGAGTTAAGGCGGTCGTGGAAGGCACGATAGATTTAACTGCAGGAGAAGCGAGATTTATTGTGGAACATTATTTTCGAGCGAGTTCGTTTCAGAAGTTCTTCATGAATTGAAGCTGTATTCCTATCGAATTGAGGTACGACAAGAATTGAAACCTCCAGACTACGCTCGTCGAACACAATTTTGTCGCTGGTTTAATTCTTCCTGTGCGCCAAGGTACCCAACTAGCAAAGTAGTGCTATAAGCTTTTGGTAAAAGAACTGTTCAGCCATAAAAGCTCTCTATTGTTGTTGCCTGAACACCAAAATGCTGGCTTAATGTTGGGCGGAATGCAAATTTGCTTTCTGCAACATATTTGCTCTAAAATATGGTGTTTAAAATATTCTTATATAGGGTTGTCCAATAGGGACGCAGGAAAGTAAACGTCAATTTGACATAGACGCCATCTTTGTTTTCTGTCACCGACATGTCATTTTGTTAGTTGAATGTTTACCATTGATCGCTATGGAGTCGTATTCGATTGAAGACCGCATTAAAGTTATTCAAGAGCACTACAAATATGGTGCAAAAATAAAAAACACGTTTCGCGCGCTCGTGAACATTTCGGTCGCAACAACCGCCCAAACGAAACAACCATCGGTCGTCTGGTGCGTAAATTCGAGGCAACAGGTTCTGTGGCAAATCTGCCAGGCTCTGGCCGGCCAAGGAGCGTTCGCACACCGGAAAATATTGCTGTTGTGAAGGAGAGTGTGAGAGACGATCCGAAACAATCAACAACGCGTCGATCCCAAGAATTGGGCATTTCGAGAACCAGTTTGCTCCGCATTCTCCACAAGGATTTGAATGTACACGCCTACAAGATCCAATTGACGCAAGAGCTGCGTCGGGCCGACCATTTTTCGCGCCGAACGTTCTCAGATTGGCTCCTTGAACACCGCCAAATTAATGCCAATTTTTCATCAAAAATCATGTTCAGCGACGAAGCGCATTTCACTTTGAATGGGACGGTAAACAAGCAAAACTGCCGCATCTGGGCGAACGAAAATCCCCGTGAGTATCAAGAGCAGCCGATGCATCCTCAAAAAGTGACTGTGTGGTGTGCAGTGTGGTCAAAAGGCATCATCGGACCTTACTTTTTCGAAAATGCGGCCGGGGACGCCGTTACCGTCAATTCTGAGCGATATCACGTGATGATAGAGGACTATTTTTTGCCGCAACTTGAAGGAATGGATATGGACGATGTTTATTTCCAACAAGACGGTGCAACATGCCACACAACCAACGTCAATATCCATCTATTGCAGTCCTTCTTCGATGATCGCGTGATTTCGCGCAGAGCAAATGTGCCATGGCCGCCAAGATCGTGCGATTTGACTCCCTTGGACTTCTTTTTATGGGGATATTTGAAAAGCAAAGTCTACGTCAACAAACCAGCCGCCCTCCAAGAACTCAAAAACAACATCATTGCCGAGTAAATGCCATAGAACCGACCATGTTGCAAAATGTCATTGAAAATTTCGACCATCGCGTGGACGTCTGTAAATCCAGTCGTGGTGAACATTTGAGCGATATTATTTTTCATACATAAATGGTATAAATGAACCTTCAAAATAAAGTACCCAACTTGATTTTAATATCAATCTTTCTTGTTTTAATATGCGTTTACTTTCCTGCATCCGTTTTGGACAACCCCATAGTATAGTTATACAACACCTTATAGGACAAATTTTTAACTGTTGCATAAACGTTTATACAACTATTTTATACGGCATATTTGCACGTTAGTCAAAATTGTTGTGTTGTGGCATCCATTGTAACGTTTATAAAACAAACCCGAGCCTTGTTATTTTGCTGTGCAAATTTACTACTTTAGCCAACAAATTGCTCCTAACGGAAGCACTTATACAACTGTTGCTTAGTATCTGTTAAAGGCTGTACATATGCAACAATATTACAAGTTTTGTTGCTGTGCTCGGCATACATTTGTTGCTAGATATGTTGGTATACAACTTCACCATAACCTAACTTTCTGCTGTCATATTTTTGTTAAAATGCCATAACCAATGTTTTAAGACAAACAACGCATAGATATTAATTCAAAAGGTTTTATCAACTGTTTAAACAGAAGATATAGATCTGGTACAAATTCTGGGTAAATCATTCGACTCTGTCGGTATTTAATTTCAGACATTTGTCAAATTGTTGTATAACACCTGTAGGCAACACCAAAATATTTCTAATAAACCAAAGACAACATTAGTGCAATTGTGTCTAAATATAGGATTTGTGTAAGATTTAACGCATATAAGTTCAGTTTTCCATCTTAAAAATCTAGACATACATTTGATCATTATTAAAATATGAGTCAAACACGAAGCCCGTAGAAATTGTGTAACTACTTTGCACGATAATCACAATAAAATTTGCTGCGCAAGTAATTCAATAGCCCTATATCACAGTGTAGAAGTTTATCAGATACCTGTGTATGAAATTCATAATGGCCGATATGTACGTAAACAAGATGACTGTAATGTCTTAGTTATATATTCTTCACTTCGTCTATACAATACATAAGAAACAGTTTGGTTGCAATAAAGTGGAATCATGTAACAGAATAGTTGTATAGTTGACAAAGACAGAATCTTGCACTGACGCAAATGTCCTATAGCGGCTGCAAGAGGCTTGCACTTTTGTTGTATAACTGTTACCTGCAGTCCTTATACAACCTCTTAAATGACTGAAGTGTCCTATTAGGTGTGCCCATTCCGCTTGTATAGCTGTTCTAAGAGGGTTATTACAGTATACAATGCTGTGTAAGGAATACTGTATAATCATTCTTGCAACTCTAATAGGAGTGATAATTGTTAGTTGGGTATGGCTCAGTTGGACACGGTCTTCTTCTCTGATGAGGCTTGGGTGCATTTAGACGGTTATGTACGAGTAAATGCACAGAATTACCGTCTTCGGGGAAGTGCAAATCCTCATGCCTATGTGGAAAGAGGGTTACACCCTTAGAAGATTACGATATGGTGCGCTGTTTCGCGCGTACGAGTTTTTGGACCCTTCTTCTTTACTGAAACCATCACTGCGGAGCGACATCAACAAATCCTCGAATTGTTTATTGCGTCTTTGAAGCCGGAGGAACGTTATTGCCGGTTTCAGCAGGATGGGGCCACAGCTCACACGGCTCGTTCGACAATGAATTTCCTAACTGAATTTATTGGAGACCGCATTATTTCGCCAACATTGTGGCCACCACGATTTTTATTTATGGGGCTACATCAAAGAGGGTTTACCACAATCCTCTTACCTCAATTCCAACCCTACAAGCGCCTATTACAGAGGCTATTGACGCAATAAAACAAGCAGTCTTACATAAAGTGTTCCGCAATATGCAGAGTAGGGTAGGAGCCTATCTTCGAGCGGATGCTTTAAGTGTTATCTTCTTGTTCGTATCCATATTTTTAAGTATCATTATTTTTATTTTTAGATTTTAGTTGGAGTTTTGTTGTATGTTGTATTAAGAAATAAACGTGTTTGAATATGGTTGTTAAATATTATTTTACGCTATATTTGGGAAATAAATAGGAAAAAGCCCATGTCACGCATGTGTATCAGTTGCAAACGTATATCAGTAACAAACACGTCTCGAGGGTTTAATTATAGAAATAGACTCTGAAATAAAAAATAGGTGTGCACCGGAGGAAGTGTGATGGGTCGCAGCGAAAGTTTTACACCAATATTCTAAAGGTGAGCTAGGTGAATGTACAGTCTGAGAAAATCAAAAGTTTGCTTAACAAACAAGTTCTAGAATCGCTTTAAAATAAACTCAGCCTAAAACACGGTTCGGGGTCGAGTACAAGTAGGGGAAGGTTGAATATTCATTTGGACATTTGGCAGCCTCAAAAATAATTTTTTAATGAGTTTGTAAGCACTTAAAATGACCATTTTATGATTTTTCAGGCATTACATCGCTCATAACATAAAAACGCTCAGAGACGCTTTCTAAAGAAATATTTCTTTGTTCAGAATGAACCGGAAATCACAAAAGTCTGGAGCGAGAATTTTTTTTTGTAATTTATTTATTCAAAGGATATTCGCAGCCAAGAAGTCCAAAAATGACTAAAACCGAACTTTCAAAATCGTCTTTTTGTATTTACAATAATGCTCCCACGCACAAAGTTTGTGACAGAAAAAACACCAATTCTGACATTTTTTTCGATTTAAATACTTTGTTACCTGAATCTCATACTGGAGTTCTTTCTCCAATAAAGCACGTTTTCGCAGAATATCCTTCTTCAAAAGTTCCTTCTGCCTAAACAAACTGACCATTATTTTCGTCTTGAAATTAACTTTCTTGTCCGTTTCAGTGACTTCCTTTATTTTCACTCGCGATCGTGGTGAGATTTTCTCTCTGACCTCCTGCCTGCAATGACAAAAGTAACATTTATAATAGATATCCAAAATCGACATAAAAATGTTATTGATGAAAAAAAATAGGCAAGAGGATTAAATTTATTAAGTGACTTCAAAGTGGCCTAACAATTTTTCTAGAAAATTCCCTAAATAACCTACAGTTTCTCAACTTTAACAAACTGTGGATTGCATGACAGGCTCTACGTTTTATGTTATATATGGTGTTACAAATACAGAATGCTAGAAAAATTGGAGAAATAAAATATGAAAAAAGTACATATGAATAATGGTCGAAAATGATTGGTTTCCATAATTTGCAACTCTTTGCCTTTGATAGGTCACCATTTTTAAGCAAAAATGGCAATTATAAAAGGTTATAAAAGAAACAATATTCTTAGCCATGCATCAGTCAACGCCAGACTAGTGAATTGTGACCCCAGCAAAATACGTCATAGAACACGATGCGGAACTGGAGTTTTAAGCGTAATTGAAATTTATATTTTCATCAATAAATTCAAAGTCAGTCCCGAAATTAACGAAAAAACTGATTTGAACGTCGCTCTTTCGCACTTACTGCACATCCGGCTCAAATTTCTTCGACTCGCTGTTTCTGTTCGGCCTACTGCGTTTCGGCTGTTCCATCACCCATTCAGCATCGTCGTTATGCCGACTGGAAGCGCTCGGTGGTCTTTTTCTGCCGGAGGAGGAGCTTGTTACAGCCACGCCCACCGTCGTCGCTGGCTGAAACCGCGAGACTCCGCCCGCTGAAGCGGAAACGGACGGTAGCGGAGAGTGGGATGGCATCACGTCCGGTTCGTGTTTCATTTGTTTCTCTTGGTAACGCTGCAACTGGAGGAGCTTCTCTTCGATCTCCGGGTTGAGGTTCTCTTGTTTCAAGGCGGACTTTATCGCTGAAAAAATAGGGAAATGGAATGCATGCGTGCAGTACGGTGTTACACAGCTTAAAGGTTCAGTTATAATTTCAGGCACTTACCATCACCATAACACTCAAACTTTCAGATTAATTGCTCAAGTGATACACTATTGCCGAGTTGGTAATCAAGCAAACAGCCAATTCTTTATTTAAATAATTGGAACGATTGAATTATCGAAAATAAGAATAGAGAAATGCGTCACAGTTCAAATTTAAAAAAGCTTTTGGAAAAAACGTTTGAAACAACTTCACGATTACGTTAGGTATAAGAGTACAGACGTAACTCAATAACTCTTTTAAGTTACATAAAAAAAGAAATAAAATCTGTCATTTCTGTCAAATCTGTGGTTGGATTAATAAAGACAATATTATTATTATTATTATTTAGCGAATTCATAATTATTTAGCATATTCAAGACAGTACTTGGGATATGCTTCTGTCAGGTTTACTTACTGCTTACTCATGTTATTCAATCTTAGATAAATAAAATAAAGAAATAAAGAAACACAAATTATAAATGAATACAATCAAAATAATCATTTACGTAAGTACCTAAGAAATGATTATTTACAAAAATAAATCAATAAAAAATAAACCCAAAGCAAAACGATCAGATAAAATAATAGAACGTGCAAGGGTTTTTCTGATAAAAACTACAATTTTGATTTTTCAGAACGTTTATTAACATAAATTACTGCATACAATATTACATTGATATATTTGTCAATATAACAACATGACAAAAGTTTCTAAACAAAGTAACATAAACGCATTGTAGTAGAGAAACTGCGTTGTATCAAATTACAATGCCTTCTCTGCTCAATGAAAACTGAATACGAATCACAGATAGTTGCTAGGTTTTACTAGTTTGGTAAAGGAAAAATGTTGATTAGTAAATCAACTGGATAAGGTTATTGAAAATATAGAGAAACGAAGAATTTTTCGATAAAATGATTTCAAGTATCAGAATAATAATCTTTCATCAATGTTTAATGAGATGTGTCCAAATGATTCAGTTTAAAACACTTATGTACTCGTCAGTATGCAGAGTGAGCAATACTATGTTATTGCTGACAATTTCCAATTCCAACTTGATGCGTCTCAAGGTTGTTTTTTATAGTATCTGTAAAATCGATTACCTATATTTACGTATACGCAGACATCACAGATGAACACTTGGCAGTGCTTTATCATTCAAAATATCCATATCCATCAGGATATATAAGGTATAACACAAAAATGTCCCTCTTTGATAATGATGTAATATATTGAGCTAAATAAATATTGGACCCATACTTCAAATGCAATTTATTTTTTTTTAATTTTATGTCCAATGGATCACTGAATCATTGCACACTACTTCAAAAAACTGAAGATATTCGCGTAAAGCGTCCATTTAGATATACGAATATATCTAAAAATCACGTAAAGATCAGTCTTCCATTCCAAAAGAAAAAATCTCAAATAAAAATATCACACAATAAAAGTAAGTCCTCTAAGGTGGTTCAGAAACTTTTGAGTTTTTAATAAACCCTTGCTTCAGTCGTAAATAATCAATTCGGTCTCAGAAGTTCTGTACGTAAAGTTTAATAACTCTAAACTGTACATTATTCTAGCAATAAATAGATCTCTCAAAGTGTATACTGGTACGAACAAGTGTGTGCGTTTGGCACCCAGTATCACGAAATGCAAAAATATACAGGGTGTTACACCCCAAATCACATCAAGCTACGTACAGAACTCCCACTTAACCGTTCAGAAATCTGTCGTTTTGCAATGGGTAGACACAGTTCGGATTATAAACGATAACGGATGGTTGATATAGAAACATACTTTGTTGGATGTAGTCTGGGGTCACAACAAACTGCTTGTTGCTCTCCGACACAGAAGGTTGAACCTGGGTCTGCGGTTGGGATTCCTGTTTCAGGCTTTGCAGCAGGTTTGACGTCTGCGATTGCTGGCCGTTCACTAGGATCTGGCGGATCGTTGGTGAGGGTTGGTCATTCTGCAATGACAACAACAGCAAAAGATAGTTATGTAGATGGTACTATGCATGCTTTCATTTGATGAAATACCTCAAAATGTCAAGCTACAACACTCCATTACAAAATTTGGATCGCAATACAATTGAAATTGTTTTGTCTTCAACAGCTTAGGTAGAGAAATTGACGTTCTTCAGCTTTGTCTCAAATGTGAAAACGTTTGGGTTTCAACGTAATACATGAGATCTACATAATTATAATCCAATATTTTCTGTTTTTCACACAACATACCCTGAGGCATTTAAGTAAAAGTGTGAGCAACATAAATCAATTGTATCGATTCAAGAAGTTTCATCAAACAAAAACATTTTCATACAATTTACAATACTAACCATGCTTCACACCTAGATCAACTGCCAAGACCACCAAGTGCCGTTTATAGTCACGTTGTTCAAAATTCTTTCAAACTGCTCCACTAGTATTACTGCACTGGTGGAACAGATTTCTACAGACGGCTCAAGAATAAACAATTTGTTTTTCTTGAAGCCTCAAGACTGCCAATTCGCCAAAAGCAATATTAATTCCTGGTAAGTTTCAGTTCCAACAGTTTTACTAGATAAAGTAATAATTTATAAACTAAATTCGGAATATTCACGTATTGAATTCGTCGATTTTGAATATACATGAAGATCTTTTATTTGCTTTAAACGACATTGGAGAACTGGCAAATAGTGTTTACATGTAATACAAAGCAAAACAAACCATTTTTTAAGTAATAGCGAAATTACAGTGCAACTGTTTTGATGTGTAAACCACCTCAGAAAATGTCTAAACATGAGGCTAAAACTGATGCAAACATAAGTAGATTAGTAATCACGAGAAGTTCTATATGAAATCTAAAAACCACATTTCACGTGAACACCGAAAATATTTTTTCACATGCAATTTTGAGATGATGACATAAATGATGATGCAAAAGTCAATGACACTGAGGATGGTGGGTAATGAAGGAAAACAAGGAAATTAATGTGTAAAATTAGTTTTATTTGAGGCACTAGTATAAAATGCAGTTATGTACAGCAAAACAGTTACAAACACTTAAAATGGTAACCTATAGTTAGTGTGTTGAACTGTGCAATTAGCATTTATATGATCCCCATTTAAAATATTCGAACTGTAACTTAACTTTATAAATATGATGTAACTCAAAAAATGTCTATAAGTCGCCTGCAAAATATCTGGAGTGATATACCCTCTGATAAAATATTTTTCTTTGTTTGATGTCAATATTAATATTAAGGTACATCATATGAAAAAAGTTAAGTTTAGTTCAAGAATGCACCAAATTTTTTAAGCAGCTTACGTTTAAAATGTGTGCTCTTAAATAGAAGACTAGATCTGTGCTTTTTTTTCTTTGGTACTATGTGATAACTATAATTAAATAAAAACTACACACTACTATGTTTACTATTCATCTGTATCCAGTAAATGTTTCAGTCTCACAAATTACGTTAATAGTATAAAATTCACAAACGCCTAAATTAATGAATGCAAAACAGGATCTAAATCACTGCATAGATCAAAATTACAACAATTTTTCGTCTTTATTGGGTCAAGCCATCACCCTAAAAATGGAATGTCATGCTGAGTATGGAAAACACTATTGCCACAGAGAGATCTTTAATTTATTTTTTCTGATTGTTAGACGCAAAACAAAAAATCATCCGCAAAAATGATATTTCTGAAACATGCATATCTCCGAAACATGCTGCTGCCTCTTAAACCTCGAAATATGTAGGACCAATTTTAATTATGATTATATGGTCGGATCAAAAACAAAACACACAGGTTCTTCTACAGATAAATACTTTGAAAAAACAACAATGATTCAAATATATCACGTGCATTGAAAAATAAATAGCACAAACTTAATCTTAACAATTACTTCAACACTCCTTTATGCGGATATTTATATAGTTTTGAAAATTAATTATCGTTTCCGCTGTCATTTCCATCATATCAAAAATAACATTTTGCTGCTTGCATTTAACTGACAACGACTCCGTTAACTTTATGCTGTAACAATAATGAAATACGCGAAGATGTACGTGTGAGTACGAGATGAAGACGTTGCAAAAAACAACAATTATTAAATATGCATTGAAAAATAAATAACAAATTTAATCTTAAAAATTACCTCAACATAGTTTTGAAAACTGATGGTTATCGTTTTCGATTTCATGTCCATTATATCAGAAATAATATGTTTCTGCTTAAATTTAACTGACAGCTAATCATATTAGCCAATTTCCCCGAAATAATTATAAAGACTGGCTTTATTGCTGCAAGTTGTTCAAGGGGGTAATTAAAACATCAACGCATAAAATGGATACACCAATTTTTGTGGGAAAACTTTTTATTTAACAACAAAGAATGAGAAAACACGTTTTTTTGGATTCAATCGAACGTGTTGACAGAAACGGAAAAACTTTTCATATAAGATTTTTAGGTATTTATGAGACTTACAAAATGAGACCACACGTAAAAAGATCCGACTAATGGTAAAAAAGTTAATGCAGGTTTTGGTACTTGTCGGTAATGCGAAGATAATTTGACGCAACTACTTGAAATTCTTCAAATCCGTAGAATTCATACTTCTTGAATAACTACAACAAAAGTGGATTATATAATCACAAACCATTCCGATAGATAAATGTTATTTTTATGCAAAAAAGGATGGGTTACGTCTTTTTCTTCTAAACAAATTCAAACATTTCGTATTTGTCAGTAATTGAACAAATACGCTACGATATTCGAAAAACATACGCTGCTATACACATTTTGAGACACAGCCGATGTGTCTATCATCTTTTGTTGTGAATTACTCACAAATACAAAATGTTTGAATTTGTTTAGAATGAAAAACGTAACCCATCCTTTTTTGCATAAAAATAACATTTATCTTCCGGAATAGTTTGCGATTCTTATCGGCAAGGCAAACTAGTGTATTTTGCTATATAATGCCCTTTGAATTAACCCTGTATATTGCTCAATAAGCTAGTAGTGATGGCCGAAAAACAGATGTTTTGGGATAAACAATTAGAAATTCTCAAGAACAGCTTGACCAATCTACTCAAATTTTGTTATGGTTATTTAGAAGTACGAATCCTACGATTTTGAAAAATTTCAAATATCTGCGAGAAACCATCGTCGTATTACCAACAAGTGCCAAAACCTGCAGTTTGCCTCGGATTTCGGCAATAACTTGTTTTGCTATTAGTCGGATCGTTTAACCTGTGGTTCCATTTTGTAGGTCTCATTAATACCTAAAAATCTTATATGTACAGTTTGTTCGTTTCTGCCAACACTTTCGATTGAATCCCAAAAAACACGTTTTCGCATTCTTTATTGTCGAATAAAAGTTTTCTTACAAAAATTGGTGTACCTACCCATTTTATGCGTCCATGTTTTGAATACCGGCTTGAACAACTTGCACCAATAAAACCAGAATTTGCAATTATTTCGCAAACCTGGGGTATTTTCGTCTAATATGATTATACTATCTGTTAATTTTATGCAGTAAATACGCGAAGATATATCACATAAGCATGTAGTTGTGACTGCAAGTCAAACAATGATTTTATTTTATTTATTTTATGATACATTGCTCGAACTTCTTAGATCGGATAATCTTACCGGTACGTGAAGGTTAGTATTTATGGTATCAAGAAACACCACAATTTTATAAACTACTAGATACAAGGTGTGATAAAGAAAACGACAGAGGACCAAGGATTTAATACAAAACAACCTAAAGCTAAATTTTAACCAAATAATTTAAAATGATACAGAATTGTTCAGATCGAAGCCAGTGTAGCTTGTCTTTATCTAGCCCAGACTCTTTTTGCTTCGTTTGTCTTTCTTATATCGCCATTTTTAACTATGATTGCCGATAAAATTTATTAAATTCAATATGAACCGCGTCCAACGAAAACAAAATGCACCAATGACACACACTCCCCAACTGAATCCATCAAGCGAAAAGCTTCCCCGTATACCCTACAGGCTGCACAATGACTTTCGGGCTTGGCGATATGCATACCTGTTGTTGCTGCGTGGGCGGATGTTTGACAGGACTGGCCGCCACAGGCTGCTTGGGCGCTATTGGCTGTTGCTGGGCGGTGGGCGGGGCGTGTTGCACCGGCGCCAGCGGGGGCGGGTTTGTAGACGTAGGAGCGAGCGCGGGCATTTCTTGGGTGCGGGTGGGTTGCGATTGTTCGGTGGACGCAGTTGAGCTAGGTTGCACGGCCAGGTAAATCTTCGTCGGACCGAGCACGCCTTGTTTGCCCGTCGATGCTTGAGCTGAAACAAAAAAGTCAATGTAATAAATGACAGAGACATTGATACTTAAATTTGGCGCATTATAGCGCGAAATCATTGCTGCACACCGCCTAAAAAAAGAGCTAAAAGGCTTCATTTTAGCGTTAGCGAAAAACCAATACAGCAGACGCTCGATAACGTAAACACGGGATAATGAAAACTTGCGTTAATGTAAACACAAACTTCGTTCTATAGGATCAAACGGAACGCGCGATAACGTAAACAATGTGTACGCTCGATAACGTAAACAACTCTCGGCGCACGGAAACAGCGCGACGGTAAAATGCTGAAGCCTCGATGATTTATGTCGGGCGTCGGGAAGTCCCCGATTTATGATGTAGAGTGTAGGGGATTCACCTCTGCGATAAAATACGACAACCTCGGTCAGTCGTATGATCGTTTAGGATACGTTTATACGTACGTATGTATTTCATTTTTGAACTTAAGTGAATACATTGCACGCGTTAATATATTTTACGACTACGGCATCAACATCCTATAAAAAAAGTGTTTAAAGTTGAGTGAGAAAGTGAAAATCATAGACGAAGTTGCACTAGGTGCGGGAGTGACAGTTAGCAAAAAAATATGGAGTATCGAAAGCAATAATCTGTAAAATTAAGCGTATGAAAACAGAAATGTTACAAAGAACGTGCAATACATTTGGAGGACCGGGAAAAAGAAAAACTTTAAAAAATTCGAAGGAACCTAAAATGGAAAATTCCCTGTATAAGTGGTTTTTAAAACAACGGGAAAATCATGTCCCAGTTAGTGGCGAAGTACTTAAACAGAGAGCGAGATTGTTAAATGAAAAACTGAAAGAAACTGAAAATTTCGTAGCTAGTGATGGCTGGCTACAACGCAACGATTCAAAACAAGATATGGAATTCGACTGCTGTCTATATCTGGTGAAAAATTATCAGCACAACCACAACTAGTGCAACCATTCAAAGAAAAATTGATGAAAACAATTACCGAGCTAGATTTAAGAATGGAACAAATTTACAACGCAGATGAAAGTGGCCTTTATTGGAAAATGTTACCAGAGAAAACCTATGCTGCATCATTTGAAAAATCTGCCCCGGGAAGAAAGCCGGAGAAACAACGAATAACGTTTCTAGCCTGTACTAATGCTAATGGTTCACACAAAATAAAGCCACTGGTAATTGGGAAAGCAAAAAATCCGCGCACATTTAAAAATGTTAATATCCCTGTTGATTATGACTGTTCAAAAACCGCTTGGATGACTAGCAGTATATTCCTGAAATGGTTCCACAGGTGCTTTGTCCCTCAGGTATGACAATCAATTATCACAAATGCTCTATTCATAATTTGAAGATGTGTTTTCAATTTGTAGGTAAAAGGTTTCCTAAAACAACAGAAGCTTCCAATAAAAGCGTTGTTACTATTGGATAATGCACCAAGTCATCCTCCCGAGGAGCAGGGATGGGTCAATTTTCGTCATGTACATGCCGCCCAACGTAACACCGTTAATTCAACCGATGGACCAGAATATAATAAGACTCACCAAACTATACTATAGGAAGTTTCTACTTTTGTCTGTCTTATCAAAGAATCCTGAAAACTTATCTGAGGCTTTAAAAAAAGTAACATTACGAGAAGCTGTTTTAGATTTACATATATTAAAAAAATACATTAATTCCAAGCTTTACGTTTGGACCCTATACATGCCTGCAATAATTTTGCATACTTTTTGATCGTGTCATAGAACCACAAATCATTTATTCTTAGTACGGCCCTGTAACGTGCTCGGTGTTCTGGAGCGCGATCACGTGGAGTATACGTGAATATGTTTAGGTTAGGTCTCTTTCTTCGATGGATACATAATAGTGCCCGGCTTCTCGTCGAGTAGGTGTTCGACAGCGTCTGTGCGTTTAGTCATTGATCTATAGACAATTCATAAGACACACATGTGCGGTCTGTCACGTGGTTTCCAGTTGATAACTATTGAGTACTGTGAAGGTACGTATAAAAAATGTGTATTAGGGGTTGTAATTGTTGTGCTCGTACATTTTGGAACGGTACAGTATCTACAACTACCTTTTTTTCTTATTTCGCTCATAAACGATCGTATATGCAGTAAACTAATTAAATAAATTGGGGCATGTGCACCTATGCATGTGTTTAGGAGATTGAGTCGGCTCTGGCCCAGGAATCGGCCGTGGGCGTTGCATCTGGATACTGAAGTGTGACGTCACGCGTAGCGTACAGACGGAATACAAATATTATCGCGGCGCGCAACTGTGATAGGCTGTAACTTTTTTGTTTTTAGAGATAAATTAATAATTTTTTCACCATCTTGTTTCATTTTTCCTAAACCTTCATTTGAGCCAATAACAAAAGATTGGTAAACTTGTCCATTAGGGAAAAGCCGCGCTCTTTGGGGTATATTTACATGCTGCTGAGAAACTTTTCATGGCTCACTGAGATATTTGGGGAAAACGAAAATTTGGCCAAATCATTTTTATGTTTTTCTGACTTCATTTTAAGAAAAGTCAAGAAACTAATGAAACTTTTCCAGTACCCTTTAGGTACTAAATGATTGTGCCCGGCGGTTCGTTTTCGAGAAACCATCAACTTAATTTTTTATATGGCCCGAAAAAAGGTACACCCTTGATATTTCTCAAAATAAAATCAAAAATGTCCAAATTTCAGTTTTTTCCAAATATCTCAAGCCATGAAATGTTTACAAGTTTCTAAACGGCATGTAAGTACGCCCCAAAAAACGCAACTTTTTCCTAATTTAACCTAAGCTGTATCTCTCATAGCTATTGAGACCCCATGTATGTCAAAAAACAGAAAAATTTCAAATTGCTGACTAGCTGCAGGAGCCCTCAAGGTTCTAGCCTGGGACCATTATTGTTTCTTATTTTTATTAAAGACATCTGTGAACGCCTGTGCTTTGCTGATGACTTGAAGATTTATTCATAAGGGCATCTAAGGTCCGTATCGTCAGTCGTCCCTACAATTGTAGGGCGCCTTTATGGCCTCCTTGATTTCTCATAGTTTTCTACTTCTCCGTGTCAGCGCTCTATTTTGAGGTTATGTCACAAACATCTATTTGCATCAAATTGTGCTTGCTTTTGAGTTATAACATGTTTTATCAGCCTGAAATTTCCTACAATTTAAAAAGAAAACATATCTTTACAATAGGAGAGGGCTGACGCTGACACGGGACAAGTGTAATCTAGAAATTTTTGAAGGAGAGAAAGGAGTATGACAATCAAGGAGGCCATAAACGCGCCCTACAATTGTAGGGACGATTGACGAGACGGGCCTAATTGTTCCGGAAAAAATTGAAAAAACACGTTGCTAAGTAATATAGCACCTGCACGAATGTTTTTTTGTTAAAGCAATATTACTTTGCATTGTGTTTTTTAGATTTTTTCACTGGAAAAAATTAGATGCTCGAATAGTATTTCACAAGGCTGTCTCATTAGTAACAGATTACTGGTGTCCTAGGAGATCAAATTACTTGTTGTTAAAGATATTGAAAATTTTTGGAGACAACATCTGTCATACAATTGTTCCATCTGGAAACGATTTGTAATTCAAAATTGCGCGTTTATGATTGGTAGAAATTGAGACAAGGGAAATAGTCAAGAATAAACACCTCTGGTGATTGTATCAAACTGCAATTTCAATTAAACTTTGTACAGTCTGTGTTAATAACAAGTTACAGCTTAATGTAAAGAAGTGTAAAATTTATATTTATTATTTTAGGGAACATACAACTAAAAAAAATAACGTCAGAGGCATTGATGGCATATGGCTTCATAATAAGGAACTGCGGACGTTCTAAAAACGGAAAGTCCATTAAGCTGCTATATTATGCATATGTTAGGCCGAAAATAGAATATTGTATTATTTGGAGTCTACTATAAACGCTATTGGACGAGTACAACGGAAATTCGTGAATTTGTTTTGTTCTTCACTATGCCTCACTACTATTTGGTTACAAACTGCTCCATAATTTAATTGATTATCCTCCAATCCAGCAACAGTTCAAATCTCATATTCTAACATTTGTATCTCGCAATCATATGCTCTTCAGGCCTCCTAGCGCAAGGTCAAATATTCTACTTAAAGTCACCATTACATGTTATGTGTACCAATTTGAACAAAATCGGGTGTTACTGTGATATTGTTGATTGCTTGCTTGAAACAGCTAATACTTTTATTGATGAATGATGATATTAGTTTGGAAACAAATATTAACATTGTTATGAACTATTTCATATACCTAAATTAAAATTGTGAAGGAACAGATAATATAAATATTAAAGTTTACCTTTGGCTCCCGTACTAATACAAGGTTTATCTTATCAATATTCAAATTCTCTGAAAATAAAAAAACGCATTTTTTTAAATACCACAGTTTTTCTAATGACAAAAGTATGGAAACATTTCTGTTTTGCCGTATTTATTCGTTCTGCGATACTCATATTGCGTGACAATGGCAAAAGTAAAAGAATTTTCAAAAGATTTAAGGGACAAAGTAATTGAATTATTTAGAAATGGTGTCAGATATGTTGACATTTCTCAAAGATTAAAAATGAACAAAGGGACGATTTCGAAAATTATTAGTAAATATTAAGAATACGGATCAACAGTAACCCGGCGCAGGTGTGGAAGACCGAAAAAAAAAACCGATTCTGTTTTGGATCGCTACATTAAACTTTGTCCCATGAAGATCCTCGAATGCCAGCCACACAAATCGTCAAAAGAATCGTAGCTGAGGGTGCAGTGAGTCTTTCTGTCAGAACGGTTCAGAGGCGCTTGGTGGATTTTGTGATTTTTGGTCGGCGTCCAGTGCAAAAGCCACTCATTTCAAAAAAAAAATCGTATTGCTAGGCTTGAATTTGCTAAAACTCTCCTAACTTGGGCGGAACAACAATCGATTACAGTTTTATGGAGTGATGAAAGCAAATTTAATTTGTTTGGATCTAACGGTACGACATATGTGAGACGTCCAATACGAAAGACATTCGACAAAAAGTATCAGTTGCCAACAGTTAAGCACGGTGGAGGCAACATCATCGTTTGGGGCTGTTTTTCTAGTTCTGAAACGGCTCCAATTGTTAAAATTGTTGGGAAAATGGACCAAAAACTTTACAAGATATTCTTAGTGAACACATGCTCCCTTTTGCTGAAGAAGAAATGCCTTTACGATGGACATTCCAGCAAGATAATGACCCCAAGCATACCTCAAAATTTGTAAAGGACTGGTTAAGACTAAAAAAAAAGTTAATTTTCTTACATGGCCTTCGCAATCCCCTGACGTAAACCCTATAGAACATCTCTGGGAGCATGTTAAAAGACAACTGACAAGAAAAACTTAAAAAAAACAGGAACGATTGATTTGATTATGTAAAAAATATTTGGCAAAATATCCCAATAGACGTCTTCTATGAGCAGCAGATGTCAGGCAGTGTTGAATGCTACCAAATATTAGCTAAACAGTATTTTTTAAACCTTTTTGTAGAAATATTGTGATAAAAAATATGTTTCCATACTTCTGTCGTCTCATTTTCGGTCATAAAATGATATGAAGATATTTTAATGCTAGTCTGTAGTACCACAGCAAACACAAACTGTCATTTGTATCCTCAAGACTGTAAGCAAACTATATGAGAAAAAAAGTTCTTAATAGAATAAAAAATTAGCACACTTTTTAAAAATCACTAAGAATATTTCCAAACCTCTGTCCACTACTGTATATGCACTATAAAAGATCCAATTTTGAGGACACTCTGTACAATGTGATTAAATGAGAAGGCAACATTTGATTTCAGAGAAAAATGGTTGTCACAATTCCACACGAGTTATGACATGTCTAAATCCAAAATTTAATCATCCGACAATGATAAATAATTACCAATAAAACGGCTGATTTTTTGAGAGCGTCCTTTTTAAAAATTGAATAAAACAGCTGAAAATGCATTATGAATACAAAATCTTTATTGGAATCGATAAAATGGTTCTAGCTATTCACTTTTTGAAGATTACTTCATGTAAATGTTGGTCACGGCTACGTTTCAAATAGCCCATACAGAAGGTCCACTTTCTCACTACTTTTGCATTTAGCCAAAAGTGAGCCTCATCGCTGAAAACAATTTTTCGATAAAACAGCGGATCTTCTTCGAGCCAAGGCAAGGCCCATTCACTAAAAAGTCGACGTTGTGGTAGGTCATTTGGCTTCAATTGTTGCACAAGTCGAATTTTGTAAGCCTTCAAACCCAAATTGACATGTAAAATTTTCCAGGTGGTGGAGTATCTCATTCAAAATTGTGGAGATTTGCGGCGAATGGATATTTCACGATCTTCATTACCACTGGTTGACACGGATGCAACATTCTCTTCGGTTCGCACTGTACGCATGCGAGTCGATGGTTTAATGTCCAATAGAGTAAATTTGGTACGAAATTGGGTAATAACACCTCTAATTGTGGTTTCACTAGGTAGATTATGACGACCATAAAATGGCCGTAACAGGCGTAACACATTTTTCACAGAGCACGAATTTTGGTAATAAATTTCTACGATTTGCAATCGTTGTTCGTTTGTAAGTCTTTCCATGATGAAATGGCATAGTATACTGGACAATTTTGACTCTTACAGGTTACGCCTGGACGCCATTACATATCAGTGCTGTCAACTTGAAAAAAAATCACCCATTAAATGATATTTAGCGATAAAAGCATCTTTATAGCTAATGCCCGTCAGGTAAAATAAAGGCGAACGTATCTCGTTAGTTTGTTAGATTCATTAGCCTAAACGTGTCTAATAGTAATGTTTACGAACAAAAAGCGCATTCTACTTAAAAAACGGTAATATCGTAGATTTATAGTGTATATTTACCTTTAAGCAGCTGTTGCTTCACTTGCTGCTGAACGGCGGCAAGCTGTTGGGGCGAGAAGTCCGCACCTTGGAGACCCTGTAGTACTATCCTCGGACCTTGCGCCGTTTGAATCACTTGAGCTGTCACACATTTTATCATTGTTCCAGGAGGTTGGCCTGTAACAATTCGATAAGATTTTCTACACCTTATCTTTCAACAAATGACGTCAAGTAGTTTGCACTTCCCATGCAACGCCATCATCAATTCATAAACTTAGACCCTCTGAGAAAAATTTTCGCCAGAGGCGTAACAAGTAAAAGAAAGCAAAAATCGTTCGACATCAAAGAAAACCACGATTCACGAATTTCATTTTTTTCTAGTATTTTCCTCCCCACTTATCAGTCTATCAGATCAACTGAAGTTAAATGAACATACCTATTAGCAACTGTTCCATGGTGGCTTGATCTATTTGAGGATCATGTTTGGGCGTATTCTGCACGGCAGGCTGCTGGAGCGTCTGCTGTTGTTGCGGTTGAGGTTGTGTTTGCGGTTGAGGCTGAGGTTGAGGTGCAGGCTGAACAGGTTGTGGTGCTGGTTGTTGCTCCACCACCTGCCTAACTACAGTCTGTTGTTTCACCGGTTGCGCGTGCGCCACTGCCGTAGATACCGCTACACCCTAAGAAAGGAAACACAAACATTTTCATACAGTTTCGATCACAGTTTGCAAAACGTTTATAAATAAATCAAGTGATGGACTGGCAACGTAGCTTCGATCTGGCGACACTGGCGCCGCGCTTGAATGGGAGTTAGGGGAACATGTGATCCGTCTTCAGTACAAGTTTGAACCCGAGCGAGTCATTTGGCTGTCCGATACTATTAATGTAAAAAATCGACACAAAGTATGATATATCCCCTATTCACGATTCCTTGAACATTACTCGCCCCTTCCCACTTCAGTTGGCCCACTTCAAGATTTGTACCAAAATATGCCTTTATAAACTGAACATGACGAAACTATTTACTTCTAAAACAATTTATTTTCTCAAACACATTTTAGATACACTCTAGTCGTAAAAAATACATATTTGAAATCACTTAGACCTATAACTAATAGAACAACTGAACAAATAAACAATGTGCGAATAAATGCGCGAAGTTAACAAAGCAACAATTGAAAGATTACCATTGGGTAACATCACCTTTATTTTTTATTACGGCTAAAATTCTTTAGGCATAGTGTTAACCAAGTTTTGGCAAAAATTTGGTGTAAAACAATCCCATATTTCTTGAAGCTTTTGTCTCAATTCGGTGATTGTACGAACAGGATGTTGCCGTAGAACCTTTTTCATCTCGTGCCACAAAGTTTCAATAGGTGACAGATCTGGACTGCTAGAAACCCATTTCAAAAGTGGTACATTATTTTATTCCATCAATTTTATAGCCTTTTTTGAGGTATGGCACGCTGCACCATCTTGCTGAAACACAAAATCTTGGCCGGATGTCAAACATTCTTCCATCACTGGAAAAAGCGATTCCTCTAAAATTGCCAAATATTTGTTTGTATCCACATTTCTATTTTGATGACATACTGCCCCAGACCATAATGGATGCTGGAAATTTCACGTTTCTCTTCAGACAGTCAACATGGAATGCTTCATTTTTTTTTTTCGAATAACTCTACTGCGACTGTCACCAACACAAACTTCGAATCGGGCCTCATCACTCCATTGTATTTCACACCATTGTTGAGGTGTCCATTGTCTATGTACTTTAGCCCATCTAAGCCGATTTTTCTTTTGCAGTGGAGTTAATAGTGGATTTTCTTTGGCCTATAAACAAGTTGTGCAACTTTAGGGTTTTTACTTCACTTTTTTTTATAAGAAAACTTAACTTGCAAGTGCTAAATCCCAGTTTGTGAGCCTCTCTATGAGTTGTGGACCTCGAAATTCTCCTTCCACAGAGCACTTAATTGTAAATAATTGGCACGCCTGTTTTTCACGATTGTTCTTCTTAATGCTCTTCGGTCGGCATTTGTGATATTACTTTTTTTCACATATCGTGACTTAATATTAACTGAACCAGTTACGTTGTATCTTCTAACAATATATCTCACACTGTACCGCGATAAGTCTGACAAAGTTGCAATTTCTGAGTTTGATTTCCCAGAATTAAAAAATTTTATCATCAGTAACCGAATTTTCTCACTAATAACCTTTCCTCTACCCATTTTGAAAACCTTAACTACCCAAAACTATTTTAAACATATTCTGACAGCAGTGATTAATAAAAACAATTGTCATGGCTTTTATTTTTCACAGCCACCTATGCGTTATAGACTTATTTTGCATTGAAATGAAAATAGGTTGATATGCTGTAATTGCAACATGTGTTATTTTTATGCTGCAAATTTGATTAGCGAGTGATAAAGTTAGTGTTTTCCACTATATATTATCAAAATATTCATTGTTAATATTTTAAACCTATAACACCCTGCTACATTTTTATTATTTGTGTTTGATAAGAAAAAGACTAAGATTTCAATAGTTGGGCCAACTGAAGTGGGGAGAGGCTCGTATATCGGTGAGACAGTTTGACAAATCTAGTTTATTTTTAAATTCAACGCTATAGTTTACCTGAACTGTATGTGCAAGACTTCCAGGCGTCAATTGAGCAACGACTTGCGCTTGATTGTTGCCTGTTGGGCGAATGAGTACTTGTTGGCCGTTGATTGTCGCTACTTGAACTTTTCCTGTAGCTAGTTGTTGAGCCAAAGCTTGATTGTTGACGATTATCTGATTGGTAACGATCTGAAAAGAGAAAAAATATACACTCATAAAAGTTATACAAATAAGCATGAATCATCGAAATAAGACACACAAGAATAGACCATTGCGAGATGCATCTCCCGGTCACCAGGTGACCGCAAGATTGCTGACGATTCTCGCTGTAAAGCAGATGTGGTCTACTTGCATCGTTTGGCCCACGGATTTTCCTAATTATTTAGGCCTTGTTGATCAATCTACGTATTCCTAATATTCCAAAACGAACCTGTCCAGGTTGTCCTGTAGAAAGCACCTGGTTACCACCGATGACAACCTGCTGCTGGAGCATCTGTCCCCCGGCTCCAACTACAACGTTGCCAGCGCCAATCTTGTGCAGTGCCGGCTGTTGTTGCTTGATAACGACCTGTTGCTGTTGAAGTTGTTGCTTCACCGCGCTTTGCTGCACGACTTGCGGCTGACCAATGGGCTGTTTCGTTTGGGCAGGAGACTGAGCTGTCGGTTTAGCTAAGGAAAATAAAAATAGCAATAGATAATAAAATACTAAACTGTATGCACAATAGCATACGAGGTCTGTAAATTAAGCGATGCGACTTTTTTCTCTTAACGAAGTTAAAGAATCACGGCAAGGACAGTCGGAAACATTTAAACAGCTGTAATTGTAATTAGGATTGAATAGAAAAATAAAAAAAAATCAGTCACATCACATCATTTACAGACCACATCAACATTTTTTTATCGATCTTCCGGACAATCCATCGCCATATGCTGACCCAGCAGAACGCATTTATCTCTCGCTCAACACACATTCTCGAAAGCACAACTACACCTGGACACCCATCACCGCATGCAAACTAACCTGCCGTCTGTACGATCTGCTTGACGATGGTTTTGGTGGGCGTGGTGGCCGCGGGCGCTGGCACCGCCTTAGTGGGCGTAGCGGTCGGTGCTGCCGTCGCTTGGACCAATCCGGATTGTTGCAGCTGCGCGGTGGTCAACACCTGCAGTTTGCCGTCCGGATATTGGACCAATTGCTGGCCGGGCAGCAACCCTTTGACGGTGATACGGCCGTCGGGGGTGCGCATGATTTGGACGCGTTGCGGCGAGGGCGGATCTTTCACCACTTGTTGTTGAGTTACCGGGGTCGGTGCCGTCGTTGATATGGCTGCTGCGTCAAATTACATACACTGTATAAATTCGTAACAACTCGAATTTGGGATAGAGAGGAGCTGGAGGAACTGTGTCTATGTGGGATGAAGATTGACTGGTGTGGAGTAGGAAAGAAACCTCATGAGACAAGGAATTGAAGAAATATCGAAGCGTAAAGGAACAACTATTTGGCAACAAAAGCATTTTAAACGATTTTGTATCGACTATTTTCCAAAATGTTTAATCTGCACAAGTAATGCTTACACACGTCATTTAGAAAGCGGGTGTATGATATAACAAATTATATACTGGGATGACAAAAAACTATTACAGTAATAACTAATTTGAGCTAATTGCGACTTCGTCAAAGACAAGCAAGATATTGCTCTAAATACTATATAAATAGCAACAGCCCACAAAACGCTCAATGTAAAGGAACAAAAATACGAATAAATAAAGTGATAAAACGAATTGCGTAAATCTGATCTTTCTGCCTAGATCTTTCCAGAAAAAATTGTTGATTAAATTCTAATATTAATATCCTGGGTGCGCCATCTATTACTTTTTTTTACCTATAAGTTTATGTGTTACCATGTGAGTCAAAAGTCATGTGGTATGCATAAATAAACTGTCAAAGGTATGCCATTTATAGTCATGGATTCGTTTACAACACAACAACGCATTTTGGTTATCCAAACTTATTACGAAAACGGTCGAAATATAAAAAATACTTTTCGCAAACTTCGCACTAGTTTTGGCCGAGATGGACACCCTACAGAGCCTGGAATTCGTTGGATTGTTAATCGTTTTGAGGAAACTGACTCAGCTGAAGGTCGTAGACCATACCAACATGATCGTCCAGCTCGTACTCGTGAAAACATAGCCGCAGTGAGTGAAAGTATGCGAGAAGATCCAACCACCTCGACTAGGCACCGTTCGCAACAATTCGGAATTAGTGAGACCACTTTACGCCGGATTTTACACATTGATTTACACCTCCATCCATACAAAATCCAACTAACACAAGAATTGAAGCCGGCAGACCATCAACAGCGGCGTGTTATTGTTAATTGGATGCTGGAAAGAGAAGGCGGATTTTCGGCCAAAGTGCTCTTTTCTGATGAGGCTCATTTTCACCTCAATAAATTAGCAAAATAGCAGATTCTGATGGGCTGAAAATCCACACCAATATCATGAACAACCTCTCCATCCTGAAAAAGTGACTGTTTGGTGCGGATTATGGGCTGGTGGCATCGTTGGACCATTCTTCTTTGAAGATGCCGAAGAAAAGGCCATAACTGTCAACGGGGAACGTTTTCGCGGCATGTTAACGGACTTCTTGTGGCCACAATTGGATCGCATTGGTACCGACGATCTTTGGTTTCATCAAGACGGAGCAACGGCTCACACATCTCGCGAAACAATCGCCTTATTGCACACGAAATTTCAAGATCGCATAATTTCACGAAATTCAGATGTCAGTTGGTCCCAGAGATCGTGCGATTTAACACCTCCTGACTATTTTCTTTGGAGATTTTTGAAAGGAAAAGTGTATGCGAATGGTCCCCGGACAATTCAAGACCTAAAGCGCAATATTCGGACTAAAATTCCGGCCCTATACCCGATTATTCTGGGAAAAGTCATTGAAAATTTTGATGTTCGGATGTTGGCCTGTAAACGAAGCCGCGGTGGTCACATGACTGATGTTATTTTTCATACATAGATGACATAAACCAACCTACATTTATCAATAAAAAATTCCATTTCACCTCGTGAAAAGCGTGTTGATTTTTCAAATTGAAGAAAATGTAATAGATGACGCACCCTGTATAAGCAGCTTTTCAAGAATTGCAGAAAAATAAAGTTTTAAAACTACACTGCCACGAGACTTACCGGTCTGTTGCATCTGTACGGCTTGCAAGACTTGGCTGCCGCTCGTGGATTTGATGAGACTTTGCTGTTGGTTCGCCAAAGTCTTAGGAAGAATGTTGGCGGTGCCTGTGATGACTCTGGTCGTACCGTCAGGGCCTTTGGTCATCAATATTCTTCGACCTGCCAGTTTGGCGTTATTTGATGTCAGTAAGGACGTGAGTGTGTTCTTTCCGCTAACTACCGCCTGGTTAGGCAGCACAACGTTCTTCACGATTTTCATTTGTCCATCCGGAGTGGTGGTCACTATGGTAAAGATTTTCGTTTTAAAATACTTCACAATGTCATAGACAGCATCAGCAACAGTTTTTTCATAAGAAACCAATTTTTATACAATATAAATTCATCAATTACTGTTAAAATGCAAACTTCTGACACTAGACTATCCATATTTCTTGGTTACTTCATAAAATACGTGTAACTTTTATAAAAAAAGCTGAAAATCGTTTTTATAAATCCCATAAGTATAGGATGTTTGTAATTCGTGAAAAATACTGTAAAAAAATAAACAAGTCATTCTTATAAACTTAAACATAAATAAATGATAAGACATGCTTCATATAATGTTAAATAAAAAAATATGAGGGCAATAATAAAACCTACAAAATAAATAAAATCCTGATTACCTAGAAACCCAAAATAAAGAATTAATAAAAAATCGCATTCCAAATTATAAAAAATACAACACCAAGGTGACTCCATCCTACCTTTTGGTTGAATAGGTTGTAACGTAGGATTAGAAGTAGTTGTTGTTGTAGTCGGAATTGTTGTTGTTGAAGTAGCTTTTGGAGGAAAAAAGTAATGAAAGCCTTATTATTTATTATTACATGAACAGTTTATATTGTAACTGACAAAATTATTTATAGTTCGGACAGATGCAAAATAAGTTTAGTAATAAGTCTTTTCTTGCTTAGCTAGATATGATTTTCAATTTTATCATGTTTTCAAAATAATAATGCGGATCAACTTACATTGAGCTGTACCTCCAACCATTTCTAAAACGGAGCCTTGCTTCAAAGCAATATTTTTCACTTCCAGTGCTCTCTTGGTCTGTTGGTGCGCAGCACGTTGTAATCTGAGTCAAAATTCAATGTTGAAAAAAACATGTACAAAAAATGTTCTAACATAAAATTTCGCCATACTAACATAGCACGTAGATTTGTTCAAAGTAGACAATACATTTCTCTATGGTGTATTCTCTAACACAGTTCTTTGGCGGATACCAATATTCTGAATATTTTCTATGAACAAAAAGCAGCAAAAAATGTCTAAAGTCCATACATAAACTTTCAAAGCTCCAAAAGAATAGGTTCTAGCATAATGGTATAAATTAATTCACGTCGTGTTCCGAGTTTGTGATCGTGGGGGTGGAATAAAAATTAATTTCCACTGACGTGATTTCTGCAGCAGGCAATCCAGAGGATTCGAATAAGCTTCCTTTCAATGTACAAATTGGAAGTAGATATATATTTCTCTATAGTGTATTCTCTAACACAATTCTTTGGCGGATATCAATATTCTGGATGCTTACACCTTTTTCTATGAACAAAAAGCGGCAAAAAAATGTCTAAAGTCCATGCATAAAATTTTAAAGCTGCAAAAGAATAGGTTCTAGCATAATGGTATAAATTAATTCTCGTCGTGTCCTGAGTTTGTGATCGTGGGGCTTGGGGTGGAATAAAAATTAATTCCCATTGACTGATTTTCTCACGCAGGGAACCCAGAGGATTCGAATGAGTTTCCTTTCGATGTACAAATTGGAAATGGATGCAAATAATCCGGTCCAGCTGTTAAAAATGCAACTTTGTGAAGGTGCAAAGTCCGACAAAATAGAAATGCTAGTTTTGCCAGTGGAAAAAATGAGTAATGGAATTTTGGAATTGATTTTGGTGCCACCGCGTTATACCTACGCTAACGAGATTAAATGAAAATGTAAGGCATCACCGGTGCACAAACCACCTAGTGGGCACTTTAACGCCCCTAAATGAACAAATTAGACAACAGAAACCTACCTAAGTTGCTGCTCCATCTTCTCCTTAATCTCTTCCGGCGTCTGTTTCCCGCTGACGGCCATAACGGCTGGAGTACCACTACCTGCTCCAGCAACCGCCGTCGTAACCGCCCCCGGTTTGCCCTCCTCGGTGACGGCGGTCACGATGGCCTTCGGAGGCGGCAAATTCCCCGTCCGGCTCCTAGTTATAACTTGTTGGTTAGCCTTTTCTAGCCTAAAAACGAGACAGGCGCGCGCAAGGACACGCAAGCGGTTAGTGGTGGTGGTGAAGGTAATGAGTGGCGTGTAGTAGTGAAGGCGGGGCCAACATATCGAGGGCGGTGCTAATAGTAGCATGCTGTATGAGGTGGGTAAAATTCGTAGAAAAGTTGCAAGTTATCATTTGGCAAAAAATCGAATTCCGTAATTCGGAGGATCGCCCCCGGTTTGCTATCTTTTGTGGCAGCCACGATATGCTTTGGATGTGGCAGGTTGCCTGTCAAGCTCTTAGGAATATATTGCTGGTTAGCCGTTCCCAAGCTGAAAACGAGACAGGTGCACACAGAGACACGCAAGCGGTTAGTGGCCGTCTGGTGGTGAAGACAATGAGTGGCGCATAGATTTAAGGGGTGGACCAATACATTGAGGGCGGGGTTAATAGTAGCAGTTTGCTCTCTTTCGTGACGGTGACAACAACAGCGGGATTCGGAGACGGCTAGATGTCAGTCCTGCCCATGAAGACCAGAGGTAGGAGGTGAAACTCATGTAGTGGGGGTTAATTCAAAAAACGTCGACGATTAAGTGCGTTGGTACACAACGCTGCAAATGAATTTCAGGTGAAGTGGATAGGGCATCTCTCTCGTGACTACATTGCGTAGAAAATGACTCTAAACACTTCCAATTTTGCAAGTTCGGACGATTTGCAAGCAGAAATATTAAATAATATTAGTAAACGACGGAAATAACACACCTACAAAACATTTCGGCAGGTTATGTTGACATTTTTCAATGCGCTACGCCCACTAGATTACCGAGAGCCACACCATCTTTGGCGACAAGATTGTTATCGAACTAATACGTGTATACCTTATGTAGTTTAACCTCCTATGGTCCTGCCTCTGGTTATAACTTGCCTTGTCTAGCCTAAGGGCGGACGCAAGCGGTTAGTCGTGGTAGGGATAATAGTGCAAGATTGCGGCGAGGCTATATTGGGGGCAGAGATAATGGTAGCATGCTGTATGGAGGTGATAAGAATAGGAGAGTTGCAATCAAAACAAAAGTTGAAGATTCATTTGTCGAGAACTGTAATTTCAATTCGCAGATAGAATTAAGGTTAGCGACCGTATGAACCAAGCTGCGGTCGCCGATAGGACTTGTTAACCGATTGCTAGCATATGGTAAACCGATCCGTCACCAAGCTTGGTCAAACATGAACGATTTCGTGGAACAAACAGACCGATTCGCTGAATCTCGATCAGTGAAATTGATGTATGATCCGCTATGAAAATTTTGAAAACAGTTTCTTACATCGAAATTACCATGTTCTCAAATTAATTTCAGGGATCAAAATTTTTGATTAGATCCAAGCCTCGAGCTGATCAGTCGGTAAGCCATTCGCTCAGTCAGTGACATGAACACGCTAGCTCGTTATGCCTTTTAGAAGTGTGACGTTATAGAGAGCATGAAGTAGGAAATTCCCTTCCTACCGAGTATGGAACATAACGATTTCTTATAATAATTTCTACACTAGCTATTAATATTATAGTTGCAACTTTTCCACATCAAGAATATGCGGGATCTTGGAAGTTATACAGCCATGCTGACTACAAAGGTTGAGTACAAGCAAATCCAAATATGCCTCTAGTGAAGATATGAATTGAAATTATCACTCAAATTGTTTGTTTTGTCATTAACTACAGTCGTGAACATTTATGATGTCTACAATTATTATGAACAAAATTATATTTATGACTACTGATATCTTGAATGAAAAGTGCTTTAGAATGCATTATCTACCTAAAAGTCTATCTATAAATGCATAAGTGAATGTTCACCTATACCATACAGAACCAAGTTAGAGCTACTAAAAATATTATATAAAAAATCAAGTACTCGGTTTTCCACTACATCTTGAAAGCATAAAATATTACCTTCTAATACATTTGAAAACTTATTTGGCAGTTGGTATTTTAATCAGAAAATTGAATTCTCAAATAGGTATATTTGAATATATGACTCCATGAATTCAGACCTCATGATTATTTTTTCGTTTACTGAACGGCAATCCATCCATCAACAAGTATTGTAACAAATGTAAAACAACTGTTATGAGATATTTAGTGCAAAAACACATGCAAGAACTTACTTCTCTCCATACAGCTTAATTTCCCACAACTCAAGCTTATCCTCATCTACCCATTCTTCAGTAACTTGAGGATCTGTGTTTTGGGGAGATTCCGGTCTTTTTCTCTTCCTCAAACCACTCCTTATGGATGTCACCTCTGTAAAAAGAAAGGAAATTATTCAATCGCAAACGATATTTATCATCAAGAAAAGACAACTTTCTAGATGTTCACGTACCTCTCACAGTTTTTGGCAGTTCTAAAGGAATCACCACTTTTCTCCTCAAGTACTGTGTCTTCTCCATGAATTGCCCCACGTGCCTGTGTTTCAGCAGCTCCAGTGAAAGAATTTCAGTTTCCGTAGTAATCTGATGTTTTCCGTCCGTGGTAGGTGGTTTGGTTTGCATATCGTCCCATCTGAGGCACGCCCACAAAATTTTTAACTGAAGGGCGGCACTGGCCAACGATTTTAGATTTACCGTTCTGAAAAAAAAAAAAATACTTTAATGATGAACAACTTTATTTATAATACTATAAATGAGTGAAGTTCCGCCTCGGCTATTCTTCCATTTAACCCTGGTGTTACATTTGATACTAGAAATTTATATACATACATATGAGGTCTGTAAATAAAGTGATGGGACTGGCAAGGTATCGTTCGATCTGGCAACGCTGGAGGCGCCGCGCTTGGAGGGGAACATATGATCTGACTTCAGTACAAGTTCGAACTCGCTCGAGTCATTTGGTTGCCCATGGCGATTTTTCTTGTTCTAAAAACGAGTGACACCACTTTAAAGCAACGGTGCCCACTTTTTTTCGTTAGGTTTGCCCCACTTTTTTATGGGTTTTGTCCAACCTTTTTCCGTCAGGTTTGTCCCACTTTAAGTTTTGATTCAGACTTGGGCACATAGCAACTGAAACTCTTGCTAAACTTTAGCAGGCCTAGAGAGATAGTGTTTTGTCAAGAGCCCAAGTTTTTCGGTGGTTTAAGGCATTTTCAGAAGGGAGAGAGTAAATGGAAGATGAACCACGACGCGGAAGGCCTCCATCTTTAAGCGCCGATGAAAATACCGACAAAATCCGGGATCTTGTGCGATCAGATCGTCGGTTGACAGTCAGAATGATCAGGGAAGAGTTAAATTTGACTCCATTTTTCATCGATCAAGAACAACTGGGTGTGGCATTGCGATAATACTCCTTGTCGCACACCTACAGTAATGGACAAAAGTATATAGACAAATATGAGTATTTACCTAAATACCTTTAGAAAACGAATTCATACTTCTTTGCTCCATAAACAAATGCGTCATTAGTAGAAAAACTAAATTCCTTGTTTTTACATTATCTATGTAGACAAATTCTTTTCAACATTAGTTTAGTACAGTTTCGTGTCAGAAGAGGATTAGTTTGTGTTCGACAAGTATTGTGGAATAAGTTTAGTGATTTTAAGTCCATGCCGCGTGGTCCAGGAATTTTTTTTTGGTGTGAAAACTAAGATCATTGAGTTATACAAAGATGGTCAAAGTCAAGTCGACATTGCCAAAAATTTGAAGCTGAAGCGTAAAGCAGTTTTTGCAATATTGAACGTATCTTGGAAGCCTTGAAATGTGGTCGGCCTAGAAAACTAAATGCTAGATCAGTTAGATTAATAAAAGCAATTTCGTCCAAAGATCCGTTTAAAACTCCAAGACAAATAAAAGCCGAAATCGGGATAAAAGGAATTGTCAGTGTTTTTACGAAAACTATAAGTAGAAGATTAAATGATTTGAAGTTATTTGCACGTCGCCCGAGTAAAAAGCCGCTAATTACGAGGAAAAACCGTAAGGACTGATTACAATTTGCACGGTTGCATCTTGATTGGAGCATCTGTGACTGGTAGAGGGAATGTTTCAGTGACGAATCAAAGTTCAATATGTTTGGATCAGATGGTGTTCGTTACGTGGACAAAGATTGAAACCCAAGTACACTTTGCCCACTGCCAAACATGGAAATGGGACGGACCTTTACATAGAATAGATGGCATTATAGATAAGTTTGTATACACAGACATACTAAAGCATGTCATGTTACCCTATATGGAAGACATTATGCCCTTAAGATCAATCTTCCAACAAGATAATGACCCCAAGCACACTTCAAATCTCGCAAAAAAATTCTTTCTGGATGAAAAAATATCAGTTCTCAAATGTCTTCACAGTCTCCCGATATAAACCCCATTGAAAATCTATGGGAATACTTAGATAAGCAAATACGAGATAAAAATTATTCAAACAAGGATGAACTTTTTGCCGCTTTAGAGTAAAAGCGGAGACAGATTGATGCATCTTATATCAAGAAACTTCTACAACCTATGCCGAGACGATGCTAGGCGGTGATTGATAATAATGGTTATGCTACAAAATATTAACACAAACATGGTTGGTTTTCTATAATTCAATGAATTTTGCTTCTTTTTTCTATAATTGTTTTGCTTTTTCCTTCATAGTTCCAGTTTTTTCAATTACTTTTTTATTGAAGGGAGTCTAATGAATTTATTTATGTATAAGTGAGTATTATGCTATAACGAATTATGTATACAGGTTGGTGTATTAATAAAACAAGTTAAAAACGAAATACAGCACAATATTAATTTGTCTATATACTTTTGTCCATTACTGAATGTCAATACTCGTAAACGAGTTTTTGGCCAGTAAAAATATGCATGTGGCTCCTCAGCCTCCTTATTCCCCTGACTTGTGTCCTTCCTTGTAACTTTTTTTCTTCCCGAAGTTGAAAAATCAGCTCAAGGGAAATCATTTTGAGACAGACGAAAAAGTTCAAACGGCTGTAATCGACCAGCTGAAGGCTATTCCAGTATCGGTGTTCCAGCACATATTTGAATAAAATAATTTAAAAAACTCAGTCCCATCACTTAATTTACAGACCTCGTATATACACATAACTTCAGATTTAGTTTAAAGTTCTTCAGTCATATGTTTCAGGTCGTTTGGTAGAGAATTGTATAAGGAGATTGCATTAAAAGTTAATGATCTTGTCAATATAGAGGTCTTGTGTTGAAGCAGAGTGAATATATCTGGAAAACGAATAATTCTGTTGGAGTGGATTATATCATGATGACGTATGAATTTTCTGTACAAGCATGAAGGTTTCTTATTAAGCATTGTTTTATGTACGATTTTAAGGAGTAAATATTTGAATACGTCTTTAATAATTAGCCAATTCATAGCAATTATGTGGCCTGATGTGTGAACTTCATGTTCGATTGTTTATGAGACGGCAACACTAGTTTTGGATTTTCTGCGATCGTTTTTCTGTATATTGGTCTAGACAGCGACAATATAACGGCATACAATAAGAATTTTGGAAATAAAATTTTACTGAAAAGCTTGATTAAAATGGATGCCGGAACCTTCATTTTTCGCCTATGAGCACCCTGAAGTTTTTTACGCGGTCGGAGAATGTCAACTATGATTTGTTAATACAAATTTGCATCCTTTAGAAAATTGATTTTGTCTGAATAAAAAACTAAAAAAGAGGGTTTGAAAACTGTGTTAATAATAAGAGCACAAGGTTTGATATACGCGTAATTTTGATCACTTCAATAGTTGCGAGATCCTCATGATTTAAACAAAAAACCTACATTTTAGAACATTATGTGCGACTACCTGCAGCGTTACAAGGGATTATTAGAAAAATTAATATAGAAGATTGCTCACCTGTAGACCCAACAGGTCTTGAACAGCGGCCTAGCACAAGGATACGGCCACACGCTGTTGTTTGGCTTTGCAAGGTGATGGAACCCAGTAATCTGCAGACGACCAGCATTTCGCGCCAATTTCCTAGTTTCGTGTTTGGGTAACACGAGCAACGAAGTGCACCCCTTTCTCGCGATGAAGCTCGAACAAGCCGGATACTTCACTATCTGTCTTTTCTTACGTCGCGCATCTACCGCTGTGGGGATTTTCTTTAAGAAGACCTTCCCTCCAGTGGACACAGTGGAATAAACTCGCTCGGTACCATCTTCAGCGCGTTCAGTTTTGATGGTTTTTTCTTCGCGTTTCACACCAAGCCTAAAGGCGCAGAAACGTCGATTCTGTTGGGCACTGTACGTCGATAGTTTGGAATTTGAGGTTTGTAATGTTTCTGAACCACTGCAATTAGATGAGGTCACTGTAACCGTATCTATGACGTTCTCAGTCGCTGATACGTTCTTCACCTCACCGTCAACCACAGTGCTTGTCACACTTGTAGTTGTAGTCGTTGTTAAAGTACTAGTCACTGTGACCCCCGTCTCGTTTTTTGTACCATCACCTCCCAAGATCATCGCTTTTATGTCATCCGGTGACATTTGCTTAACGTCGAGTTCAGGATCTTCTAACTTGAGCTTTTTCTTCGTAGGAGACTCAAATTCTTCCTTCGACAAATTTTCTTTGAGCTCATCTTTAACTTCATTTTTAAGATCCGTTATTTTCATAGGCACATAAACGGTATTGTCATCCTCAAGCTTCGGAGCTTTGAGTACAGCGTTGACCAGGTCTTTGCAGATACTTTCTTTGGTTGGCGGTGTTGTCACAACTTTTATCTCCTTATCTTTCGCTGCTAAAGGAATCTGAGGGGATTTAAGGGTCTGTTCCAAAATCGACGGCTTCTTTACCGGGGTGGTAGCCGGTGACTGAGGAGCAGCCTTTGTAGAAGAGTTAGTGGCAACGTTGGCTTTTCTCAATAGACCTAATAGATCCCTTCTAACTTTTACCCGCTGCATACACAGAGGTGAGTAGCATGTATTGTCAATGCTATTTCCAACTCCTGAATTGCACCCTTTTACGTAACATTGGAAATCTTTGGCGAGACGAGCAATGGCAGTGTACTGAGTCCTGAGTGTATGTATCCTTTTTGCTATTGTATTGAGCGCTTCTCTGTTGTTCGAAGATTGTTGATTTGCGGTGTTGTTTGGCAAGGCAACTTTGCCTGTCATCATATTATTCAGCTGTTTTTCTAGCCCGTCACTATTCTGATTCTGTTCTTCTTCGGCTTCTACCTCAACATTTTCTTCTTCTTTGACTTCTTCAGTTTTGTTCTGAGCGATTTTGCGCTCCTCGAGAATCTTCAGTTGCACTCTTCTAGCCAACAGATTGTCCAGTTTCGATTTCTTCGCAACTTTTGGATACAATATCCTGCCGGGTGTCAGTAGAGCTTTAGTAACGTTTATTTCTTCAACTTGGGTAACAGGTGGTACGATTTCGATGTTCTGCAAAACGTCGGGAATTTTCTCGGCATCTTCAGGACTCAAATCGCCCTTGATCTTTGCCATCAAGAATTTGTACATGTTGGGGTCTAGAGCTGCCACTTTGTTGCCGTTGGAGTCCTTGATTTGGACCATCATCTTCTGTGGAGGTCCGGAAAGTCCGAGCTCGCGACAATCCGAATGTTTGAAGTTCCTGGGAGTCCTGATCCATAACCATCCCCATCTTCCGTGGATTCTGTACTCCTCACCTTTCTGCTTCCACAACTGATGTTTGAACGGCATCGTATACTTGACATAACCGCTGATGATCATTTTGTTTCTTTCTTCCTCTTCTTCACGCTCTTTTTTCTCTCGCTTCTCGATTTTTTTTCTTTCTTCTCGTTCATTGGCTGTTATTCTAAACAACCGAATATGTCCAAGTTGCTCGTGCCAAACGTTAGCGAATACCACAGGTTTAATGCAAGCTTGGAGCACCACCAACACCTACAAAGAGGAATTTACTCTAAAAGGTTGGTGCAAGAGATTATATGGAATCTGGTACCCACCTCCTCCAATAGCTACGTGTAGTGTCTGATTGGATATATCTTTTTGCGTTAAATAGAAGTTATTATGCCGCCTAGTTTCAAAGCTGAGTCCGTTTAGAATTATACTTTACTTTTTTTGTATATGTTACAGCCAAAACCGGTTCTTAACGCGTTTTGCATAGTTGAAATTAGCCTTGACTAAGTGTCTTTGTTATAACTAGAATTAACTGCTGCTAAAAATAACTAGGAAAATCAATTTTTGACATAAGCACATAGTCAAAACTATTTTTAACTAGGCAAAATGTGTTATAACTCAAAATGGTTTATAACTGTATATATATTCTCTTTGTGGACAAAACTCCATATCCAGCTATTAACATAAAATATGCAACACAAAAATCTTTATTTGTTCCTGTTGTGTTTCTTATCGATGTTCCGCGGCGTACCAAGGTATAGAATATGGATATTTTTTGTTATAGTTACAAGACAAGACATGTGGAAAAAGAACTATGATCGCCACTATACGTAGCTATTGGAGGTGGGTACCAAAATTTACATCATTCTTTAGTTCTTGAGATATTTCCAAACAATATCAATAAGTTGAATGGAATATTTCTGTATTTGCTTTCATTTAAAAAAATGCCATGTAGTGTACAGTATATGAAAAAATGAAAACCAGAAATTTATTTCAAGTAACTGAGTTGTGTAACAGTTTAAATTTTCTCGCGATAAAATCTAGTTATGGGGACGGATTGCTACACATTTCATTATACCATACTATAACTATGTCAAAATCTGTCAAATTGTTTGAGCATAACGTCCCATATTTTAATGTTTATTCCAAAGGAAAGTTGGTATAAAATACACAGCATTTTGATGATTTGCTGTCGAGTGATTCAGTGTACAGAAACGTTCAAGTTCCAGTACAAACCAGTCCGCCATTTAGAAAGATTATAGGTTCATACTGTAAAGTTATGAAGTACTAATAAGGCGTTTCAGAATGAAGTATTACCCCATATTTTATATACAGGCATGGTATCTGAAAAAGTTGATTATGAAGATTGTAAATTATTTTTTTTTCTACAGAGTGATACATAACAATGTGGTGCCCCAACATTTTTTTAAATGGAAAGACCTACATTTTATTACACATTCGGATAGGCACTTTCAAACGAAGCAATTTGATATAACATACTATAGCATTTTATTGAATAATCTACCGAAAAAATATACAACATTGACAACTCGAACCTCCGCGACTGTTACAGATAAACTACTGAATCAGGAGAATTTCATGATCCCATTTTTTCCAATCGACTTCAAGAACGTAAAATGAACGATTTCTCGAAATTTTCAAATGGTACACCCTGTATATTTTCACACTTTTTTGATTCCCCTTTTCACAAATCTTCTTTTTTTTGTTGTAAGGTTTATGGGAGTTTGTACGAATCGTTTTACAGTTAACCTTATTGTAAATCAGTTATTAAGGTAACTGAAAAATATTGCAATACCTTTTAAAATAAAAATAGCATTAATTAGTAACAGCAGATGGTAGAATTTGTATATTTTCAATATAAATATAAATCTACCTCATCTTATCCAATAAAGTTGGAAAGTTAAATAGGCGTCCGTGTGTTTCAGTAACTCAAAACCCAGTTGTACAAACCTACATAAACCTTATATCAGAAAAGCATTTGAAAAGGGGAATCAAAAAGTGAGAAAATATACAGTGTTCCACTTGAAAATCTTGAGAAACCGTTCACTTTGCGTTGATTGGCGAGCCTGTATAAACTAACCAAAACGAAAAAGCAAGTCAAATAGATAGGGAGAAAATATTGGATCATACATTTTTTCTGGCAAAAAATTCAGTTCTCTAGCAATAACAGTTGCAGGGGTGTGAGTTGCCAAAAGTTGAGTATTTTGTGCAATAGATTGCACAATATATCAAGAAATTGAAATAGGATCCTATCCAATAGCTTCATTTCGAAGGGCGTATCCGAATCTGCAATGAAATGACGGTATTTCCATTTCAAAAAACGTATATTTGGTTCCCTATGTACTTATGAACCACCCTGTAAAAATAAAAATTATTTCCAAATCAGAAGCAAGCTTGTATTTAACTTTTTCAGATACCATGCGTAATAACGGAGTTATTGACCAAGCCCAGAATAAAAACTCATCCTTTACAAAAATGATGTTCCATTTTTCCTAATTGCAGCTTTTAAAGCTAAGAAGATGAATCCATGATATAAAGGGTTGTCCAAAACGGACGCAGGAAAGTAAACGCATATTAAAACAAGAAAGATTGATATTCAAATCAAGTTGGGTACTTTATTTTAAAGGTTCATTTATACCATTTATGTATGAAAAATAATATCGCTCAAATGTTCACCACGACTGGATTTACAGACGTCCACGCGATGGTCGAAATTTTCAATGACATTTTGCAACATGGTCGGTTCTATGGCATTTATCTCGGCAATGATGTTGTTTTTGAGTTCTTGGAGGGTGGCTGGTTTGTTGACGTAGACTTTGCTTTTCAAATATCCCCATAAAAAGAAGTCCAAGGGAGTCAAATCGCACATTTCCTCTGCGCGAAATCACGCGATCACCGAAGAAGGACTGCAATCGATGGATATTGACGTTGGTTGTGTGGCATGTTGCACCGTCTTGTTGGAAATAAACATGGTCCATATCCATTCCTTCAAGTTGCGGCAAAAAATAGTCTTCTATCATCACGTGATATCGCTCAGAATTGACGGTAACGGCGTCCCCGGCCGCATTTTCGAAAAAGTAAGGTCCGATGATGCCTTTTGACCACAATGCACACCACACAGTCACTTTTTGAGGATGCATCGGCTACTCTTGATACTCACGGGGATTTTCGTTCGCCCAGATGCGGCAGTTTTGCTTGTTTACCGTCTCATTCAAAGTGAAATGCGCTTCGTCGTTGAACATGATTTTTGATGAAAAATTGGCATCAATTTGGCGGTGTTCAAGGAGCCAATCTGAGAACGTTCGGCGCGAAAAATGGTCGGCCCGACGCAGCTCTTGCGTCAATTGGATCTTGTAGGCGTGTACATTCAAATCCTTGTGGAGAATGCGGAGCAAACTGGTTCTCGAAATGCCCAATTCTTGGGATCGACGCGTTGTTGATTGTTTCGGATCGTCTCTCACACTCTCCTTCACAACAGCAATATTTTCCGGTGTGCGAACGCTCCTTGGCCGGCCAGAGCCTGGCAGATTTGCCACAGAACCTGTTGCCTCGAATTTACGCACCAGACGACCGATGGTTGTTTCGTTTGGGCGGTTGTTGCGACCGAAATGTTCACGAAGCGCGCGAAACGTGTTTTTTATTTTTGCACCATTTTTGTAGTGCTCTTGAATAACTTTAATGCGGTCTTCAATCGAATACGACTCCATAGCGATCAATGGTAAACATTTAACTAACAAAATGACATGTCGGTGACAGAAAACAAAGATGGCGTCTATGACATTTACTTTCCTGCGTCCCTATTGGACAACCCTTTAGTTATAAATAGCAAATTATTATTGATCAAAGATATCGATCAGGTCCAGAAACATACAAAATCTGTTTTGAGAAACTTTTGCGTGTGAATTAGAAATAATGATCCAATCCTTACCTTGGCAAAGTCCTTAGGCTGCTGGCAGCTCCCAACGACCGACAACCAATGTTTCCTCAACAGCTGCCAGTTGGGATGCATGAAAGGCGATGGAAGCTGCTGCTCCAGCTGCAAGATCGTGTTTCGCAACGTGTTGATCAGCAGAGTCCTCATGCCACTTACAGCACCTACCCATTTGAACTCCGAAGCAGGGGTAAGAGAGAACTTGTGAGACAGGTGTCTTTTCTTGTCTCTTTCTTCATTTCTTTGAGGCTTGTTCAGAGCAATGACGTTTGTAGTGAATTGGTTGACATACACTTTGAAGGAATTTTCCATGCCAAGTTTAAACAGGTATGTGCCACTAGCAATCTGACTGGACTTCAATCTCGTCATGCGAGCTTCGTCCCTATCGTCTTCCCTGCTCAAAATCAAATTTCTACGTCGGGCTTCCTCTATGGAGTAGTTTGGTTTTGGAGTCAGAGCGCCCGTTTTGGACCTAGTCAGCACTTCCTTGTTTTTGTCAACCCCCTCCTCATCAGTCTCATTTTTCTGACCAGATGACTGCTCAGTGACTTCATCTGCCTTAGTTTCGATAGTATCACTGGTAATAACCTCTTCAGTGCTCTCGACAACCATAGGCACGTCGTCAGCGTTCTCTATTTGCGTATCTTCGTGCAATTGAGCAACCATACCTTCCGCATTGTTTCTTTCTTTCTCTCTTCTTTCCTGCTCTAATTTTTCTTCGGCTTCTTTACGTTTTTTCAGAATGGCAGCATTTTCCGCATCCAAATACGTCTTCTTGTTGCCTTTGTACTGGTTAGTCAACTTTTCAGTCAATTCCATTTGGCGCGTAATTTCATCCTTGAAATCTTGCAATTCTCTATATAACGTTGTTTCTAGGTCTTTAGAGTCCAATGCTCTGAGGATTTCGTCAAACTGCAAAGTTGTTGAGTAGTAGCAGATCTCCCCATCTTGGCTTTCACTATTAACGGAAAAATATAACATTTTAAGAATTGTTTTATTAAGACCTATTACTTGTATCAATAATGCTAAATGATGTCTTTAACATGATAAATAACAGCATACTGAACTCTTGTAATATTTACAGGGTGTCCAGTGGGTAAGTTCACATTTCAAATTTGAATTACGCGGCTACCGTATACGCGAGGAAGCGAGGCGAGGTCTTGATCGACGCGTTCGGCGTGCGGGCTAAATAGTCACAATGTAACGTTTGAATGTTTCTGCTGTCTAAGCTTACTTCAAGAGTGGTGATTCATACCTTGTGGTGAATGGGTGTTGAATCTTTTTCCTACGTAGCGCAGACTCAAAAACGTTGTTTCCAGTTACGAGGCCTATTTTCACTGAGACAGTTATGTGAACAAGCAAAATTGCAAATATAGGGCACCAACAAACCCAAAAGAGAAACATCAACAACAGCTACATAGTAGAAAGGTGACTGTTCAGTGCGCCATACCCTCTAGCGGTATTAGTGGGCCGTCACTGAATGAGCTAAAAGACAACATTCGAAGAGAAATAAACTACATCACTCCGGAACTCTTCAAAAGAGTGTTTCAAAATTTGCGCGTGTTTTAACATTTGGACGGAATGATATTTAAGAAATAAAACCCGACGAATTTACGAATATGTTCATAGTAATATTTTGTTTTCATCAAGTTTGTATGTTTTTTCTTAAATCAAAAACTGAACTTTCCCAACTGGACACCTGTACTTTGATATAGGATGCCAGTGCAGTCTAAATGATAGTCAATTCATTTTAGACATCAACTGGCCTCCTAGGTCACCCGACCTCACGCTATGCGATTATTTTTTGTGGGGTTATCCAAAGTCAAAAGTATATTCCAATAATCCACGAACACTGAATGAGCTTAAAGAGAAATAAACATCACTCCGGAACTCTGCAAAAGAGTGTTTCAAAATTTGCGCGTGTTTGTTTGTTTTTTTTTCTTAAATCAAAAACTGAACTTTTCCACTGGACACCTGTACTTTGATATAGGATGCCAGGGCAGTCTAAATCATAGTAAATCCATTTTAGACATATGTGACACTGTGTATTGGCAGACACCAAATGGAAATGGATCAGCAAGACTACTACAGAATAAGTATCAGAAGTTACATCAACCTCAAGTTGTTTATTGAAGATTATTTGGCCATATATTTTTTTAGCAATACTCAACTTGAAAAAGTTATGTTTGAAATTCCTTAGGCAACCATTTCACTATGCTAAACAATGCATCCTCGTTATGAATTTTAGATTTGAAATATGCAAATTATACAGACAAAAATGTATGCAAATTAAGAAACTGTGGATATAGCCTAAAAATTGATAACACCAATTTTTTTATCTCATATCAATCTGCATAGTATCACAAAAATCATCTGAAATCTGAATATGTTATACTATAAAAACAGAAGTAGATTTCATGGTAAGGGTCTGAAGTTTGAAAAAGCAATACTAGGCGAGTCAACGCTAACCAATTTTAAATCTTATTTGGCAAACTTGCTCATTATCAAAATAGTTAATCACATCCTATCTGCATTGAACATATTATCTTTTTAAAAACATGAATATATAATAAATACTCAAGTTGAGGCCATGCTATATATAAAACTTCTACAATTATAAAAAAGTTTATTTGGCAAAATTATAATGAATTATGTAGACTTCTGTTAACTAAATCTAAATAATATCAACTTGATAACAGAAGGAACAATATAGCAGAGAAGTACTATCAGTAGGTCACTGACCTGCCCATTATATCATTTGAATACATCTAAATATACAGTGCTTTTTAAAAAGGTCCCCCTAATTATTCTGTGAATGGGTCAAGTTAGGAAGCTGAAATAATCAAGTCTGATGCATGAATACTATATTTTAGCATAAAAGTGCCGGTAGAAAATTTCAACATAGTGGCTGGACACCAATTAGAAAAAAAATTGTATGGAATGGGGGTTTTGTGATGCCTCATTTTGAAGTGTCTTATAAGCATTTTCATACATTGAGTATAACTCAACAACCACTCATCAAAATGCTGTATGTTACATCAATCTTGTTCTCTTGGGAGGGTTTATTGCATATTTAATAAAATATGAAACATTCCATAAAAAAAAATTTCGACCTACATATCAAAGTTGTGATTTTTCAAATGGAATGCCTTTAATGCATATTTGGATAAACCAATTCAAAAGAAGAAAATTGATATAACATACTAAGGTTTTTTGGTAATTAGCTACTGAGATATAAGGTGTTTTGTCTAGAAAACCCCCCCATTTTGGCAACCCCTCAGTCCGCCATTTTTAGTGCTGAATTTTGTATCAAAAAAAAAACTTACACACCTCAGTTTTTATCTTACTTGTTACTTTTTCTAGTTTTGATTTTTGCTCATACAGGGTGGTCAAAAACGCAAATTGTAGTTTTTCTCAAAAGTTTCAAATACATCACACTATGTTTGTGCAAGTTTGGATCCAATTTTCTATAAGCTTTTTTCGGTATAAGGTTTGATTCAGATAAAATCACTAGATTTTGAGTTATTGAGCTTTTAATAGAACACACCAACATTAAGGAAAAACACATCATCCATGGAAACAAAAGACAAACAGTGGGCTGGTTCCATATTGTCGCTAAAAGTACAGATTTGATTTTGGAGGATGTCAACCTGCAAACTTGTATGCATATGTACTTTTAACATGATGGCGCACCTGCGCATTATCATAATCGTGTGCGGAACTATTTGGACACCTGTTGGATCGGTCGTGATGGGCCTATATCTTGGCCTTCTAGATCACCAGATATGACACTGATGGACTTCTTTCTATGGGACTACGTTAAGCAAGAGGTTTATAGATATCCACCATCTATCCCAGAAAATAGGAAGGAAAGGATTAAGGATGCTTTTCTGAACATAAGGGCACACATGCTGAGGAATGTGCAACTGTCATTTATCCAAAGACTAGGGCTGTATATTCAACATGGTGGAGATATTTTCGTTCAGTTTTTGTAGATTAGGTCTTGAGTAGTGTTAGCTGTTTGTTTATGTTGTTGTTATAGTTGTTTTTCTCTATTACGCTTGAAGCTGATTTATACTGATCTGATTGCTATTAGTTTTTACGTCAAATCTGTACTCTTAGTGGCAATATGGAACTAACCCACTGTTTGTCTTTTGTTTCCATGGAAAATGTGATTTTTTCCTTAATTTTGGTGTGTTGTTCAATTAAAAGCTTAATAATTCAAAATCTAATGATTTTATCTGAATCAAACCTGATACCAAAAAAAGCTTATAGAAAATTGAATCCAAACTTACACGAATATACAGGGTGATGCATTTGAAATTTTTGAGAAAAAGTACAATTCGTGTTTTTCACCTGTATGAGCAAAAATGAAAACTCGAGAAAGTAATAAATAAGATAAAAGCTGAGGTGTGTAAGTTTTTTTTGATACAAAATTCAGCACTCAACATTTCGAAATAGTGGATTGAGGGGTTGCCGAACTGGACAGTTTTTCTGGACAAAACACCTTACATCTCAGTAGCTAATTACCAAAACCCCATAGTATGTTATATCAATCTTCTTCTTTTGAATTTGTTTATCCAAATATGCAATAAAATATGAGGCATTCCATTTAAAAAATCACAACTGTAGGTCAAAATTGGGACACCCTGTATAATTGCCAATATTTTAGAAATGTGCCCTCAAATATTTCCATTTATGGTATAACATACCATAAATGGATTTTCTCAAAATGTATTTGTTTATGAGTAATATTCCATCCACACATGGATGGGCCACCCTGTATATATATATTTTAAAAATCAGAGTATTTCAACACATTCAGTTTTTGAACATAAAATCATTTAATTTAATGATGTAGCAGTAGGCTAATAATAGAATAATTCCCAAATATTTCATTCATACTAAATATTAAACAAAAGAGAAATATAACCCAGTATGGAATTTAACTTTTGCTATTCTATTATAATTTTCCTACTAAAACCAATACCTATTCACAGAGGTAAAAATAATAATGAGCTTGAAAAATGCATTATATGTAGACATATATAAAATATTTCATGTTTGTAATACTTACACCAATATCCTTCTGCACAGGAAATAGTACTTTCTGCCATGCCTATCATATCCCAAAGGCTCCTGCCTAGACAGCTGCCCTTGCTTCTCGAGGTCCAACACACAGTCCACCACTCCAGATACTTTGTGTGATCTGCAGATGCTGCATTGCCAATCTTCCTCGGGAATTTTCCCCAGGGGCGGATCCACACATTCCAAGTGGTAGACTGCAGGGCAAGTTTCACAGCAAAGCAGATCTCCCAGCTTATGACAGACCCGACAATGGTCATCATAGTGCATAGGTACTGTAAATAAAAGAGAATTTTTATTGGAAATTTTGTGGTTTGAATATATTATATTTTGCCATATCTTTGTATATGACAAATAGTTCAGAATATGACAAGAGAAATCACACAGATATAAATATTATCAGCATTACATTTATTGAACTCCTAACATCGCAAGCTAAAAAACTACATAATTCTATAGAAAAAAATTCTCATCCTATGCCATACTGTAGAACATTTACCAAATAATTAGATTTTAGTAATAGTTTACTGTCATATAAACGAATAATAAAATATTAAATTGATACATATAATAAAGAAAATATCAACTTTATACCTTCACTAAGAAGATCTTCTCGGACAGGGTTGGTTATCAAAAACTGATCCGTTAAAAATTGTAGAACCTTTATTCTGTCTTCGAGTGTTGAAAATGGATAATCAGTAGTAGATAGAATTTCTAATACCTTTGAATCAAAATTTTTATCACTCTCTACATATGCTTTTAGTATTTCTGGATAAGTCATATAATCAATTAAATATAGTGATATATTCACACTATCTTTTTGATCCAAAGGGCCAAAATGTGTCTGCTGAGAATCCTCTTCCCTCAGCAATGCTTTCAATAGCATTATGTGGATTTCTGCTAGAAGACTGCTTTGATCTTCACATATAATAGCAGCGCAAAAGTCTTCTAATCTGAATGGTGATAATCTTACTAGATTTCTGAAATGCCTCAGGACTTCATAAATGCTTACTACTTCCATGATTCTTTCCTTTGGGACAAGTAAATCATCTGAAGACTTTGGTAACGTCAGGGGTGGTATTTCTCTATTTTGTAACCAGATAGGTGGTTCTGGGGTAGGTGCTCTATTTACATGTAATCCTTTTCTGGGGGTGCCACTCATAGTACTATAGCTACTCAATGAAAAGTCACTATCACTACTTGCATCTGGGATAGAGTCTCCTGATTCACTATCAGAATAGCCAATCTCATCTTCGACATCACTTTTGTTATCACTAGAATCATCACCAAAGTCAGAGCCATAGTGATATTCAGAATCATGATAATCACTCTGCGTTGTGTTGTAATTTCTTCTCTGATATGCAGAGCCTGCATATCCCTGTTTTCTGCCTGCTCGATGACCATCTTTGCCTCTAATCCTAGTACTACTACGTCTACTTGATTCACTTTCAAAAGGAGATGAGGCTCTTGAAACTGTTGGTGTACTAGATTGGGATTCTGGCGGCTTATAGTTCAGTAAGTATTTTGGTTTCTTCAAGAGATGATATTGGAATTTCTTGGATCTCTCTGCTACCTGCACCTTAGGGGGACGCCCCCTCTTCTTCATGCCTCTTGTTGACATCGTTTCGGTTAGCTGTCAGTCACCAGCTATTATGCACGTGGTAAATTACGAAAACAAACTTGTATACAAAACGAATGTCAAAATTTTACTTAAAACGACCCATGGTCGGTGTCCGATCTATTCACCATACTAATCGGGTAGGTCACGTGACCGACAACACAAAACTCATTTTTCGCGGTTATTCTATTGTTTCACTGTCTAATTGTTGTTAATTAATCGACTACGACCCATTTACAAGCACTAACACACTGGAAAAACGCCCATGTCGCTAGAAAATCGAGGAAATGGGTGAATGACGCGTATCCCAGCACTTAACAACCCAAGCCTCCAGCGTTGCTATTGGTCGATCGCCCAGCCGCCATGACAACTTGCAACAAAATTTTTTCCACTAGCACACTTGAATACTATTTTCGCAGAAATATAGCACATTGCAGAACTAATTCACTCCGCATACATAAATCAGCGTAACTACCGTTGGTAATTCGGATGGAAAAGCAAAAATTAATTTTCATCCGAACGACTTGTATTCATTGGAAGCTTTTCCATCACAGTAATTCCAGATTGAAGTTGAAGATGTCGCTAGGCTCAGTTAATCAATTAATTTCTTTTCGTTGAAAATTATGTTTCCAAAAGTATGACAATCTCTTAAATTGTCAGCTAAATAATTTTGAGACATTTTGCGATAAATATTTGATCAATAAATTATGGTATTTTTAAATATTTGGGCCATTTCCGGTATTGACCGGAAAGAGAAACAGACATAGATGCGCAAATCCTTCGCGCAGATCCGCATATGTGTAATTACAAAATGGCGGCCGAAATTTCATTTCAGGCGATTGTTCATTAGCGACTCGTCACTGCAACGATCAATAAAAAATATTCGCAAAGAGTATGGAAAATGTGCAATATTGGATCACCAGCAGATGCTAATAAGCACTATATGCTTATTTATATTGATAATGTTTGTTGAAAACGTAAACGTTTGAAATATATTAATAAAAATGTCGAAATGTGAAGTTTGTACCTGTTGGCAAGCGACGACTATGAAGTGACACCTTTCAGATGAGGTGGCCAGAATAAAAAAGGAATAAACTCCTCAAATGCCTAGAAAAATTGACTATTACGAAAAAATACGATTATAAAAATGAACGGTCCGATTAAAATGTATCGAACGAAGCAAATTGTGCAACATGATTTTCCAGTTGAATTGCCCAAGTGTATGTACCGCATGAAAAATATTCACGCTAGAAGAAATGGAATGGTAGACGGTCCCAATGATCACGTTACGTCTTCGGGAGCAAAATTGGAAATATTTAAGCAGGTTAAACAGTTTCTGAAGGTTTTATATGTTTTCTTTGTAGTCTGTGCTTTAATAATCTAGTTAAGTAGTTTTTAAAGTGTGAAAGTGGCTCTACTCACCAAAATTTCTTCAAAAAACACATGCATGATACTACAGTTATCAATTTTTGCCAACGACTGTCAAATAACTAATGAAAATGAAGGAGGAACTATTAATGTCCTCTTATTGACTTTTTTGTCACCTGATTAATTTTTGAAGATTCTATTATGGATATATGTGCATCCACTTGATACTTGCTTACTACTAAGGTATATTGAATTTTCTAATATGTAGTTGTAGGACCTATTGATTTATTCAAGATTTTTTTTGTAGAATAACCAACAAATTCCTGGCATGGCTGAATTACAAGAAAAACAAGCAGACATCCTAAAACAGCTGGCTGAACTCAAAAAGCAAATTCTTTCCATAAAATCAGATCTCAATACCAATTTTTCAGTGTCTGTTGCAAAAACTGTCTCCACTACTTCTAAACATAAGGTAAGAGAATCAAAATTTGTAAGGCCCGATGTCGAACTCTAATAAATTATAAAAAAACATTATATGCAATTTGTATTGCTATGTGGGTGAATATGTGTATTTGGGATTTCAAGAAAATCTCTGTATATGTAACTGTTATAACAATATACAAATGCTGTTTGTATTGCTAATACACATTATATTTTCATGAAAAGAGAATGTAAACCTTGTATAAACAGATAAAAGATATGCTTTTAGTGGTTCCTGAAAATTGTGTCACCCTCACTTTGTGCTAATTACGTTACTATGTTCATGTAAACGAATTGATCTTGATCAATGAGTTTTAAACTGATATGATTTGGCCTACTGAAACCAGGAACACATCAGTTGCTCACAGTGCCAGAGATTCCAATATTTGCCCTAAATATATCTTTGTGAATTTCATTTATATCATAATAATTAATGTATCTTAATTTTTTTTGTGCTCATGTAGATTTTTGTCACTACCCTGGCAACACATCTCTGGCAGTTTTCATGTCAATCATTTTTTCTACTCTTCTTTTCTACTTCTTGTCTTTTCAATAAAAAAATATTACATACAATTAAGGCAGTTGTTGCAACACACTATCAAAAAATGTCTTCCAAACACAACCATCATTCTGAGGCTTAGTGAGCTCTTATTCTGTATGATTCTCTTGTTTCAGGACTGATGCAACTGAATTTATATCACATTTAAAGTATCTTTTTCATAGTTTAAATGTTATCCCCCTGGCCACATGGTTTCCCCTAGTATCTATAATAGCTGACAAAATCAAAATATCTTATTCCATCAAATATGTATCACATAATCTTGTGTACATAATGATTATGAAAACAATCAGCTAATTTTCTTAGTTAACACTGAAAGCCCAAATACCATTTATTCACCCATATAAAGATATACCATCATTAAATATAGGCTATGTAATGTATTAGTCATCATTCAATGTGAAATCTTTGTATTTTATTTTCTGTGGAAGAAAAGCTAATGAAATAATAGTATTCCCAGAAATTAATGAGCATGTAGTTAAGTGACAAGAGGAAAATTATCATAAAAAAATATTGTGCAACAAACTCTGTACCCTACAGTGTAGCTGCTACAAATTTTGATCAAGGAAAAGAAAAAAAAAACAACATAATGTTGTTTATTTCTTTATAAATAATGAATTAACTTGTTGAAAATCCTGTATGTATTTATCTCCAAATGTTATTTTAATTTAAAAAAATTGAATGAAAATATTACTTGTTTATGTTGCATGCCATTTTTGAATAATTATGATAATTTTTTCCTTTTTTTACTTAAAGATATGCATCCTCCAATATTATTTAGCCCAGACAAAATACAACAAAAATATTACAAGTTTCATTGATCCCTGGTGCAGAACTTTGTTTTAATTTTGATTAAATGTCATAAATATCCCATTTGTCATATTGCTCAAATTTTTACAATTATCTATTAAATTTTTACTTTCATTCCTTGAGTCATCATTTATGAGATCTAGGGATATGTGGACTCTAAGGTACTCTCTTGCTTTTACGTATATGTGGAAGTATTGATGTATGCAACTTATACTAAAATAAATATCACTTATACTGGGACTGTCAAAACCAAGTGCTAGTGATTTTTCTGAACAGTCCTTCCATTCGCTTGTAGGTTGAGACTGGAAGCGCCGATGGTTTCCCAGATTTTGTGATAAAAGCAAGTCCAACAAACCCTCCATACTCACTAGAAATTCTTCAAAAGCTGTTAAAAGATATAGTGAGTCTCAGTTTTATAGTTCGGACACACTCATCTGTACCTGTTTTAACTGAAAATGCAAAGGAACTACAAAAAAGACTGGTTAATTTTAAGCCTGATACTAGTGCTCCTAAGGTTAATGTGACATTGATATGGAAGTCAGGTAACTATTCTTTGTTTAAAAAATATGAATATGAGTATATAAGTTATCAGAGACTATTTTTTTAAAATTGTAGAATTGATATATACTTTAATTGGAATTTTGGTAGTCAGCAAAATGACTTAATGATCTTGTGGCTGACAAACAATACTTAACAATAAAACAATAATTCTAACTGCATTGCTTATAAAAAATGATAAAGTGCCAGCCCACAGGAAGCTCAAAATTTGTAGCTGATTTAGTATGATAAACATATTTGCCCATAATAATCCATTGGGCATTCTGTGATGAATTTTTCTTATACGTATTAGGAAATTCTGCCTTGACAAGCAACATAAAAATGGCATGAGCATGTTAATAACATTGATTAACATATTCAAGTTGCAAAACCTTATACTGTATTTGAACATTCACATACAATTTCTATCATTACATCAATGTTGCCAAATAAGATCTCAGTAATTTCCTTAGAAATGACAAAAATGAACTCTAATTTCCTTAAAGAAAATAGTTTTTTCTTAATATGATATCACTCTTCTTAGGAAATTGATATATTTGTTATCTTAAGACTTTAATATAGTAGTAGTAGTTTTCGTAGTAGTTTATTTAGCCAAATTTCAAACATAAAAGTTCACTTGGCATGTCAAAAGAAAAGTGGCATAGTTAAAATATCACAATAAATAATATGTATAAAATATAATACAGAGTGATTGTCAGTCTTTGTTGCACTACACTATTCACAAAACATAATAAAATGATTTGGAAAAATTGAAAGTTCATAGAGTAAAAACATTTTGCACTTAAATACTCAATAACCTTATTTTCAAATTTGATATAACCCTCTAGATATTGCATATCTTGAGGTAGAGTATTATAGTTCTATAATGATTTGCTTTCAAAATGGAATTTCTAGTCTTATAGTTGTGATGTTCATTTTGTATGCTGCAATCATAGATGTTGTGCTACTATGAAAACATGAATATTATTGCCTCATCTACATATGTATGTATATGTTAAGTAAAGTTCCAACTTTGACAGGAGTTGTTGGCCCCTTGATACAATTACAGTAATGGCTGCTTATAACGAACCTCAAGGAACCGGCGAAACTGGTTCTCTATAAGCGAAGTTCGTAATAAACGATAAATAATGCTAGTACCAGAAAATATTTTTCATTAGTTTATTATTCAACCAGGGGTATATAAAATGTTTGTAATAGTATATAATAATAATATGTATAATCCACATATATAAAAGTTTTTGAAAATCTTTCTTAAAAAAAAATCGTTTGGTTTATTTTTGTGAAATGAACATCATTAATTTGCAAATGTATTATATTTTCTGACTCTCTATCCGTCTTGTCTTACTTAAAGTCTCCAACAGACGTTAATTCTAACTATTACCACTTATATATATAATAAGGATTAAGCAAGAAATATCCAAGTTCCAACAATATAATTCAGACAAAAAGATAGTGTTGGTGTGGGTTAAGGCCCATACGGGCATAACTTTTAACGAACGAGCAGATCAACTAGCTAAAGAAAGTGTTTCACAAGGAGAAGAAATTATCTCTCAACCAACTTTGCATGATAGATTGAACACCACAAGGAATTTTTTCATGCAAAAATGGAAGACTCAGTATCATGATTTCTGCACACGGATGCCAACAAGATACACTCTACTGGAACCTGAAATCAGAAGTAATTTTGGGCATGAGTCATTTAAATATTCACGTAGATACATAACCACAATAACTAGAATGAAATACGGACATGCCTGCTACCCGGCTCACCTATATAAAATCAACAGTGGTCAATAGTAATATGTGCGACACCTGCAATGAGATCGCAGATCTCGTGCATATGTTCTTTAATTGCTCCAAATTCCGACAACAATCTGCTAAACTTAAAAAGCAATCTATTCTAACTAAATGTCTCGCAGCCTTATAATATTATGCACCTGCTAGCTACAAATGATAAACATATATTTGATCAATTAATTAGCTTCATTTGTGAGACTGGCATACAATTGTAAAACAAGACAAACCTTCTTACCATCACAATAATGGCATAACCTACAGCGTTTGTGTTAGCTCATTTTTAGGTCTATCTTAGCTGCCGATCCTTTGTTGAACACCTTATTATTACCTTTACCGTGGTCCTCCTCTGTGTAAGTCGCCTTGATAGACCCCTTGGCGTGAAACATGTCCTTGTCTTCTTTTCGTCTTCTGTTTTTCTATGGAGAGTTTAGGTTAACAACAACAATTAAGAATTCTTAGGATTCAATTATGATAATTTATTCAAAATAAATCGTTTTTAACGTTCATTGACACCTTTTGATGAGGTAGTGCCAGTCTTAATTATATATAGTATTACTTGTACATCTGAACACTGGATATTTTACCAACCTAGTTTCTGGCTGCATGGCTTGGTCCTAAAGCAAAAAAAAAAGATCATTATATGTAATTCCACTTCAGCTAGTCTATCTAGCACACGCTGCGGAGTATTTCGTGACTGAAGGAAATGACGAACGCTGTCAATATGTCGAAGTGGTTCTGATGTGGTTGGAGTTGGTATCAGTTCGATACCGACAGATTCTTCATCTTTATTTTCCGTTTCTTCGTCATCATCAGTATCAACTGCTGAAGATATAGCAGCTACAATGACATCATCATCCAGGTATTCGACAGTCACAACTTGGTCATCAATATGAACAAACTCATTGAAATTGTTTTCACTATAAGGAAGATTGGCTCTAATATTGTCTCAAAGATAGCCTTCCTGTCTTCATCCACTCAACTAATGGCAGGTCATAGTCGGGATCAAAATGATCCTCAACCTCCAAGAAACCCCCGTGCGTAAAACAATTAAAATTGTTTCTTTTGATACCTTCTGCCATGCCATATGAATGATGTTTATTGCATCCAACAGATTGATTGTAAAATTTTCCCTGCCACTATCAATAAAATCTAGCATTCTCGAGAGAAGAACTTGACGATAATGGCTTTTTAAACTGTGGATTACACCCTGATCCATAGGCTGTAGTTTAGAACTCGTGTTTGGGGGTACGAACACTAGGTTAATACAGTCCAAATTTTTAACATCTGGATGAGCTGGACAATTGTCCACTAATAATATAATTTTTCGTTTTTCGCGGCGTAACTCAACATCCCACTTACGCAGTTCAGCATCAATCCATGCTCTTTTATTGGATTTGTAATTAACTGGCAACTGTGAAGCGATTTCAAAACATCGAGGGTTTCTCGATCTTCCAATTACCAATAGCTTTCTTTTTTCTGTCCCTGTTAGATTTGCCACTACAAGCACAGCAATTCTTTCTTTAGATAGCTTCCCACCCTCACACTTCTCGCCTTTGAAACTTAAGGTCCTGTCAGGTGTAAGCTTTTAGAATAACCCAGTTTCATCTGGATTGAATATGTCCTCGTCTTTGAAGTTCCTTCTAATGATTGGCCACTTGTTCCGCAACCAGTGATTCACACAGTCCATATCAACTGCAGCAGACTCTCCAACAATTTTTCCACTGGTAATGTTATGTCGTCTTTTGAATCTTTCGAGCCAGCTTCTACTAAATTTAGGTTCTCCACTCAATTCTTCATATTTCAAAATTCATATTTCAATAACTTCTTCCAAAGGTCTTCAGCCTTCGATTGCAGTATAGCACCACTTATGGTTACTTTTTTATTTCTCTGTTGAGAAAACCATTTCAGAAGTCCCTGATCAACTTTATAATTCGTGGACTTTGCATCACCCATGATTTCAAGAGTGTAGGACACTGAATACAACGAATAAAGAAAGTATCAGACTAAATGACGGTGGCGGACTGCCGGCAGATGCTGACGATTGCTCATACTCCACCACGCATTCGGAAGATTTAGGTCACCTCTTTCTGGTAAAATCCGGTTTTACGCTTGTTATAACTGAAAAATGGTACGAATATATCAAACATTTCGGTTCGTTTTATCAGGAGGTTCGTTATATGCGAGAAAAAATACATTTAACATCATTTCAGTCGGTACCTTATAAATTAGTTCGATATAAACGGAAGTTCGCAATAAACGGGTTTGTTATGAGCGGACATTACTGTATTTGTAATTTATTTATTTGTTCTAAAACTTGCTGTTTACTGACTAGATTCCAAAGTGATATTTTCAGTTATAACCTTTTTTGTGAATACAGTTTCATTTTCTTTATTCATTTAACACTTAGTTTTGTCATTTGGGGAAATCATATAGGAGGAAATATTTTCTTTCCAGTTGGTGTTGACACAGAGCTACTAGTAGGCTTCCTGCAAATCAGAGGTGAAGTCAACCTTCTTAGGTACTTATCAAGAGCAACCCAGTCTCCTCTAACCTACAATTCAGATCCAAACAGCATTGAAGTTGACTCAATCCTAGATGTTTGTTACCTTATTGCAAGGTCTAAAACAAAGGTTGAGAGGGCAGCCTTGTACCAATGTCTGAACAAAAGTCTGGGGAAAGCCCAATGGCTGATTGGAAGCAGTCAAATCGGCATTGCGGACTTAGCAGCATACTCTGCTATCAAGCAGGTATCTGGGGACAGTGATGTTAACGCCACATTGAAGAAATGGTACCAGAGATGTGAATTGGTTGCTTAGGCTCAAAATATGTTATTTTATAAAGTGAAATAAAGACATTTGTACATGTTATTTTTTTAATTACATCAGTGTCCATCCATGTTTTTTTTATACTACTCCAACCACCACGAAGGCCTAAACGGCCATGGGGTACCGTGGGGCTATAGCGGGATACACGGGAAAGGGGGGACGCCACACGGACCCTGGCGAGGGAACTCGTGTGCATGCAACATGCACACATTCTGACCCCGGCTACGAGATCCGCCGGGTGGTACCTGCGCGTACGACAGTCAGACCGTCTACCACCTACGGACAATCACAACGTCCATAGCCAAGAGAAAAATTTCTCCCGGGACGGGATTCGAACCCGCTCAGCGCACGGCAACTGATCAGGAGACCGAAGAGTCGACTACTGCGGCCACCGCTTCATTGCCAAGATAAGCACACACAAAAAATTACGTAGAACTTAAACAAATTCTAGCTGCTATCCTGACAAACGGCAGAATTCGGATCTTGCTACCATATAGAAAGATCCGGTCTTCCATGTCGGGTCGACACCAAACCAACAAAACAGCAACTCGATGTTTTTCAACAATTAAGCAACACATCGTCAACAATTCGTGTTTTTTTTTCTATTTCTAGCAACTTTTCAGGCAACATTGTGTGATGTGTACTTTGTTGTGAAACAAATATAACTAGTATCAAAAACTTATCTTAATAGATTCTTTGAGGCCTTAGTTAGGGCATCACAAGTTTCCGGTATTATTATCATCGATACCGCTTGTTTTGATATTTTTGACTGATACATCAAGCTATGATAAGTTTTCGGTCGCCAAAAAGCTTAGTGTTACGGCCAAATGTTCAACTACGTTAATGGCATTTCCGCAATCGGTATTTTTTTATAAATTTGAGGACCGATAAGCTGTATTAATTCTTCAAAGATTTCACAGGACATTCTTAAAAAGTTCTCGAAACTGGAACGCATTTCTCCTCGCAATCCAATATCATCTTTACGCAAATCGGACAATAATTTTTCAATACCACGATCATCTCTTTCACGTAAGGATGGTTTCATTCAAAAACGTTTTTTTGTTTGTTTTCCCGGTCACAACACTGGAAAAACGCATAACCAGCAGACATAATGATAAAATCTTTGCGCTTCCGCCTTTCAACATGAAAACGCCACATATTTTCACTCTGACAATTTTTGATGTGAACAGCACGAAACAAAACAACTGAAATTTTTTTTTCTCTTGGCAATGTGGACATAAATTTTCATTTTGTTTTTTTATTCCATCAAGTTGCTCATTTGTTGCGTTTCTGTTTTGTTCCTTGTTTTGTTTTGTTGCTTTGATATGGATCCGGCATTACAAGCAAGAAACTTGATCCAAGAGAGTTAAAGAAAAACCGAAACGAAGAACTGTTGCTCACGCAGAAAAAGGGGTTTGTATGTTTCATATTATGCAGTCATCAGCCTATAGAAAACGCTTCAGTTTTTTAAATAAATTCATAGACAAACTCCTGTATGCAATCGGTACCTTATTATACAGCCGTGTGACATTGTAAGGAAAAGAAAATTTGAAAAACGATATACAGAATTTAGGAGTAGAAATTCAATGTCTGTAACGCAGGCTGAGAGGGTGGACCTCGTATTTTGTTATATACAGATAAGCAAGAATTTGTTGTGTGATAATCTTATGAAACAAATTGGATGCAGGATCCCTTGATATTTCATTCATAACAGTTGTAGGCTGGAGTAGTGTTGAGAAACATGATCTCGCCTCCTAGCTCGCATGATAAAACGAACTTGTGAATTTTGAAGTTTTTGAAATCTTTCTTCTTCTCGTTTACGTAACCATGGCATAAACGGTGCATCTGCATAAATGGCATGTGACAACCACTAGAATTTTCTTCGATTTCTGTGTAAGGATACGTTATTATTATATAATATGATTTTAATATTTCTATATCCTCTTTTTAACACAGATGTGACATACTCCGAGAACCTGAGTGAATAATCTAGGTGCATACCCATATTTTTAGGAATAAAAAACAGTAAACCTTTATTCTTCTTAACTATTATTAAAATAAAATACTGGATATTCGTCAAAAATTGTGAAGCTCTAACAAAATTGATAGCATTAATATAATTTATACATAAATGGAATAATCAACATTTTAAATATGTTCACTTGGTTTCCTTCAGGACTTGTCTGAATTTGTCCAAGAATATATCTGCATGGTGTTCCTGGAATGTTAAAGCTGGCCTCAATCTTATGGCATGGTCTCCACAACCTCCGCTGATGACCCCTGCAAACGAAAAAAACAAATAATGAATTGGCCATGAAAGAAATTTCTGTGTAAGTTTCTGTATTTGAAATCAATGAATTACCAGCGCATTTGAAACCAATATTCTGTTCAAAGTTTCATGATACATTTATCAGCATATTTTATCCGTGGTGCAATACAAAGCAAAAAAAAAGAATTTGTTGAAATTTTAAATTCTCTTGGATTGAGCTATACTTGTAAGTTTTACTATACCTTTGTCTTTCAGTCTTTTCAAAATGTCATCTCTCAAGCTACTAGAGGCAGCATTAACGGCTAAAAAGGAACCTCTGCCTCTCACAGAATTTAGCAAATTCGGGAATTCCTTCTCAAATCCGTGTAAACCGGATTTTAGTTTTTCTCCTGTTTTCGCGACTTGGTTGAGTAGCTTCTGTTCTTTCAACACTTTCAGGAATGCTTCTAGCAAGAATATTTTGCCCGGGTCGCCCATCCAAGTGTTGAATACTCTGTAGGGCTGTGATACTCTGAAAAAAAATAAATAAAAAGAAATGATTAATGTCATTGTGTGTTCAGAGAAGTTTATAATAATGTCAATACTTATTTTTTCCCAAAAAAGCATATGCTGAGTGTTTTTTTTTTACAAAAATCCTATTGGCAGAAAATACAAATGGTTTAAAGTTTTTTTTATATCCGAATTTCGATTTTCTCCAGACACGAGCAAAGGAGCTAGAATAAACTGCATCATGCCTGAGAAATGAATATAAACAATATATTTCACGTATTCAAATTGCAATATGTATTGTGTATACTTCATTCTTCTCATGTACTTTTACAAGGTGTGTAAATGTTAAAGATATGTTCTGTAATATAATCCATTGACTTCTTATGATACAAGCGCAGTTCCAGGGGGGGACATGACCCCCCTGGGTGAATCTAGTTTGACCAGTAATATTTATGTATATCAAATTTCTGATAAATTTAATGAAATACAGACTTTTTGAAAATATGTAACGGATACAAACGGGTAAAAAATCACCAGATTTGCTGAAAAATCACTACACCTGGCAACAATAATCAATTTGTAAGGTAACGACGTTGGCGTGGAAATAAGAGGTTGCGTAAGCCTGGTTGCCTACACGTTCAGCTTGACGCAAATATAAATTAAAAAGTAATATTGCGTTGCGTATGCACTGTTTATTGCGATTGTTAAAACTCATTTTTTTATAAATTCTCCATCTTAGAACTCATTCAAAATAAAGCTTAAATCTGCAAATGTTCGTACTATATACAGAGATAAACAAAGTACTTAGATGATACATTAGTCGAAACTTACTTTAGATCGAGCGTGTGATAAAATCCTCCAGTCAGCATCTTTTTGCTGAAGGTCACAACATCTGGTGGAGTTGGCAAATTGAAGTGTTCGTGGCACCACATTTTCCCTGTGGCTCCCGCACCAGTTTGGACCTCGTCAATCAGCAAACTGGCACCATTTTTCTTCGCTATTTTTTGCAGTTCCTTGAAAAATTCCGGAGATGCTTCGTTGTCGCCACCTTCTGACTGAATTGGTTCTATGACTATACCCGCCACAGGACAACCTGAACATAATTATAGTTTAGACGGCGTTTTGACAAGACCCAAAAATAAGGCTATTTTATCGACACCCTGTTCAAATCTGATTTCGCCGCGTCGGAACAAACGACTTTCGATCTCCATCCTCAGCTTTGTTTTTTTCTTATGGACTCCCTTTTGAAATTTTGCGCAAATGAACACAGTTATTGATCCTACATTTAGTCATGAATATAATAGATTTACTTATCACGATAAACTTCACATATTTAAAAAAGTAATATTATCCCTAGTAGTATTTAAATGTACAAAATTTCTATATAGCATCCATACGAAAAAACAAAGTTGGTGATTGAAGTCGAGAGAAGAAACCTTCTCGACCTCGTATCTCTTATCGTTTCCGCATGGGTATCATGTAAAAAACCTATAAAACATCAAAAAAACCTATAAGATGTCATCTTGCAAACTAGGTAGTTTTTAGGGCGCAAACAGTCATTCCATGTTTGGTCACTAGGATCGTTGTGAACGTCCATCTATGGAAGAATCACTCAACTAAACTAAACGCATTATTGGTTGCATATGTTTTGCGAGGCCACAATTGCATCGTAGTGGTGCCGACGATCTTTATTTTCATCAAGACGGAGCAACGGCTCACACATCTCGCCAAGACCGCATAATTTCACGAAATTCAGATGTCAGTTGGCCCCCGAGATCGTGCGATTTAACACCTCTTGACTATTTTTTTTGGGGATTTTTGACAGGAAAAGTGTATGCGAATGGTCCCCGGACAATTCAAGACCTAAAGCGCAATATTCGGACTGAAATTCCGGCCATAGACCCGATTATTCTGGGAAAAGTCTTTGAAAATTTTGATGTTCGGATGTTAGTCATATAACTGATGTTATTTTTCATACATAAATGGCATAAACCAACCTTCATTTATCAACCTTCTCGACTTCGTATCTCTTATCGTTTCCGCATGAGTATCATATAAAAAACCTATAAAACGTCAAAAAAACCTATAAGATGTCATCTTGCAAACTAGGTAGTTTTTAGGGCCCAAACAGTCATTCCACGTTTGGTCACTAGGATCGTTGTGAACGTTCATCTATGGAGGAATCACTCAACTAAACTAAACGCATTATTGGTTGCATATGTTTTGTGAGGCCAAATGTTCCTTGTCTGTAGTTTTTATCTCTGAGAAGAAAGTTGAATAGCTAGATCGCATGTCGATGATTATGTGCATTG